TTATAGTAATCGAATCGAACAATATTCTAATATAATAGAATATTATAGTAGCAATCTCTACCTAGCTATTTGTGACGAACGGCAGACTTGATCTGCCTAAGTGGGATAGCTGAAGGTAAAGACTATCAAGTGCAGTTCGGTGAAGCCAAAGGGTTCACAACAAGTATCGTTATACGTGTCTCTGGTGACGATGGTCTATTGACTACTGTCGAACTATCTGACAATCTGAGTTCTCCAGTCGTCCCTTTATATCCCACATGTCTGTCGCGGTGTATCCTATTCTCTGGTACTCGCTGGCTCATCCTGAGTTCCTGCTTTACTTTGAGTTCTTGCTCACTCGTGAGCGCCCTTGGTTGACGTGCGCCCTCTGGTCCAATCCCCGTTTGGGGTTACACTGCCCTATCTTGGCATGACTGTTGTGTCCCGATGGCTTGGTCGGCCCGTGTACTCGCTTAAGTTCGTAACACTATTCCTTATAGGATTTATATTTTTACTAGGTATATTTACTTCTTTATAAAGTATTTAATCCTAAACTCGTATAGGGAATATTATTAAGTCTTTTACTACGAGCAATATTGTACTCCTTGTATTTTCAATAATATTTTGCGTAATTATAACGAATATAATAGGAGCCTCATAGCTCCGGTACTATTATAATTATATTTGGCTATTATATTGGTTATTTTAGTAAATATTTAATTCGATATTTATTTTTTCTATAGTTAATTTTGTAAGTCCTTTAGTATTGAATTCCTTAAGCGGATTAGTTACTACCCTAATTGGAGTCTATATTTCGTATAATAGATACTGGTTTAAGACGGCGATATATATAATTAGTTTAGTATTTTTAACCCTGGTTTCTACGAGTTTAATATTTATTATATATAAATTCTAGTTTCTTAGAAGGATTCCCTATTAAAATTATATTAGTTCGTCCTATTTAAGAGCGAAATAAAGCTTCTTTCTAGGGTTCTATACTAAAATGTAATTTAATAGTAGGTAGAATAGTAGAAGGATGTAAATAGGCAGTTTTTAAATAAAATATTATTAATAATATATTATTATTATTAATTCCTTTCATATAGTATAGTATTTTTCTTTCCTTACTCTTCCTTCCACTCCGTATGAAAGAAAGACGATCTAGTTTAATATATAAAAAGTCGTAGACTTAAAGATAATTAAATTTTAAATACTCTACGATTTATAGTTTATTATTCTTCCTCGTTGTTGTTACAAGACTAGCCCGTGCCTTGTCGCGATGTGCTGTCGCTGTTGGTATATATAATTTAGTACTTGTTATGAGCTCGTATTTCGTACGTATATAATAGGGTACGTGCAATTGTATATAATATTAGCTGGCCATTTCGTACTCTCTCTTGCTCTCTTTGTATAATTATATATATTTTATATACCCCCTAACGTCGTTGTTGCCTATAATAATTATTAATTTCTAGTTTACCTTCTATATTATGTTAGCGTTATATTAATTTATTTAAGAAAGAGTATATTTACGTTTACCTGCGCGGCGACCGTTTTAAAAATACGTTATATATAATGATTTAAACGGAGTAATCGGCTATAGGCAAAATTGAAAAGCCTATATAGGGATTTTTAATAGGATAATTATTATTATTGGACTTGGAGGTATTTATAAAATAAATCATACGTTAAATATTTTTTGCGTTACCTTCGGACTCTAAATTGGTGTTACCTTCGGGGTTTAGATTGGTATTATCTTTGGAGCCTAGATGACGCTATTCCGTAATATAACCATTAGTGTTGGTGAAGCTGAAGTAGGATGTATATGGCGATTTAAGTAAGTTAAGAGTAATATATAATCCTTTTAGAGGGCGTTGATAAGAGTTTCGAGCTTGGTAAATAATTGATATATTGAAAAATGATGTCGGGTTATTAATAAAATAAATAAAAGATATGAGGGGAGAAAGTAAGAAAGTAACAATAGAAAATAAAAAGTAATATATAGATATATATATTCAGTATTAGATATTATTATTCTGTTTTTATATTATTGTGAATCCTTAATTTTTGCTACTTACGCGTTTCATTTTAGGTTGCTTCTTCGCTTTTTTAATAAGAGGCGATTTAGGTTTAACGAATAGAAATACGTAAAAAAAAAAACCAGCTGTAATGTTTCTTTTAATCCTATTCTTTACTTTTTAATTATATTGAAGTATTTGCGTTAATGTTTTTAATTTTAGTATAAATATAAGTTAATATATTAAACGAGATAAGAAATTAAATTTAAGGGGCGAGTGGCAATTATTAGTTATAAAAGTGGTAGTAAAAATGAATTATTATAATATAGAGTATATATAGCCTTTTTAGGATTTAGAAATATAAGAAAATATAATAAAATTATATTTCTAATTCTTTATTATTATACTTAGCGTATTAGGTATTTTACTAGTAAATATACTGCGTTTATATATTTAAAATTTTTATTAAACTATTAAATTATATTTAAAATTCTTTAAATTTCTTATTTAAATTAGTTTGTTTAAGAGTAAACCGCACCTTTTTTTTTAAGTTTCTTTGCTGCAATAAGATTGTCTTATTCCTTAATCCTTTCAGCAATATTGTAAGGAGGGAAACGAGGGGGATTAGAATACTAATAATAATTAATAATATAATTTTTAAAATAGAGAATATAATATATTTTATAGGATTTGATATATATTGTTTCGATTTAATGATGTTTAAAGGGAGATTGATATTTAACCTATATTTAATATTAATATATATTAAATTGAAGATATTGTAGCGTTTTACTATATTATATTTATAAATATATTTATATAGCGGTTGGGTTTTATTATAATAATTTCTAATAACTTCTTTGGATGGTCTAGGCGTTGGGAGGCGTATTTTATTGATTTCTATTGCGTTTAATAACTTACAATGAAGGGAATTAGAGATATATATTACTAGATGGTAAAAAAAAAAAAAAAGTGGAATTTACTAGTAGATGAAATCTAAATTAAGATTATTTTAAAATTTACTAGTAGATTTATTAGTAGACGAAATATAAATTAAGATTATTCTAAATCTTATTAGTAGATTTACTAGTAGACGAGATCTAAATTAAGATTATTCTAAAATTTACTAGTAGATTTACTAGTAGACGAGATCTAAATTAAGACTATTCTAAAACTTACTAGTCTTACTAGTAGACGAAATCTCTTACTAGTAGACTTACCAGTAGACGAAATCTAAATTAAGACCATCTAGTAGATATATTAGTAGACTTAGAAGTAGCGTATCTATATTAAGAATATTATAGTAGACCTATTAGTAGTGTCGAACTGTTTTTGATAGTAGATACAATGGATTGGAAATTATTTTTAGTAGATACGATAGTAGATTTGAATTAATTATAATATATACGATAGATTGGAGTTAATTATAGTAGATAAAGTAGTAAATAAATGGATTAGGATTTAGGTAAGTGGAAAGAGTTTTAGGTATTTAAAAATCGATTTTAGTAAGCGGTACCGAGAAACGATTTTGGGTATCCGAAATTCCATTTTATAATTGTACGAATATAAATAGTATTTGAGTTAGTATAAAATTAAATTTATTATTATTATCCTTAATAGATGAAAAGATAACGATGACAACTGTAATTAGGTCGTAAAATACCGATATTTCCTCTGGTCACGGTAGTTCTGATCAATCTGAAGTACTGTAATCTCTTCCTACCTCTAGGCACGTTTCACCAAGATAATGGCAGCTTTGACCTTCAGAAAAACAGTTCGAGGGAGGCTCTGGTGGTGATGAAGGTGTCACGATGACCCATAAGGACGTGGGAGGCTTACCACAGCAATAGCTTTAGAGTGTCTTCAAAGTCGGATTGTCGTGGACGAGACCATCGCTGTTGTGTATAACATCTCATTGGTCAGCCCTAATTGTGGAGCCTCGACCGCTGTCTTGGTTCCTGCTTTCCGCTTCCCGCTTCCTGGCGCCCTTCCTGCAGTTTGCCATCTGTACCTCCACGCACATGGATGCATTGATCTGCCCCTTCTGAAATAGTAGCCGTGAGCTTCCGCAGCCGCACGTCTTGCGTGTATCTCATCTTTCCTTTTCCCCATCTCTTCAGAGAACTCCAGTTTCTCTTGCAACCGAAGAAACGATAATCAGCAACAGCAGCCAGACCAGCTTTCTTCTGTTTCAAGAACGAACACCTACATGCTTAACCACGACCTACGAAATTCAGCAGTTACCTCTTGCGTTTCGATGTTTTTGTCAGAGTAGTGGCCCGTGCTCTCACTCCTCCTCCACGGGTATTTATAGACCGTCCCCCCAACCCATTCCCATCTCTTTTTCTTTTCCCCATCAGAATCATCCACCTTTTCCATTTTCCTTCTTCCCCAAAAGACTACCAAGCCTTGTGTCAATCTTGTGCACTTCTTTGAAGTTCTTAACAAGCATTCTATCCTTTCCCTTGTCCCTCATTACGAAAATAATTTCCCTTCGCAGAAGGACTGCACACATCAGCTTCCCATGCGCTCAGAATTCCGTTCAGTCTCATCACTTGGGCGATCGACGCCGTGGTTGCTCCTTGTTCACGAGTAGACTTCTCATGGATTTTATCCCGACTCACCCAATTGCCAACTTGAAAGAACAGGTAAGATGAGGCAACCAAGACTGAACTTCAGAGCGAATAATGGCTGACCTTGACGTGGAAGCTTCTGAACTACAAAGACACTTCTGAACCGTTCGACCCATACCAGCCGGAAATGGTCCGGGTTACTTCGACAGTTGCATGCCCAGGAACCGCGGCAGAGGCGTCCTCCGGCTACGAACACCAGGCAGCAACCTCCTGCCGCTATTTCGACAAGCCCATCATTCCCGTTCTTCCCCGTCAGGCCTCTTAAGAAGTTGACAACCCTCCAGAGTTCCTGCCCAGTACTCGCTTTCGCGCGCGCTCGTTTCGCGTTCCTTTCCTCTTTCCTCTCATCAGAGAACAACAAGCTCTACTGCTGTTTTATCAAACGCAACCACCATTCAAAAGCATCCATCAAGACGATCCAGAAGACATTCGTCATCACTTGCCGAGTTTCGATTCTATCGGCTAAAAATCTACAATGCGCAACAACGACTACCAGACTTCCGTCCTAGCCGGCTTCATCATTCGCTTCCTCTACGCGATAAACAAGATCATCATCGACGCGAACAACATCGTCATCGACGCGATAATTTCCATGGATTCCTTCCTCTGGCCCCTGTGGACCGCACTTGCCCTCTCCGTTGACGAGACATTTCACAACGCCCCTGCGTTCTTTTCTTGCTCTTCAAACCAGAAAACCACCTCTACCGGTCCCGCCTCACAACTATCCACCATAATCAACAAAACGCTACAATGGATCGAGCCCTTCCTTCTGCCAACACCAACATCACAAGAAGATACCACCATCACAGAAGAGAGCCTCGAGTTCCTCGAAAGCAGAATCGACTACCTCCACAACTTTTTCGATGCCACCATCGCAGCTATGACCATCACCAACCCTCGCTCACCCAAGCGCGATCCCTCGACCGGACCTTCTTTCATCAACTCCTCCACCCCTGTCCGTCACACTCCAGTGCGGTCACAGGTAGACCCAGTCGCAAAAACTTGCGCTCCTGGGAGGTACTCTGTCGTCTTCTACGAACACTCTTCGGGAAATGCCGACCATGCGAAGAAGGTCTTGATGGTGTGGCATATGCCGCACCCAATGGACAACATGATGGGGGAGGCCAGTGGGGTTGCCCAGGCTGTTCAGGTAGCTGGCAATCTTCAAGGTTTGTGCATCTTCTCCTGACATTCATCAACAACAAAGAAAACTAACCAACCAATCTCACACAGAAGTCGTCTTGCAGAATAAAGCACCAAGGCCGCCGCTCCCATCAACGAGCTAGCCAACAAGACGGGTTCCAAGGCTTGCATGGATAAGCAGGTCGAAAAGACCACTTGCATCTTGAGCGGAGGAGTTGTGAAGGAAACGGATGCGTTGACTTTCGGTGCTCCCTCCGAAGAGAAGGCGTACGGCGAAGGGATCTAGACGGGTCCGAAGTCTAAGCCGACTCCCAAAGAGAAACACGCCGACGGAAACCTACCTCTGTACAAGAAGGTGCACTTCGCAGAGAGTACCAAACCCCCGATGCCGGACACTCCGGAGATGGGAACAGAGGGAGCACGCCTTGCTACGTTTGCCAAGACTTGTGTAGCAAATTCACCACGACTGGGCCTGACGGTACTTCAGTCCATCAACCTCTATTATTATCATAGCAACGGCAGCCATCTAACCACAGTAAATATTGCGGCAATATCAGACATGAACCCGGAGCAACCTTGAGAAACCGGCTACTCCTTCACCAAACAACCTTAAGCCCAAGATGATTCAAAACGATCCGCAGTGCTCAGCACTTGCCACAATTTTCGTTCGACTACTACTTGTCGCCATCGACACAGTCACAGAACTCGACACAGTCATCCTATGGCCGTTCTGGAATGCGGTCACCATTTTCATTGATCACAAGTTCGAAACGATCACCAGCTTCTCTTTCCCTTCCAGGGTCGCTTATTGACCAACCAATCCATAGACTTAAGAGCTGGGTTGCCTCTCCGGAAAGCACCATTCATCGCCTCTTGAAAAAATGAATTCCAACAACCACGCAAATCGTTCCGCGCTTGCCGCGCTGCTTGTCACCTTGCTTCTTGCTCTCAATCAAATCATCATCGACACAACCATCAACGGAATCATCGTCATCGACTCCTTCCTTTCTCCTCTTTGGATATCCTCTATCATCGTCATCGACAGAATATTTACCGCCACAAAACTGTTCACCTCAGGCCTTGGTCCCGCCTTCCAACTCTCTAACGCCATCGGCAAAACGCTTCAGTGGATGGCCAAGCAAGTATCACCAACAACAACGGTATCAGAAAAGGAAAGCAAAATCGCCAAAGAGAGCCTCGAGTTCCTCGAAAGCAGAATCGAATACTTAACAACGTTTCCGATGCCCCCTCTTCAACTCCTTTCTGACATCATGCAACAGTCTCCCACTTTCAAGCACTTCACCGATAGCAAAAGTGTCATTCTTTGACATCATGCTCAGCATCCCCCAAACGCGGGAACCCGGGCTAGAGGTACCGGTACCTTCAACAACCCAAATGTGGCAATTCTGGATGTGGCTGCCCGCTATTGTGGAGTGATATATGCTCGGTGTTGTGCGACTTCTGGCGAGAGCCGATAAACTCTATAAGGATTGGATCGGAGACATGTCTGATCTGCCAGGACAAGACCCAGGTGGCGCTAGAAGCCCATCTTTGTCGACAGAGAGAAGAAAGGGGAAAAGCCTCGCGGCCCTCGCGTGATTCGTGACTTTATTTCGGGACGGATTTACAGCAACTAAATTGACATCAGGGTTCGTCCATCTTCCATAACTAGACGCTTATCGGTTAGAAATTGACCAACTAATCTTTAGAAGCTCAACGGTTATTCAATCATCATGACTTCTTCCACGACTTCCTCCTCCTGGTTTTGCGATGCTCGCCATCCGGCTCGTCGTTTTCACCTTTCACTCGGTTCGATCGCAGCGCCATTACAAAAGCAACCATCAAGCCGATCCAGAAGACAGCATCACTTGCCAGATTTCGAGTTACACCTCCGGCTACATCACCGCCAGAAGTTACACCTGGACCGCCCTCTTACGCGGATGCGACGAGACCAAGACCAACTGGACCATCAACTTCCGGGAATGATACAATCATATCGGCTACTATTTACAATGCGCAACGACGATCACGCAACATCAGCTATTAGCCGGCTTCTTCATTAAAGTGCTTTGCACGCTAAACGCGATTGCCACCAAATCAAACGCGACCGCCATCCAAGCAATCATCAACGTCGACACCGTGTTATGGCCCTTGTGGACCACGCTTGCTGTCTGCATTGACGACACTGTTCTTCGATATCGCGATCCGGGCCATCGCGGCATTGATAGTCAAACTTCACGAATCGATCGCTGCCGATTTTGCCGAAATCCGACAACAAGCGTTGACTTTTGGTGCTGCTGTCTCCGAAGAGAAGGTGGACGGCGAAGGGACCTAGACTGGACCAGCGTCTAAGCCGACTCCTTACTCTGGCCTCTTTGGACAGACCTCTTTCACCATCTTCATCGACAGAGTTTTCATCAACACAATCCTCTTCACCTTCGGTTTCCAGGAACAACGCACGCCTGGCCCCGCCAGCCAACTTTCAACCATTATCGGCAAAACACTGCAATGCATACTCTAACTGATATCAAGGTTTGGCCATCTTCTCCAGGCATTTATTAAGGACCACAAAAACTAACCAACCAGTCTCACAGCATCATCAGCAAAACACCACGGGTCTCAAAACAACATGGTGATAGCAGCCACTCCGACCATTGCCCAGAGACAACCGACTGACGGCAAAGCACATCCCGCGCTATTCTCCAACTCCTTGAGCCTATACTTATACATCTGGCACCTATCCGTCTTCCTCCCCAACGTTTTCGGGGCTACATTTCCGGGGCTGACAGAGAGACGGGCTTATTGCCAGATGGAGGCACGGATCACCAACACGAAACAGGGACGCGACACGAATATGTCATGCGATCTATCAGAGTCCGAGAACTGGTTCTGGGAAGGCAGGAGGAACGACGCGAGGAAAGACGCCGAAGAGAAGAATCCCTTCGGTCCCAGCTAAGACAAACTCAAGAATTTTTTTCCGACCTACGACTCCATGGCGAAATGCCCGAAGAGCAAAGAAATGGATCCAAGATCTTCCCCAGTCACTCCTTTTCCCAAAGCCAAACCGCACCACAGCAGCTCCACGCCTCCAGCTTTGAGCCTCGCTCCCATCCACCCTCCCTCGCGACGCTATTCAGAGGGCGCCGTTGAGTGTTACCGTTTGTCAAGCAAGCCTCGGTATGTCTCTCCCTCCCCATTCTGCCCTTCACTTCCACTCCTCTTCAACTCATTTCTAACATGAAGTCACTCGCAGTGCCTGCAGGCTACTCCCATCCGACTCCCAGCTTTCCAAGTGTTTCCTCCTACCAAGCCCGAAGAGGGGATGGATGCCCCTTCGTGGTCATGGCTTTGGCGTAAGGGCAAGGTGGACCAGAGATTTCTTTAAACAGGATTGATTGGGATCATTATGACCTGGAGAGTTTCGAGAAGGATTCCCGAGTGTCCTTCCATATTCCTGATAATTGCCTACCGGAGATTTCATAATCAGCCACTCATAGCGCCCACCCTCGGACATTTTCCTCTACATCTCTCACTGCACCATTTCTTCACGGTTCGATTTATACCTAAGGAGTTTCCTTCAATGTCATTTTCGGATGACGGGCCCGCTGGCCGACCGCATCAAGGGTTATGGGGAAGAACCAAACCAGCAATAGTTCCAAACACAACTTCTACACCAGTACCGGCACCACCCCACTATTCTATGAGGAGAAAGACGAGAACATCTCACAGAATGCACTAGAAGCACATTTCGCCCGACAAGAAGAGGAGAGGAATAAACCTCGCGGTCCCCGCGTTATTCGTGACCCGATTTCGGGACGTGTATACACGAAACTGAACTAAACAACAAGGTTTGTCTATCTTCCAGACACTTACATACTGATCGAGTTGAGGACCACTGGGAACTGACCAACCGGTGTAACAAAGCAGACATCATCCGCATCTCCCCGGCTCCGGAAGAGGGTTATCGAAATGAGAGCAAGGGCTGCGAGATGATGGCACAGGTACGAGAAGTTTCGGTCTGAGGGGGAGGAGGATTGGCAGTCCCTTGGGTCGGCTGAGGCTTGTGAGAAGAGGAGAGGGTTCTTGGACCGGGGTTCGGACGAAGAATGACGTCTAACGAGACACAAGCGGTACCGTACGCGTTCGTTTCGTATTCCTGTCCCCTTTCCTCACACTTCAGAGAACATAAACCTCTTCTGCTCTTTCATCAAAAGCAACCACCAAAACCATCAAGACGAACGAGCAGACATCATCACCTGCTAGACTTGAACCACATCGACCACAAGTTCAAAATGAGCAGCCACGACCACCAAATCTCGGCCTTAGCCGGCTTTCCTCACACTTCAGAGAACATTCAACCTCGCTTGTGTTTATTGCAACAGCAACCGTCTAATCATCGCAACCATCAAACGAAAGGATTCAAACATCAAACGAAAGCACTACTCATCGCCTCTTGAAAAAATGAATTCCAATAACCACGCAAATCATTCCGCGCTTGCCGCGCTACTTGTCACCTTGTTTACAGGATGAGTATCTGTTTATACATAAGGGCCCGTAATGGGATTTAGTAGGATGGGAGTGGCTAAAGGAAGAGGTTCGGCGAGAGAGAATTGGAACTTGATAAGGCTGTCTTTGATGACATTTTTGTACATACGGCCATAGATGGTGTAAAACTCGGGATCCCGTCCGCTCTCCCATAGATAAGCCACCGATTGGTGGCTTATCTATGGGAGTCATTTTTTGTAGATTTCAACAGGGGTTTGGATGACTCAGCTAAAAACGCCGCCCCCGTTTCTAGAACCGTTTTCCATTGCCTTCGCCGTCGAGTGCACCGTTCCACTTACGCCAAGCCCAGCTGAGTGGGCGAGGCATACACTACACAAGGTGCTTACCCCTGCCATTTACTCCTGACACCTACTCAGAAGGGGAGTGGTTGGCTTTTGGGAGGTGTGGTTGGCTTTGGTGAACACTTTTCTCCGTACGTATACCCTTCAGGCGAGTTAGAATGGCCTCAAGATATAAATTGCATCTTTACTATCGGATTCCCGACTGAACCAAACAAGCAAACTTCTGTCCCATTCTAATTGCATTCATTGTATATCCATTCTTCCTAGTTGATTCTACCGCATGAATTACGGCCCCTACGTTGCGAGGGTTGCGTTGGTTTTCATATGAAACCCTCCTTCCGAGTTTTCTAATGGATTTCTCCTCCAAAACATGCTAAGCTCGTAAGCCATTGCAGCTTGAGAGGGTATTGTTTTGAGTCTCACGGTGCCGATCGCACTCCATCCATATGCAATACGGAAGGGATGGAGCTACAAAAACCGCCGATACCGCCGACTGTACTCGACGTCGAAGAACGGAAAAGAAGAGCATTTGCCGACGTCGACGAATTTACGGTAACAACACATGAGCGTTCGCTTTGTAAGAAGACCAAAGGCCAGCGAGAACGCGCGTGGTGTCTATGGAATAGGTAGGTACCTTATCATTTTGCTGTTTTCTTTGATATTGCGTACTAATGCTTTTTAGATTTGTCACAGATGTGTTACAATTAACACAAAAAGAGGCTGATAAGGTTTGGTTTGGTGTGTGCCAAAATAAGAAAAAGTCCATTGCTATCTGCAAGAGCTTTCTGGCCGACTATACACGCTATGCAAGATGCAGGCGTCTGTGTATAGACGGGACCGAGGAACAGAAACAGGTACCAACAGTTCAATCAGTAGTGACTATTATTGCTGTATGGAAGCATATAGTAGCTCAAGCTGATGCTGTAGTGCTCGCGAAGAGAAGGGATCAAGATTCAAATGAAGATTCAGACGAAGATTCTGAACAATGGACATTGCTTGGCAACCGTGGGAAGGCCCGTGGAGAGGTTATCCAGGTAGATTCCCTCCTTACCCATACCAATACTGTGTACTGACATTTCTTCTCATAGTGGATCCAATCAACTCTTGCACAAAAGTTCAACCTCTCATGCAAACAAACATTTGAGAAAACTGCAGCCACAACAGATGATGTTCTGCTTATTCTTAGCACTTTGTGGGAACGCGCAGTCGATATACCTTGTGATCCTAGACATCGGCTTGCCTTTCATACATTGGTGCTGATAGGAAGCATTGGCTTTCGGCCCGGCACTTATGAGAACATGCTTTATCGACAAGTCAAGCTACTTGTCATTCGCGATCCGGATACAAAGCAGGCAAGGCTTGTCGCTGAGATCACGATCAATCAAAACAAGCTATCGGCTAACAAAATTGATAAGGGGGCAGATGTGTATGTATTCTTGCCTTTAACCGTTGATCCAAACTAACACTTTTCTAGGGTGACCTTTTCTGCTACTATGGTACCATGCCAGATCGTTTGTTTAGTTACGTTTGTAGCTATTCAAGCTCTACATGATGATGCCTTCGAAACAGAGTTTTCGTCCTTCGACGAATTACTTCAGCGTCCAAACTTGGAAGATGTTGATTGCATTGAACTTAGGTGGAAGGATGGGATGCAGGAAAAGCCTATCTTTCCCTTAAAGTACTACAAATATCTGGAACTTTGGAACCGGACATGGTTGGTAGCGGGCAACAGAAACACTCTCCGGCCCTATGCGCTGCGAATCGGCGGTGGAAATAAAATTGATGGTAAGAACCCTTTACCCGTTTCCCTTACTATTTTGCTTACAATTTTTACACAAGGTTTCCTTACATCCGCTATTCGAAACCACATCCTGAGCCATAACACAAAAACATTCGAAACCTCTTACCAAGCGAGGCATATTCCACACAATTTGATGTCATTCGTTTTCGATAGTACATCTGAAGACGATTCCAAGCTATTCAAGCTACTGGCCTCGGCATCCTTGCGTAGGGATGACAAAGCACCACTTTATCCGACAGCGGCTACGCTAGAAACGTTTGAAAATCGCGAGGATATGAAAGCACTTCGCGCACAGCGTTGTCACTTCCGGGAAGAGCTCAAACTCTCTGCAGACAGTAGAGAGGTAAAGCAACTTACCGCAAAAATTGGAGATCTACGGACGGTATTATCAAACTTGGCTGTCAAGCAGGCTCGAGAAAACTACTTTGCTAAAGTTGATTCCCTTAGGGCTCATGGCCTGTCAACCGAAGATATGCCAGCCCCCCCTCCAAATCCTTTCAGATGCTCCTTCGGTCCCAGTTTACCTGCAGCAACAATCATTGGTCGATACTTGAACCCCAAAGATCCGGTTTCCGACACCGCTACGAAAATGGTTTTTCCAAATTCGAACGACAGTGGTTCTGACCAAACTACCCAAAAGCGGCTTGCAGTATTGGAAATGCTTTTTGCGTATATGAATGATAGGTACGGAGAAGTAGAAGGGATTGCTCAGGAAATGGAGCAAACAGCCTCCGAACATAAGAAAGCAGCTTCCACGCTCTCTACATGTGTGAGAAGATTCTGGGCGTTTGCTGCACAGACCGCTAGTCCTTTGCCCTGCAGGCCCCTTTGACAGCGGTTCTGGCACTTCCCAGAATCCCCTCCTTTGCAGACCTTCCTCCTCTTTGTATCGCCAGCTCTATATAGCTGGCGATCCCTTCCAGCCTCAGTAAGCTGGATCCCTCAATCTACATCATTCCCATCATTCGTGATCCATCTCATAACAGTAACTGCCGAAGCCGAGCAACTCGCAATGGCCTCCAGCGCCTCAATCTCCGGATTGGGCGGCATCATCTCTCAGACATCATCGGGGACCATCTCGTTAACGTGTTAACTGACCTAAGACCTAGTTTAGAACATACGCTTTTGGCGCATATATATAACCATATCATACGTTAAAGCTCCCAACTCCTTAACCACATCTCGCACCTTCTCCTCGTCTAGCCATTCGGAATGCTTACAAAGGGTTTCCACGACGACATCTCTTAAGCCTCTGTCGTCTTCAATAGTGGATTCGTACACCACTAGCGCTGCCCCAAGGAAATCATCGATATCCAAGGAAACAGTAGCCGCCGCCTTGAATTGTCGAAGCGCGACAGCCTTCAGTCCACTGATCAAGTACTTCTCTGCTAAGGCGTAAATTTTTGCATGAGTCAGAAGGGCGTCCGCTGCCGGTTCATTGACATTGGTTCCGTATCCGTCCATTTCTAACCCATCAAAACCACTACGCTCGTGTTATAGCCGTACGTCATAGTTGAAGTGGTATAGATAATGTACCATTATATGGACAAGCCGAGGATCATCATCTGGGAGGTCAATCTTTCCTTCTTGTGCCTCCTAAATATAATGTTAGTTTAGTGTCGTTGCTAGTGTATGGACTGTCACTAGCCTTGAAACTTCCGCGGCAAGCTGCAGAGAAGAACTCGGACTGCGTGCATACGATGGCCCTATGCACATGGTATTTCCTTCCTCCGCAGGATATCACGAGGTCTGAGTACTCCCCGCTGGAGTAGAGCCTATTCGGAGGCTATTGTCAATACTTGCAAGTTCCGAAGACGGAGGAACGACGAGAGCGAAATGATCATACCCTTTTAGAGAACTTATTAGGTCTTTAGAGGGATCATCTCCGGCCGTACCGCGGGCTGTCTGAGTCAAGGAGCTAGCTGGCGAGCCTCCAAAGCCTGTAAACGCCATTCCAGAACCTGATATTGTTGTCTGCGCGTAAGGGCGGGCAAATTCATGCCGCCTCGAGTACAGGCGATGATGCCGAAGCGCTTCTGCGCTTTGAAAATAACGATCGCAATCCGTACAATACTTCATCTGGGCCATTGTTGGGAATGCCTCAAGTCTGCATCAGGCCCCCCTCCATTGTCAGCCATTTTGTGTTCGTCACTTGCGTTGCAGCCCGACCCCGCCCAAAATGGCCGATTTGCCACGTAGCTTCCTTAAGGTGATTGAACATCCCACACTGGTTCCTCGGCCGCCCGATCACCGCCAATTCCGCCACGCCCTGGCCATCAGTTACGACAAGAACGCTCCATATCTGTTTGCATGAATGTCACTATGAAAACTCATCACGGGTGAGCTCCGTGATCCCCTGGGTTGTCGGTGAGCGTCTGCTTGCCATAGGTCGGAGTGACAGCGTCCTGAGAAGAAGCTAAGTCCATTGTACGCTAGTCTTTATAATAATGTTAACTAAAATATATTCAGGCCTAGATATATTTAATTACACCCTATCGTAATAATATTAATATTGAAAGAATCTTCCTGTAGTTTGCTACCTTCGCCCTTCCAAAAGAACTAGAACTAGAAGTGATACACACTATTAAGTCATAGACTCTAAACATCCAAGGCATCCGTTCTAGATTCAAGAAAATTTTCACCTGTTGGTGATATCTAATACATATGACACCGTGAGATATACAGTATCGTCAAGTTATCCTTGTATAACTGGGCTATCACTTTGAGATGCTACGTTTCTTCCCAACCGTATACTATCCAATTATTCTACAACAGACCCACTTTCTCTGGGGTGCACCAAACTAAATTAGCGTTCCGTTCCCTCGGGACACTTGAACCAAGCGGCTAGTAATTCAGTGCGAACGCAGCACCAATGATCACTCCAGCATGCGGAAGATTTTTTACCGCCCTTGCAAAAACTGGTTGTGATGAGACTGTTGGCATGCTTGATCGTTCATTGGATAAAGACAAGGAGGTTTGCCACAAGTGTGATGCGAGCGCTGTACTCGAAATCTCTGTAGTGCTTGGTAAAGAGGGATAACAATCGGATGTTGACGTAAGAGCTGAGATTGCGTGAGTTCTAGATGGGATTAACGTAAACGAGCTATTCCAGAGGTGGGAGACGACTGTTGTAATCGGAAGTTTAGTATTGCTTAATGAGACGGAGTCGTTCGGTGGAGAGGGAATTGTTGTAATAGTTGAGGTTATGCTTGTTTTACACAAAGTGGATACTGACGAAATAGTCGTCGGTTGGCTTGTTCCCAGTTTATCTATCGTAGATGTTTTAGAAGACAAACCTAGGGAGCTACGGGTACTAGCTAATGTAGATGACTCTATGGTATCCTATAGTAACCACGAATCCACCGTCGGGTCGTATCTCTGCCGACGATTTAGAAGAGATAAAAATCGGACTACAACAAGAAGACGCTGGAAATTCTTAGCGCGGTAACGAAAGGATCGAATGATGGTTATGGTAGAATTGGATTGCAAATCTCGAATGTAGCGAAAAGGAAACTAGACCTTAAAAGGTGATATACCCCGTAGGTGGCGAGAATAAGGGATAGCCAACTGATAATCCAAAGATAGAATACCACCTCCTACCAGCAACCATATACGTATATATACCCGTAACCATCCTCTATTATCCACCTTCAACTACTCAAGCTATCCGGTCTTTTTATTCCTTCTACGACCAATTCTTTATTCTTCAACATGTCTATCACTTGCCAAGTCCGAGACTCTACCAACAGACCGTTAAAGGGAGTTTATGCTACTCTTAAACTCGTCGAACCGCTACATCCAACCGACATATATTCCGGCCAGACCGATGATAATGGTGATATCAGAGATTGGCGTCTCATGAAAGACGAAGACGACAAAAACAAACAAGGAACCCCCATCTGGGGTGTGCCAGGGAGCACTTGGCACATTGTTGTCTGTGTGGAATCCCATAAATTGCTTGGCAACACTTATCCCATCAACAAACCCCACCCGAACTTCTCGGTCACGGCTTCAGCATATCACAGCGTTAACCTCCGCGTATCTAGCATGGCATACAAAATACGCCACGGACACGGGATTGTGGAGAGGCGATCCCCTACACCTTATCCTACTTAGGAATATCCTCAACCACACCGCATATATCCTACGGCCATGGTGGATTTGCCAGAAGCGCTCCCGGATTTGGACGACACAGTTAGTTCGATTATGACTCTAGATTCTGATGGAGCCAGCTCGGATTCCTTCACGCCCAACTTCCCCCCGCCTAAGCCGGTACATACGCCTATCCGCCTTACCTCTCCAAACTTTATTTCTCTTCTTGAAGAGAGTCTGAATGATGGTGAAGGGCTAAAGAGTCCTAAAATCCCAAACAAAGTCTCTCGCAAACGGAAGAGGGATACCCTCGAGAAGGATACCTTCGATGAAGCAGTAGTGGTACCTCGGAGGCCTGAAAGGTTGATAAAGAAGGCTCGGAAATAGTAGGAGAAAGAAGGTGTAGAATACTAGTTTGGAAAATCGTTTCTCTGTTTTTGTAGTAAACTATACTTAGCTGGCCAAAGGTTAACGATAAAAACTACTAGAAAACTCATATTATACTAATATAGTCGAATTTCTTATTTATATACAAGCAAACTTATAACTTTTTTATTAATACAAAATATTTTCGTTTTATTTTATACTTTTACTTTATAATACGAAAAAGTTTATATAGTATATAAATATTTCCTTTAATATTAGAAATTCATTACAATTAAATTAAAACTACTTTGGGGCGTTGCCTGCCACCCCCACCGAATTCAGCGGACATTAGTGTTAGTCACGTGCCACAGTGATAGCAGACTACCCACATCGACCAAGCGGTTGAGGAACCCTAACCCTAGAGCTGGCTGAGCCAGCTCTAGGGTTAGGGTTCTGACCGCCATATCTAGAAACACAGCTCCCCACAATCACTATCCGCTACATTTCCGCACCTCTCGAAGGATTGATTGATTAAAGAGATGCGAGAAAAGAATGAGCAAACGCCATTTCTCAGCCCGGAACAGGAACCTGTCCCAACTTTTCTCTTGTGCCTACGTATGAAACGACTTAGAAGGGGAATATTCAACACCTTATGGAGCACCCGACACTTCAATAAACGGACTATCGGCTTCCGAAGCGAACGTCCGAGTTGTCGGAGTTGGATTTATTCTACTAGAAGGCGACCACAACCAAGCACATCCTTAGCATCTTTTGATTACGCGATTCTATAGATCAATTGCGTTCACGATGGTGCTTATGGCACCTATCGTACAAGATTTGCAGTGTTGATTTACGTGTTCGGGATCCGAGTCCCGCTATCTGTACTACAGCAGACTTGATTAAGAACAAAAACTAGCAGAAAAAATAATAATACAGCTACGGTTGATACGGCTTATTTTGAACGTAATGTCCAGCCTTATAAGACTACCCTATTTACCATCCTCGGGCTGAATGGGTGTCAGAAACTTAATGAGGTCTTCGTTGGGTAGGTTTTGCAGTTCGCCAAGCTGTCTCCTTTGGAACAATCTTTCTTTGAACTCTCCTTCACCCCAAACAGAGAGTAAAAACTCATTGCCCACCTCACTCAACAACATTAGGCTTTCATACCGAGCAATGGTGGCACGGAAGGTCTCGAGGTCTTTGTTCGAAAACCTCGTCAAAGCTCTTAATGTGAACCCACTACCAAACCCAAGGGGTAAAAAGCAGAGAAGCCCATCGTATCCTTCTACCATCTTCATGATCTTCCGAGCCTCAGATATTTCCCTCGCGAATGCCTTCCGCGCTTTAGGAGTGTCTTCGATGCCACGACCTGCTAACACAGCTGATATACAACTTCCGCTTGCTCGATGTCGATGTTGATTTTCTTTCATGACTTTGGAAAGCCGAAAACTGGCTGACATGCCCAAAACGGTGTACAAAATACTGAGATTTTGTGCTTTTCGTCGTAGATTATCGTAGTGCCTAGCAGTTGACAACTCGTCCGTAGGCTTTCTCGAGGCGAACGAGCTTTTCAATGTATCGTCCGCACTGTCCCAAGCGTATACGATTGACATGAATCGCAAGATCGCACCATTGTCTATCGTTAGGCTTGCGAGTTGACGACCTGATTCGATATCGGTATCGGTATTAGTATCCTTCGTGTTGCTGTCGACTTTGATTTGGGCATCACCGCAACCGACACTGATAGCGGCGTCAGTGTCATTGTCGCTGTTCTGATTGCTATTCTCGTTGTTACCATGCTCTTGGTACTTGTCTTGCCCTTGGTCCTGCTCCTCGTCCTGCTCTTGGTCCTCCTCGTCCTGCTTTTCGTTTTCTTCATAGTCTCTCCGTTTAGTATCTTTGTTGCCGACAACATTGCTAATATCTCGAGACTGACCAAAATTCTGCCTTTTGCTGTGTAGTAGAAGGGTGGCGTTTAATTTCCGTTTCTTGGTGGGGGGCCCATGGGAAAGCTTTTTGAGGTTGCCATGGGACAGACCGTAGAACCCGTCTTCTGGACAAACAAGATTTCGAATAGGATGAGTACCGACGGTGTTGCTTGGGTATGGTATCGATGGTGGGGATGTTGAGGATGTTGAGGATGTGGTTGTTAATTCGTTGAGCTTGTTGTCGATGCGATTCAATACCTCAAGAACTTGTTGGATGGCGCTAGAGATGACGTCGGTTTGAGTGGAGGAAGAAGAGGGAGTGGATTTTTGCAAATTGGTTTCAGCAAAATTGCAAAGGTCTTGGATTTGGAGTTTGATTGATTCAATTTCGCTCTTAAGCGCCTCCATTTTGAAACGGCTGGAATTAAGAACGGAAGAAAGGACGATGGTTGTATGTAGTGGGAAGATGCGGAGATGGTAGAAGAAGAAGAAGAATGTATTTTACGACTACGTTCTACCATACATAATAATGAGTCGTGCCCGTGACGGCGGCAGGGCATCGGTACAAAAAGCAGGCGAAAAGTCCCATGGGTCAGGCACTAGCTTGGCCGGGGACGGAAAAACCTTTCCATCGTTGAGTTGGCGTGCGCGTCAGCCGGCGAGGGAGAGCCCCTCGCTTCTATCGGTCGTGCGCGTTTGGTGGAGTTCCGCTAGGATAGGAGTCGTGTGGACCGATTGTTCTCCTATCTCGGAAGTGTGGGGTAGGCAAGCCGGATCCGGGGAGGGGGAAGGGGGGATGATCGGGAATGCTTCGTCGTCGGTGTCGTCGGGTTCTGGCAGGGGTGCTCGGGTGCCGAGGAGTCTGCCGTCCGCGGTGGTGGTGACGCCGGTGAGGCCTTCGTCCTTCAGGGCTCTGAGCCGGGCGAGGAAGGTGGCGTGGCTGGTGCCGAAGGCATGTGGCGCGTCGGATGTGGCTCGAGGGTTTTGCCACGTGACGAGGGGGCATCGGAAGAAGTGGCCTTTTTTGCATGGTTCGCCGCAGATGCATGTGCGGAACGTCTCGCCGGGTGGTTGAATCGGGCGTGGTAGGAGTGGAAGTCCCAGTGGCTCGTGCGTTCGCCAACCCATCGTGCGAGGTGTATTCGGGGCAGGCGGAGGTATGGGTTGTCGCGATACCACAGGGTAGATCAGCCAGGCATGCCGGTCGGTGCGTGAGCCAGTGGAGCTCTGGGTCCGCTTCGGAGGGGAGGGTCCACATTTTCCGGCTTCGGGGTGGTGCTGCCGAGTCGGGGGCGAGCCATCTCCGGAGGCCGGGGAGGCGGGGGAGCCACGTCTCCTCTGGTGTGTTTCCATCCGGGGGGGCTTGGGACTCGGTAAGGGAGTGGAGATGGGACCAGCCGCGCGGTGGGGGCGTGCGCAAGCGTTGGGTGAGCGGGTGGTGGGCCGGGGGGTTGTGGACTGCCGCGGCCCGGGCCGTTTCTCGTCTGATGATTTCGGGTGGGGCGATGCCGGCCAAACGCTAAACCCCGCCAGTAAACGCCTGCAGCTTTGTAAACAGGTCAACCCGAATGCTCATTGCGAGGTAGTCGAGCCGCTCAGTGTTACGACGCTTATCATAGTTGTGAGGACTTCTGTGTAAGAAGGAGGAAGAAGGGGTACATGTCTGATTGCAGGAAATACAGCAAGAATCGGGAAGTGGGTCCAGAAGGTTGAAAGCGGAGATCGCACAAGTGACAACGCAGCGGCCCGCATTGTTCAGCTCCCCAACTTGTAGCGTAGCACTCAGCACCTTCCCCCCCCCGACCCGGCTGCCACCTTACCAAGACTTGTCTAAAATTAGACGTTCGTTGCGTGAGGCCGGGCAGCAGGCGGTCACTCCAGGTACCTCATTCAGTGAGCCGAAGAGGAGGAAAGGATAAGGCCCGGAAGGGCCGTAATGTGTTGGCGGGTAGATAGCATAGGATTCAATTGACCGTCATCTTCACCTTGGCTACTTCGCTTCTTGCCTTCCATCATTCATAAACCAAGTCACTGTCCTGGCCAGGTGCTTTGAGTGATCACCCTAAATATTCGGGTACCTTCGTTATGGCGGTCCCCAGAGCCAGAGGTTTGTAGCGTGCGTCGGCTCAAATCTCAATGCTCCCATGTTTACCGAACCCTTGGTGGCATAAAGCATGGCATCAATCCCGTCCGAGCCCACATCATGGCTCGAGGACGAGGAGTATACTGTTGAATGGTGATCTCAGGCGGATTGCAAGGCGTAGTTCCTAGAGTCTTTCATCCAAAGCCGCCCCTACCGCAAATCATCGAGTCCCTCGGTCAGCCCGACTACTCGCCCGACCACAATCTTCCCGTCCGTCCGCTTGAAGCCTCAATGCCTTTCCCTTTGGGTGAGAATGCATTAGATATCCTGCGAGAAGCTAATAAACCAAACCAGTCCCGATACGCTGCCGATGGATATCATCCGTCCCTGGAGGTCACAACTAGACGGTCGGTAATTCGGTGGCAGCCAGAGTACGTTCTGGCCGTTGCAAGTAATCCAAGACCTATCCTGTCCCAAGCCATAGCCATGGCTCTCTGGATTATCTAGTACAACTTGGCTTTCGGTAGTTTCTGTAACTATGTTAATACGTCCAACATTGGTACGTAGGTAGCAATTAGTATGGTCAAACGATATATCGGTCATTATAGTACTAGTAATAATCGTTTGGAGGCAGCTCCCCGATGCCGGATCCCAGATCTTGATCGTGTGGTCCGCCGAACCGGACGCAACCCGCTGGCCATCAGGCGAGAATGCCACTGAGTGAACCTCCCTGCTATGACCTTCTAAGGTCTGGAGGCATGCATTCCAATCCAATTCTACAGCCGGCTTAGTTCGAATCCATTCAGGTTCTTCTGCCCTGAAATTCCTCTTTATCAAGCTACCGCTTGGAGCAAATACAATCGCTGATATGTATGTTTGAAGTGGAGCTTGCTCTATTATTGACTTATAAGATAGAGCAAAGCGGTAAGCATCCCAAACAAGCTTTGATAACTGCGATTGATCATTACCTTCCTATATCTCTAGTTAGACCAAGTTCCTAGTGCGGAGTTAGACTTGTACTTACTTGCAGGCCCTCGAGCTTTCTAATAGCAACAACGCCCGCAGGCATAGTTTGGAACAGACTTAGAGCTTCCAGCCAGTAAAGGTACTTCGTCTTGAGGAATGTATAGACAACCCCGTTATCCTGTAAACGATCATGCCGTTTTGTGTTCGTACTGGAAACCAAGTCGCATAGGTGATCAACCCAGTAGACGCACGAGTACCGCACCGTCGCTAGCGGGTCCGGATTCGGTACTTGGACCTTGTCACTCGGACATCCCGGTGCGCTTAAGCCGTATATGTCGCGTCGCAGTGTTGTAGACATGGCATCAAGTGACCTCGAGAAGATGGTATAGTTCACATCTTCTTTCCCAGAAGGAAAAATCCACCTGAACGCCTCCTGAGAAGCTTGGTTGCCAGCTTTATCAGAGGCTTTGCCAAGTAAAAAGTCCTTAGCTGACTGATGAACAAAATAGACGGTTTGTTCTCGTAAACTTAGAAATGAACCGCAAAGCCCTATAATATCTTTTAGAGATTCAAGATTGTTGCAAATGGTATTGGGCAACTCGGCGAGAGAGGCTAGTTCTTGAAGGCTGATTGGCCGGCGAACAATTGCGACAACGGCAAGAATGTGCTTGCAGTAATCGGATCCATCGAACTGGCTCATATTCTCTCTCATCCGCGCATATAGAGCATCCAGTCCAGATGGAAACTTGCGTAGCTTTTCTACGGCAAACCCTTTCTGGACCTTTTCAAGTGCAAAGAAGCGGAAATAGAGTGACAATACGATAGCTCCCTACGAGCGAAGAAAACAAGCTCTTGAAACTCGCCAAGGAAAAGGCCAGAGAAGCCACTCAACAGGGCACCACTCCGCAAACGCAAACGCCCAGAATGCGGTCGACAACGCTCCGCGTGGCGCGATCCGAGAAAGGAACCAGCGAGCACTTACCAGAGAAAGTCGGAAGTCATTCTAAAAGAGTCGACGTAGCACTACTAGGCAAGCATACAAAGCGGCTCTACGACCGCCTGTCATGGAAGGAAGCCAGCGTACTCGCTCAGCTCAGAACAGGTATAGTAAGACTCAACGCTTACCTCCACCGAATTGGAGTAGCACCGTCCGATCAGTGCGCATGTGGGCAAGCCAGAGAGACAGTGGAACACTTCCTCTTCCGATGCAGGAGATGGACCGCGTACAGAACAGAGATGCTCCGGTGCACAAATACCCACAGAAGCAATATCTCTTTCTATCTAGGAGGGAAATCACCATCGGATAACAAAGACTGGGCTCCCAACGTAAAGGCCGTTCGGGCAACGATACGGTTCGCAATAACCACGGGTCGACTCGACGGGAACTTACCGCAGACCGACTAAACCACCCAACCTACTACACCCGACCGAACCCACACTCATCACCTCGTACTACGGAGAGCAGGCATCGCTTCAGCCGCCGAAGATAGGACGTTGAACACTTGAAGAATCGCCTTCAAGTCGGCCTACTAACAACCCTACTAACCTACGAGAATCCGCAGAAAAATGGTAGAAGAGAGGGCAGAAGCTAGAATGGACATTGTACGGGCTGCAAGGAGATCAGGGCATATCTTGGGAAATGTATGATCAGATTGTTATTAGTTGCCCTTTCGGGTTAAGCCCGCCGGGCGGAATAAACTGTCTGTGTGTGTGTGTGTGTGAAGGAAGCCAACCTTCTACTTTTATCACAACTTACCCATACCTTTGACCTCTTTAGCAGTATCCCACACATATTTAGTACATGGTATATAAGTCGACGATGATAAGCTTAGATATCTCCTCTTGTTGGTCCTTTTGGTTCGATTAAACTTGACTTGTTGTTGCGTCTGTTGCTCCGGCCATATTGTCTCTGGCACCGCTCACGTCCCCTCCTGTCGGCATGATATATCAGACGGGAAAGCTCGGTTGCGTCTTGAACCATCTCAATTATTGCGGAAGAATTCCATGCCACGCGAGCCCTGCACGGTGTTCTGCACTCTTAAACCGAGCCAAAGTCGACTGCGCGTCTTATCTGAAGGAAATCCCTGATGTCCATCTCATTGTGGTCCGAGAAGCGGCCAAATGGCTAATCAACTCAAACATATAAGACTGCCACCAGTCAACCCTCAAGTTGATACATGAAGTCCCCAGTTACTTCCCTCACAAGCATGCCCCCACCGCCTCCCATCCAGCACCCCCCGGTCCAGGTCATACGGAATCCTCACCGAAAACGCCTTGTCGGCAGCGGCGACCGTACCAGGTTCTTCCTCGTCTGGCACTACACCCTCGACGAACCGTCAGACCTCTCCCAGCGCCAATGGCGGAGCTTCGAGAAGCGCTTCTTCCGCACCTGCTGTCGCGTCCTCGACTCGAGCCGCTCGGAAAAGGACGTCTTCCTCCGCCGCGCTCAGGTCGGGTATGACCCCGGGCTCCGCGTGTTCTTTTATAAGGACTGGCTGCGCTATACGCTTGTGTACGTCAATGAGCGGGAGTTGGCCTGGCTGGAAGAGTTTGGGCGGCCGGAGGTTCGTTTGCTAGACTTGTTTTTTTTTTACCATGGTTATCTTCCCGATGACGTTGTTGTGGCAGTGCACTGACGGAGCGTAACCTAGCTCGAAGTCTTGGAAGAGGACTTTGTGGGTGTTTATGCTTAGATCTGGCTAAGATGAGGAGGATTAACGAACAATGAATGTCGGATGAGAATACGACAAACGACGAGTCTCGAGACTGAATACACGACGCATATTACATATGTCGACGATGCGATATATATACGAGTACTGGGATTTACGGACGAGCGAAACACTGGTGCAACGACAGTGTGGTTAACGACTCCGCGCGGTGACTATAGTTTTTACAGAAGCTATAGGAAAGGTATGTGTTACCACCAATGTTCCTCAGTCGTCCAAATATTTATTAGTGATTTATTAGCGTTGATTTTGGCTTATTCTAACAATGTCCAGTACTGAGCTAGTGTTCACGGTCAACCTCAGACATCCAAGAAACCCCGTCAAACGTGAGCCGAAGGGATCACGGAGTTCCGTCCTGTACATGGCTGCATGTGTGGCTGGATGGAGGCAACGCCCTTGGCTATTGTCATGTCTTCCTGCCGCGTTAAGGTTCGGCCCGTCCGGGTATTTCCCGCCCGGATAAGAGCGGAATAGAATAGCGGAACGGAATAGGCCTCATGACTCGGACGTATTCGACGGGATTGATCAGCGAGAGCATGACAAAGATTATATGGATAGATAAGGGAAACTGTTCGGATCAAGGCACTTGGTCGTCATCCATTGGCATTTGCAGCTCTTATTACAAGTCGGGGTAGTCATTCGTTATCACGAAGAATGGATAAAGCTTCTCAAGGTCACTACGAATTGCGCAGCAAGCGGCCGCCCACGGGTGTTTATTGACAACTGCCGGTGCCTAGAGAATAGAGTCAGAAGGACAGGTGGAAACTAGGTTCAAGTGTGCAACCCTGGATATGACTGCCTGTGGTTGTGCTACGAGACGAATCCCCGTCTACTTGACTTCCGGATCATCCCACGAACCATGATCCCCTTCGGATCACGGTGTCAGTTCCGATGTACCGCAGCATCCTTCTTCTCCTTATCGTACGAAAGCCAGAGGAGGTCGGGGCGGCTGTAGTGGCCGACGATATCCTGGAAACTCTTGTTGGTCACCACCCTGGTCAGGTCCAGGTCGGCATACACGATACCCTCGGCGCTCGGCTTGTCGGCCAGGGGTTGCGTAAGGCGTCGCCCGTCGGGGCCAATGACGCAGCTGTGGCCGCCGCCGGGCTCGCGGAACAGCATGCCGTTGCGCGTGTCCATGGCCTCGATGCCGCTCTCGTTGCACACGGCGGTGCAGTGCAGCACGAACGCGCCGCTCTCGACGGCGAACGTCTGCGACAGGTTCTGGCACCCGTCGGCCGTCATGCTCCACAGACCCGGAAATTCGACGCCCGGGTAGGGGTCGATGGGCGGCCACATGGCGATATGAATGACGACGCCCTGCTGGATCTCGTGGAACTTGAGGAGCGGCTGAGCGTGTTCCCAGCAGTTGAGCGTGCCGACCTTGATGGACCCCAGCTCCGACCCGAAGTCGAGCTCTGCGACGCAGTTGAGGTCCGGGCCGGACCCGTCGCCGAAGATTGTGCGTTCCATGTGCGTCGGCTTGAGCTTGCGGCGCTGCAACACCACCTCTCCCTGCGGCGAGATGATGGCCTGTCCCATGTACAGGCTGCCGGAAGAGCTGCGCTCCGAGAAGCCGATGACGACCGCGATTGAATCTTCCTTGGCAGCTTGTTGGAGCTGCTCCATCTCGGGCGAGTTGGCTGTGAGGGAGTTGTACGCATACTTCGTGTTCAGCGCCGGGTCGACCGGTCGGGCCCTATCCAGATTCCAGAACCAAGTTAGTTACCTGGAGCAGCATCTTGTAATAAACAATCAATGGGGTCGTCGAGCCTACCAACACCAACCAGGGTAGCCCGGGGCCCATGTCTCGGAAAATGCAACGATCTTTGCGCCATTGCTTGCGGCTTCGTGGACGAGCGATACCGCTTTCTTGATGGACGCCTGAAGATCCAGCCAGATCGGCTCGGCCTGTGTGACTGCGACTTTGATCGTTGTTGCCATGGTTTCCTGCGGTTGGGAAAGAAAGGGCAGGGAATTGATCCTGACTGTCTGTTTCTGTTTCGGGGCCACCTCCTTTAAGCTGGCCGGCATATCAATTCGGTACCGGATTTCGTTCGGCAACTCAGCCAGTGCCAGCCCCTGAATTAATCCTCCTATCTCCTTGGAATTGCAAAGTAGACTTTTTATATTTGTCATCCACTTACAGGGATCTGGCCCAATAACAGCCCTATCTTTAAGTAGCGCTGAAGACTATGGACCTTAGAGCCTAGGCCACTTCACAATTCTAAAGAGATCAACCGCGCCGCCCAACCGCAGCCGCCAATGCTGCAGCTAACGGTCAAACCCCTCCCGATGGGCGAAATCGGCACCACTGCAGCAGCAACTGTCGTTACCCGAATGCTTTCAACATTTCCGTCGATCAGATTTGGACTGATGGTTGGTATTGGTGGTGGCATCCCCAAACATGACGTCCGCCTCGGAGATGTGGTCGTGAGGCTCCAAACCCACCATCAAGTTCTGCGGGTATATCTTCGGCCCAGGCATTTCCGGCAACGCAACAAAAGATCGAGCTATCTCCACGGCCGGTTACGCCCTACAGAAAGAGCTCCACCAAACCCCAACCCACGTCTGGATGGCCTTCTTCACCGGCGCCTCCTGGACGAAGACGGCTAGTCCCTCGGGCGCATACTCCGTCGTCTTTCCATCCCCCAACTCAACCGATCATCACAAACTGGCCAAGATGGCTTGGTACATGGCCTCCTCCTCGGAGGTGGTCAATGAGAAGAGACTGTCCGGCCTGGCAGTTGCGCAGGCACTCCACATTGCGGACGAGAGATTGCGCGCCCTGCCTAACAATAAGGAGCGGCCGAAGAAGGCGACGATAAAGGTGTTTGTGTATTGCGTGGAGACGCTCAAAAACATCGACGACCCTGGCAGCATCGGGGGTGATGGAAGGGAGGCGCAGCTGGAAATGGTTAAGTTGATCGAGGATCTTTCATACAGCCTCTGCAATATTGCTGGCATCAATGTGAGACTGTACCTCCAGTGGGTGCCGGCGGACTATGGGAAGATGGTGTGCACTAGGGATTTCGCAAAGCGGTGTCGTCGGAAAAAAGGCAGGAAGGATTTGTATTACGTTGGGAATGATGTGAGGGATGCTGGGCTGATGCCTGAGGGCGTTTCTGGCTTCATTGAACGGGATACTGTGGAAGAGAGTCAGCAGTCTACGATGGAGGAGTCAGGAGGGTCCGTGCCAATGGCGGAGGAGGGACCTGCCTCGATGGCGGAAGTGGTGTTGGAGGAGTTGCCAGTAGAGGTACCCAGCCCCATCGATGGCCGGGCTGGTGTGGATCAGGAAGAGATGCCCATGGATGAAAAGGACGCGGTCGAGGAGCAGACTACGACCAGCGAGCAGGTCCCGAATGACGGGCTCGTCACGAACGACGAACAGGCCTCGCTCAATCAGCAAATACTTGCTGATTGCTACCAGCAGCAGATTCAATTCCTCGGCGAACAAGGGAACCAGGACGTTGCAAATCAATAGATGTCGAGAGGGCTTGCGGATGGCTATGCCGATGAGTTGCGTCACTTGGTCCCGGACCATCTGTTGCCTTCTCCCCCCTCGCCGTAATGGAGATCTATCTCGCATTGCGCCGGGGGCTCTTTGGCTACCAAACTTGTATTGCTTGAGGGATATAAAGAAGGATTTGTGGATTGTCTGGAGGGCATGTTGTTTTGTTAGAGCGTATGGAGTTTGGCGTTGTTCTGGGTTCCTCTTTGTGGGGCATGTCTTTGCTGTTACAAATCGCCTTGCATCCTAAGAAGCAGGTTTAAAGGACAACTCCACCTCGAATCAGCCTTTCACAATCTTTCCTCCTACAAGAATTTATCTTGGTTTACTCCCCAATCTTTATTATTTACTCCCTATTACTTCCTATCACATTAGGAGTTCCCCTAGTCGTCGTATATCTCAACAGCAACGCTAGAGGGACCGTAATGGTAATATTACGCAGAATATATCCGCAGCAGTCAAAAGTTGATAGAACTCTCTCGTATATTCTAGCAGGCGCGGAGGGCTCTAATAATAATACCTCGCTTTATACTTAAGCTTTCGGTCGATCTTTTTAGTAACCCGATTCCGTCTCTTGAAAGCGCGTATGGAGAGATATCCTAAGTGTTTACTTGAGAGAGCGGGAGGATGAAAATGATGATGGAAATGATGATGGCGGAGAAGGTAGCAGAAGTGGCAAAATTTGCTGTGAAGGGTTCCCGACTAGATGTCTCGTCTTAGTCTTAGCACGAACCAGATTACGGCCGAGACACTATGCTGCCCCATAGCTTTGTAGAGTCACCTAGCCTGCCAAAATCCACCTTGCTAAGCACTACAGCCTAACCTAAACCGTAAGCCGTTTCTGGCACTGATGCAACCCACTCCAAACGCGCTTACAAATAACTCGCTTCAGCTCCACAGGCCGGCGATTGTTGATGGTTAAGAACAACCCCCAATAGCTGCATAAGGATGCAGATATACAGATTAGAAACTTTTACGGTAGTTTTACATATAACCGAATAGAGGCCTTCAGATTGCACTATACAGCAAGAATTAAGATGAGCCTAGCCACTCCATTTGTTGGTGGGTCCCAGGCAGGCAACTGGGGCACTGGGCCAGAGTCACATGCTGTTGGTGGGTCCGTGCCCTGCCCAGACCACCATTCTCTAGCCTTCCAGACCCGCCAGTCTCTCTCCATAGCACACACACTCAATCAACCTCATTACAATCGCTTGATTTCGTTGTTCGTGATCTCACAGGTTATGAGCCCTCTCAGACCTTCCCTGTGATCGCATCGCAATCAAGTAGTCTCCTTCATCACGGCATTTGCAGCACCGGGTCTTAAGCTCACGACTCGCGACCTTCGATTGAACTCGATCGACTCGCGACCTTCACCAAGCTCACCCAACAGCTACCCCGCCCATGAAGATTCTGGCTAACACTTGTTGCCTTACCTCCCTTCCTCAGCAATCAACAAGTCAAGCGACTCAATCTCATTCAAATCAACCAGCGCCTAGTCTAGCGACTCGCGCCAACCTTCTACAGACAAGCGACACCCTCATCACTGCCGCCATCATGTCTTTGACCCCGTCCTCCCTCGTTTACCTCGAGGGCGAGCGCAACATTGATGACTGGGAGCAAGGACTCGAGGCTGAACTCGACTGCCTTGGCCTCACCGATTACATCTTTGGCACCGTCGTTGAGCCCGACCAAGTCGCCAAACCAGATGCCCATAAGACCTGGTTTACCCAGCGCGCCAACGCCATGAAGATCCTGTTGGCGACTCTCAAGAACCAGGCTGTCATCACCACCCTCACGATCAACGGCTGGGACAGAAAGAACAAGGATCCCAAGGTCTTGTATGACCTTATCCAGTCTTGCATTGCCCGTGTCACCAACGAAGCTCGTAGCGAAGTTCTCGCCGAGTTCTTGGCCATCAAGCGTGCCAACTTCGACACCATGGCTTCCTTTCTTAACCGCTACACCCTCCTGCGCAAGCGCGTTCAAGATGCAAAGTTCGAGATGACTGACGACTTCGAGGTTACCCTTCTCTTCAACGCTGTTAAGCATCACTACCCTGTTGACGCCAGACACTGGGCTGCCTCCCTCGAGGACAAGACCCTTACAGTCGGTGGTCTACTGGCCAAGCTTAGCAACATCGGTAACGCAGAATCACGTACCTCCAGCATCAACGTCAACATTCAGATGTCGACCAACGGTAACAGCAACAGCAATACTGGCGGTGGCTCATCAGACAATAAAGGCAGCAAGAAGGAGGACAAGAGAGTCGACTGCCCCAAGTGCAACAAGAAGATGTATCCCTCCCAGAAGCACATGGCTTGCGGTCATCACGTTACAGCCAAGGCAGATATCTGCTGGTTCTGCAACCCCGACAAGGCTCCCGATACCTGGAGGCCCAAGAAGGATGCCATCGCGAAGAAGGCTGGCACTTCTGGCACTGCTGCTGGCACCAGCGCTTTGGGCAACAATGCCTCTACCAACCTTACTACCCCGGCTACCGCTGCCCCCAACTCTGCCTTGTTGTATGGAGGTGGACTGTTCATGGGCATGAGCGGTATTGGCGCTGGCAGTATGGATTTTTGCTAGAGCCCCTAGCAGACGCGATTCAGCGTGTTGACAGTACTCAGACTGGTCAATCAAACGATTCTAATCAACTTCAACTTCAACACGCTCACAGTGATCTTACTAAAGTTCAACAGGCTCAAAGGCAACAACAACAACAACCAGATGGTCTTCGTGACCTCGTCATCTACGATTCAGGCTGTGCTTCCAACATCTTCAACCACCTCAAATGGTTTACAGATCTACAGCCTCTTCCCCACCCCATTGTACACACAGTCGGCAATGGAAGCTCGACCTATGCCTACCATATGGGCACCGTTGAGCTCTCTATGGCCACCCTCAACAACATTAACGTCAGGGTCAGAATCAAGAACTGTATCTACAGTCCTTCTACCCCAGCGAATCTACTCACAACCAAGGGTCTTCTTGACAACGGCATGGCATGGGATATGCGTACCAACCAGATTACAGCACACGGCAAGGTTACGATTCAATGTAAATGGGTCAACAGCCTCCCAGTCCTTCCAGTATACGCCCAGCAAGACTTCCCTCAAGACACTCGCCACGCCATGATGGCTTCAATCAACTACTCAACAATGCACCGCCGCCTTATGCACGCAGGCAGGGACCAGGTTCTCAAAGCTTGTGAAGCGGCTGGCATCAAACTAAGCAATACCCAAGAACATTTCTGTGAAGCATGCGTCAAAGCCAAGGCTCACGATGTTATCCCCAAGATTGCCAACAAAACCACGACTCAACCCATGGCATACATCCACGTTGACGTCGTCTCCCATACCCTCCCTGGTCATAAAGGTTACAAATACATGATCCACTTCATCGACGAGGTGACTGGATTCCACTGGGCGAGGTTTATGGTTAATAAAGGCGATGCATTCATTCAAATCAAAGAGTTTAAGAAATGGGCTGAGCTTCAAAGCGGTGGGCTCAAGATCAGAGCGTTTGGTCTCGATGGAGGTCCAGAGTTTGGCTTCAGCACCAAGGAATTCCAGCGCAGTAAACTCGTTGACTGGGCACGCACAGAAGGAGTTGAGCTTCTTAAATCAACACCCCATACTCCCTGGATGCAGGGCAAGATCGAGAGAGCTGGTGCCATCATCATGCAACGGGCCAGAGCTCTGATGATAGATCTGGGCATTCCAGAGCATCTCTGGCCTTTCGTCGTTGATCACGTCGTCAGAGTGCTCAACCTTCTTCCCTCAAAGGCATGCAACGACAGAAGCCCATGGGAATTGCTTGCAGAAGCCGCTAACTTCCCTGATGAGATCAAGAAGCCATACATCAAGCACTTGAGGTCTTACTTCTGCACTGCGTATTACTTCATCAAACCAGAGAGACGTCCCAAGGCTGACAAATTTCGAGCCAAAGCCCAGAAGGGTTACTTCATTGGCTTCGATGATCTCCACGGCCGCATCGTCTTTATCTGGAACCCTCATACTGGTGAAATCGTACGAGCCAGCGCGGTAACCTTCCTTGAGGAGGATCCAGTCAACCAGAAGGATCCAGTTCGTGACAGCAATGGCAATATCGTGGAGCATCACGTCATCTTTTCAGATCAGACAGTTGATGAAATCAACACGGTTGCAGAAAGCGGTTACCAGATCTGGGTCAAGGTTGATGGCAAGGTTCCCCAGCCTCATTCACAGCAACCACAGAAAGCGCTTGAGCCTTCACCTCAACACGTTGCAAAGAAGCCATGGGAGACAACGATCACACTGCCCCTCTCACCAGAAACAACTCCAGCGCCCGCGGTAACCCCAGTGCCTTCAACCGCTCCAGTGCCCCAGAACCCTCCAGTTCTCCCAGCACAACCGCCAGTCGCTCCAGACCCTCAGAGCTCACCAGATCCCCAGGACCCTCTAGCTACCCAGAGTGCTCCAGATTCCCCTCCTCGACTAGAGACTTCAGTCTCCCAGTCACCGAGTCCAGTCTCAGAGTCCCCAGCGGCCGTGACATCTCCAACTCGCTCGTCACCAGACCCTCCTCAACAGTCTGAGTCCCCAGGAGTCATAGATTCCATCGAGGATGACGACCTTCTTGATCTCGAGGATCTAGATGAGGAGGATCCCAGACCCCGTGACCGTCGCGACTCTTCTGATGGAGATAATGAGCTAACCGTGTACACTGCACCAGGCACTCCTTTGCCCAGTACTCTACAACAGCCCGCATCGGCGGCACGGCTCCCTCCCATAGGCACACCAAACCCCAACCGCATTCGACAATATACCCCCTCATTGAATACCCGAGTGAGCAAGTTGCAACTGCAACCATCAACACCTCTGCAGACCCAGTCTTCGACCCAACAACCTGCCCAGGCACAGCCAGCACAAGGAAGCCAACCCTCTGAGTCTGATGCACACGCATCACACCCAGAGGTAAGTGAAGGCAGACCTCGTCGCTCTACGGCCAAACCAGCAGATTACAAGTATGGTCTTCAGAAGGTTAAAGATAGTATGGGCAACACGATTCAAGAGTCGGTTACACTACCCAACAATTTCCATAACACAACAGAGGGACGGCTGGTTAGACGAGATCACGTATACTGCCTTACGGCCGTCAAAGTCAATCACGATATGCTCTGTCTTACCGCAGCAAAGGCACAACGGTTTATCCCCAAGAACTACCGTCAAGCACGCAAGCAAGCCAACTTCGAGATATACTGGCTGCCAGCCATGAAGAAGCAAGTCCAAGCTCTCGAGGACAGAGGAGTCTATACCCTCGTGCCCAGAACCTCTGATGTGGATGTTCTCCCTGGCAAATGGGTATACGACGAGAAGCTCGATATCGATACAAAAGACTGGCGTGCCAGAGCAAGATGGGTAGTCTGCGGCAATTACGAACAAGACAACTGGGCTGTGCAAGACATCTACGCGGCGGTGGCACACTCTGTGAGTGTGAGGCTCTTCCTGGCCATCATGGCCTTGAACAATTACGAATGCTACCAGTTCGATTTCGATACTGCCTTCCTCAATGCCCCCATCCCCGACAACACCCAGTATTACGTCGAGCAACCGACGGCTCTCGAGAAGCCCATACTCGGTTACAGCAAAGAAGACGTGGTCTGCCAGCTCACCAAGGCCTTGTACGGCCTCAAACGTTCCCCACTTTACTGGTTTGAAACCCTCCTTCCAGTCCTCAAAGACACTGGATTCGTGCCTGTCTCTGCAGACTCTTGTCTTCTTACCAACAGAGCTCTGGGTGCACTGCTCGTACTTTACGTTGACGACCTTCTCGTTGCTGCGCCAACTGCAGCCATCGTCAACCGGGTCAAAGAGCAACTGGCCAGTCATTTCAAACTCAAAGAACTGGGAGAAGTGCGCACCTTTCTGGGTTACGATATCGTGAGAGATCGTCAGACTCGCACAGTCTTTATATCCCAACAGCGATACACTATGTCAGTCATCGCCAAGTTCAACGACGGCAAGACTAAGCTCCACGGCGTCAAGACACCTTGGCCTCCGGACTCTAAGGTCTATGGGGGTGTTGAGGTGTCTGCAGACGAGGCCAAATCTTACCCCAAGAAGACTGGCTCCCTGAACTGGCTGTCCATGAGCACCCGCCCGGATATCTCTTACACTGTCAGCAAGCTCTCTGAAGCCAATAAGAATCCCACTGACAGACACCTCTTCGTCATGAAGCACCTCTGGCGATACCTCTCTGAGTATACAGACTTGGGTATTGTCTTGGGGGGCATGCTCTCACCGTCAATGGCACCCTCCTTCCACGCTTGTGCGGATGCCTCTTTTGCAGACGACATTCCAACCAGGAAGAGTACTGCTGGCCATATCGTGTTCTTTACATGCGGCCCCATCCTCTGGAAGTCAAAGAAGCAAGATCTTGTCACCACAAGCACAACAGAGGCAGAGTTTACCAATCTAGTTCCCACCGCGAAGGCACTGGACTGGATTTGCGGCATGCTTGATGATTTGAACGTAGATCTGGGCCTTCATAAAGTCAACAGAATACTCTACACAGACAGCAGCAACGCCAAGAACAGAGTGTTGAACCCCAAGATGCCAACCAGAAACAGATATATCGACATTCGGTACAAATGGCTGATTCAGGAAGTGATGGACAGGAAGGCATTCACAATCGAGCATTTGCCGGGTGAGGAGATGCCAGCTGATGGCCTCACGAAGCCACTCAAGCCGGATAAGCACGCAAAATTCGTAAAGTTGGTCGGTATGGTTCAAAAGAAGGTTCCCTGGGCTTGATCAACACCAGAAAGATTATCACCATGTAAATAGTAAACAAAGAACAAGACACTTTTATGGCGGTCTTCCAGTCTATGGGGGTGTGTTGGTGGGTCTGTGCCCTGCCCAGACCACCATTCTCTAGCCTTCCAGACCCGCCAGTCTCTCTCCATAGCACACACACTCAATCAACCTCATACAATCGCTTGATTTCGTTGTTCGTGATCTCACACATGCTCTGTGCCGTGCCCACCGTGCCGTGCCCAGACCGCACCACTTTCTAGCCTTCCAGACTCGCCAGTCTCTCCTTCTCTCGATAGCATGGACAACATACCAAAAACCAACCGTATACACGCTTGCTCTCGTTGTTCGTGATCTCACACCATTTCGATACAGCAGTTAAGGACGACAGCGTGTCAGGATGCTCAGGCCCAAGGACTCGCTGCCGAGCCTCAACACAGTCTTGCATCAACGCTAGGGCATCTTCATGTCGACCTTGACTATTCCACGTGAAAGCAAGGTTGGCCATGCTCGTCAGCGTGTGTGGGTGGTCGGCCCCGAGCTTCGCCTTGCTCGTCTCCATCACCTGCACCTCCAGCTTCTCGGCCTCGTCCCACCGGCCCTGGTTCCAAAGCGTCGACGCCAGGCTGCCCATGCTCGTCAGCGTGTGTGGGTGGTCGGCCCCGAGCTTCGCCTTGCGAGTCTCCATCACCTGCACCTCCAGCTTCTCGGCCTCCTCCCACCGGCCTTGGTTCCTGTACGTCGACGCCAGGTTGGCCATGCTCCTCAGCGTCGAGGGATGATCGGCCCCGAGCTTCGCCTTGCGAGTCTCCATCACCTGCACAAACAGCTTCTCGGCCACCTTCCATAGTCCTCTATCTCGAAATACTGATGCAAGCAATGACGTGCTCGAGAGAGTCGCCACATCGTCCTTTCCCAACCTCCTCTTGCGTACCTTCCTCGCCTTGTCCAGCATCTGCTGTGCATCTTCATATCTCCCTTGCGACCACGCGTACCATCCCCCGTTGTGCAAAAGAATCGCCCATGACTCGACCGTATTTTCGCTAGGTCGATAATCCGAGGCCACTCGGGCGTGCGCAAAGAGGGTCCGACACATGGCCCAGTTCTCGAACTGGCCCGTTGGGAATGAAGCTGCCATCCGCTCGATGTACTGCTGCCTGAACGTCTCCTCCTGCCCAAACGTTTCTGGGCAGTCACGGGTTAATCTCGTGGCATCTGGACCGCACAGGCACCCGTAAAAGGAGAGTCAAGAGATGGAATAGTCTTGCTTCTTCGTAATGGAATACGTCATTTTAACAACAGTAAACGTTACCAGAATTTACATAATTCCTATAAATTTGCTTATCCTCCCAGACTCTTCTGGTGCCACGCTAGAAAAATAAAATAGAGAGAAAGGAATTAAGAAAGATATGGAATACATTATATATCTTGCGAGAAACCAATAAACCAAACCAGTCCTGATGCGCAGCCGATAGATATCATCTGTCCCTGGAGGTCACAACTAGACGGCCGGTAATTCGGTGGCAGCCAGAGTACGTTCTGGCCATTGCAAGTAATCCAAGAACGACGCTGTTCCAAGCCATAGCTATGGCTCTCTGGATTATCTAGTACAACTTGGCTTTCGGTTGTTTCTGTAACTATTTTAATACCTCCAACGTTGGTACGTAGGTAGCGATTAGTATGGTCAAACGATATATGGGTCACCCTAGTACTAGTATTAATCGTTTGGAGGCAGCTCCCCGACGCCGGATCCCAGATCTTGATCGTTTTGTCCAACGAACCGGACGGTAACGGCCCAGCTATGGCCTTCCAAGGTTTGGAGGCATGCATTCCAATCCAATTCTACAGCCGGCTTAGTTCGAATCCATTCAGGTTCTTCTGCCCTGAAATTCCTCTTTATCAAGCTACCGCTTGGAGCAAACACGAGCGCTGATATGTATGCTTGAAGTGGAGCTTGCTCTATTATTGACTTATAAGATAGAGCAAAGCGGTAAGCATCCCAAACAAGCTTTGATAACTGCGATTGATCATTACCTTCCTATATCTCTAGTTAGACCAAGTTCCTAGTGCGGAGTTAGACTTGTACTTACTTGCAGGCCCTCGAGCTTTCTAATAGCAACAACGCCCGCAGGCATAGTTTGGAACAGACTTAGAGCTTCCAGCCAGTAAAGGTACTTCGTCTTGAGGAATGTATAGACAACCCCGTTATCCTGTAAACGATCATGCCGTTTTGTGTTCGTACTGGAAACCAAGTCGCATAGGTGATCAACCCAGTAGACGCACGAGTACCGCACCGTCGCTAGCGGGTCCGGATTCGGTACTTGGACCTTGTCACTCGGACATCCCGGTGCGCTTAAGCCGTATATGTCGCGTCGCAGTGTTGTAGACATGGCATCAAGTGACCTCGAGAAGATGGTATAGTTCACATCTTCTTTCCCAGAAGGAAAAATCCACCTGAACGCCTCCTGAGAAGCTTGGTTGCCAGCTTTATCAGAGGCTTTGCCAAGTAAAAAGTCCTTAGCTGATTGATGGACAAAATAGATAGTTCGTTCTCGTAGTGTTAGAAATGAACCACAAAGCCCTATAGTTGTTTCTAATGACTCGGAATCGTCGTAAGTGTTATCAAGCTTGTCGGCGAGAGTGGTTAGTTCTTCAAGGGTGATTGGCCGGCGAACAATTGTAACAATAGCAAGAAGGTGCTTGCAAAGATCGGATTCATCGAGCTGGCTCATATCCTCTCTCATCCGCGCATATAGAGCATCCAGCCCAGATGGAAACATGCATAGCTTTTTTAGGGTAAACCCTTTCTGGACCTTTTCAAGCACTTGACAGACTAACGCCACCCAAAGGAAGGTATCTTGCGCGTTGGAGCACAGGTAGTCCTGAACGGTCTTTTTTGTCCTTGGATCATACTTCTTCAGCCCTGCTAGGTCATCCACCTTGTGCAGGATAAATGCATTGACAGCTGCTGCGACGGATTCCGCATTTAGCTCCAGAGAGACCTTCACTTTATCTGCGGCTTTCTCCAACCGTTCCTCAATTTGCGGCCAATTACGGCTTGAGACGATCCACTTGACTCGAGATCCAGATGATGATTGCTGAGCAATTAAGTCGAGAAGCTACGGCAGGTCTGTTTTAACGCACTCGTCAAGCGCGTCAATGACTAGGTAGGTCGTTCGGAGGCTTGGGTCTTGTAGGATGTTGGTGAAGATTCTCGACAGGGCGTCCCACGTATTTGCATCTTTGAAGAGGCCTTCGCCGGCACGGTCGTACTCACTCCGCACGTGTGAGAGGATAGATGGCTGCTGGTCACTAAGGAGGTAGATTAGGCCGCGCAGTACAGCGGTTGCATTGTTGATGCAAGAGTCGGTAGCTTGGCAGAAGAAGTAGGCCACATTGCAATGGCGCGCGTTGGCAGTATTGCCTTGATCCAGCTCATTGATGATGCCACACAGCAACATAGTCTTCCCTTTGCCGGGGTCGCCCTTGATCCAGAGCAGTCGGTGCTGTGAGTCGTCACGCCATTGTTGAAAGTCAGCGTTATTGAGGATCCAACGATACGAGTCCTGCAAAAGGCCGCCTTTGGTCCGTTCGATGCGGACTTTATCATCGCGAGGATCGGTAATGCGCAAGTGCTTCAGGCATTGCTCGCATCCGGTGCGTACGATCACACTATCAAGATCTGGATACGGCATCGGAGAGGTGTCTCCAAACATTGGAAGGCCATCGCGATGGGGTTTGCTCAGTGGCATTCTCGCCTGATGGCCAGCGGCTTGCGTCCGGTTCGGCGGACTTTACGATCAAGATCTGGGATCCGGCGTCGGGGAGCTGCCTCCAAACGATTATTACTAGTACTATGATGACCATTATATCGTTTGATCGTACTAATCGCTACCTACGTACCAACGTTGGACGTATTAAAATGGATATAGAAACTACCGAAAGCCAAGTTGTACTAGCTAATTCAAAGAGCTATGGCTATGGCTTGGAACAAGATAGTTCTTGGATTACTTGCAACGGCCAGAACGTACTCTGGCTGCCACCAAATTATCGACCATCGGATGGTTCTGACTTCCAGGGACGGATGATATCTATCGGTACCGAGTTAGGACAGATGATATCTATCGGTACCGAGTTAGGACGAGTTTGGTTTATTAGTTTCTCGCAAGACATATAATGAATTCCATGTCTCTCTCTATTGCTTTTCCTTTATTTCATTTTTGTAGCGTGCCACTAGAAGGGTCTGGGAGGATAGGCAATTGTATAGGAATTTTGTAAATCCTAGTAACTTCTATTAATGTCAAGATGATGTATTCTATTACGAAGAAGCAAGACTATTCCATCCGGGTGCCTGTGCGGTCCAGATGCCACGGGATTAACCCGTGACTGCCCAGTTATGGCCAAAGTTGGTACAATGGTAGTGTGAGAGCGTGATCCTACAAGTGATAAGACAACAAGACTAGAAGCCACAAATCAAAGTAATATTATTAAGTGTAAAGAGGATAAGGAAGCTGTCAAACGAGGGCATCACGGTTCTGGACATATAAGTCAGAACTGCCGCTCGTTCCCGCCTTCCTTTTCCGTACGGTCTTATCGATAAGAACATGAGCCTCTTTCCATCTGATGTGTCATGGTGCCCTGTACCCGGCGCCCCATTGCCCAGTGGCCAATGCTCTGGTAACCTGTCCAGCCATGCCATGACAGGTAGAAGCCTCGATTCTCCTTGATCGGATAAGTGGTCTCTTCCTTGGTGGTGTTTGGGAGAGCCGACACACTTGGTAGTAGCGTCGCCACAGCTATATGGTCTTCCCTAGTCTAGATGCGGGGGATCGCGGTTTAAAATGCGGCTTTGCACCACCGACTAGGCGTTGAAGGTACTCCAAGACTGACTTCACACTAGGTAGTAATTCGGCTCGTATGGGTGACAAAATGCCATCCCTCTTTCTTGATTAACCATGCTGACTGATGAGAAGAAGCGCACAGTTTTGTGAATAGTTGTCACTCCACTCCGGCATTTCCAGCTCAGAATTCCGCCTGCGGCTTTGAACTTGGTTGTGATAACCCAGAACAGGACAGCGAGTTCTACAACTTTATGCCCCCGCCGCTGGAGGATAAAGTGAGGAACACTTGTAATCTATTGCGCGGTGGAGTCTGCTATAGGCCTAGGTTCTTACGTTCTAGTCGGATTCGCCTGCCCAAATATCTCGGGTTCTTACGCTTCGTAGTGTCGGCGGGGACGTTTTAATCGCGAGAAGGACGGCTTCCAATCCATCGTCCTGCGAGCGTAGCTGAGGGATGTGGCAGTAAGGGCAAAGGGCATAACGGTTGAGTACTTTTAATCGTCGGCCTGGATTTTGTATCGGCTGTCGATGAGCTGAGGTTGAAAGATGCAGCTTCACCCAAGTGTGCGGCGGTGCTGAATGGGCACAACAGGTACAAACGTCTACTCCAAGTTAGTCAAGTTTACCTAAGAAGCTCGTAAAAAAATGAGATATATAGTCACCGTGTGCTCCCATAGAACCATGGTATCTAAGCCTAATTTAGAATTAACTTTCAATGTGCTAGCCTGGCTCATAGCCTTAGCCGCGCTTGGCATGAGTGATAGGATGAAAACGCTTCTGGAAACACCGGCGTTTCTACATCCTTGCCGGGGTATGAAAGGTTAATTTTTTACTTTTGCCGCAGCGTAGCATTTACAGAAAAGTGCCCAGCCGCTAACCTCTGTTCTCCTACTTTCTGTAGGATCGACGTACTCGCCCTAAAATTCATATCCCGGCAGAGGTGTAGCTGACCGCAAACGTCGACGCACAAGTGAATCCCCGTCTCCCTCAACCACCGACAAGCGCATCCTCACTACCTTAGCTCAACTAGCCAAGAGCCACGCCGATCAGCAAAGTCGCCTCGAACACCTTGAAAAGATGATGGCCGACTCTGTTCGGGGCGAACACTGTCTTCCATGCCGATACGATACGGAGGAAATGGAGCACATCGTCGGTCATGTGGAAGATAAAATCGACACTGACATGGAGAATGTGCGATTTGAGTTGGAGGACAACTTGTTTGGCGAGACGCAGCAGCTTGTGGTGGAGAAGGCGGAGGAGCAGCAGTCGCAGTTGTGGGCCGATATGCGACAGGACTTGATGGACGAAATGCGACGGGAGATCAAGGAGGAACTGATGGAGGAGCTGAGACAGGAACTGGCGGCAGAGGTCAAAAAGGAGTTGTTCAAGGACATGGCACAGGCAATGATGACGGCGGCGTGCGGTGACGGTGGAAAGTCTGGGACGGGCATGTCACAAAGCACGCAGAGCACGGATTCTACACAATGAGGCAAGCCATCGGCTGGTCCGATATCCTCATCTCACGATCTCACGAATGAACATGATCTCTCCCCCCTCCCCAATATCATCTTAACTGCCCAACACTGACGTCCCTCATGTGCGTGCATACATGTTGTTGACCAAAATGGTCAACAGTCTGTCTTGACATTCGCCCCAACTGGTAAACTAACCGTGGCCGTAGAGACTTTGACCGAAGATGACCGAGAATGACCGAAAATGACCGACCTGTCTTGCCCATTTTCACCCCAAATCAGTAACTACTCTTATCCTTCCTTCCTCCACAAATCCCTCCAAAACTCCCTAAACCCATCCTTCGTAAGCTACCTACCACCCCAAATTTATGCAAGTGATACGTAGCCGATCGAAGGACAGCTCAGGGGCTATTAGGTAGAGTGTAGTTCCCGCGTTTAGATATACCCCAATTGAATGAGAACAAACGGCAACTATTTGTAGATTGTGGATATAACAGAAACGGACATCACACCACTCCACGCACATTCGTTCTCCTCTTCCGACTTTTGGACCCGAATTCAATCCCGATCACGTACCTATAGTGTGACGGCGCTGGCAGCCAGCGACCCACATGTGGGTCCCGCTGTCGCTTGTGCGACCAGGGTATTTATTTGGGTTTGCACGCTTGTATCTAGTTCTCTTCCTTTTTTCTTCTCCCCATCTGAAATCTTCTGTCATAGATGGAATCTTAGCTCTGCCTTCGACTCTCCCATACTGTGCCCTTGCATTATTTCAGATCAACCAACAACAACTACCTGGGAAGGTGAAATCCCACTGAAACCCGAAACCAGAAAGATCTATCGCAAGAACCCAAGGCAAGAATTGTTGCAAAATGAACTTGATCGGATGAGCAGCGAGGAGGAGGATGATGATCTCGACCTTGACTCCGACATGGAGGAAGGTGACTGGACCTTGAAGGGTTAAGATCAGAGGAGGATTGGAAACTATAACGCCGCATAACGAACGATGTTCGGTGTTACGGCACTGACGGATGGGTCCCGGCACGGCGGGACGTGCACGTGATGTCGTGCCGCGTGCACCGGCCATTTGGGCCTTGGGTTGAAACCCTGGGCGCCAGGCGCGCCTTTGCACGTTTCCCTCTTTTTCTTCTTTATCTTGTGATTCTCCTATAGACCTGGAATCAACGTGTTCAGCTTTGTCTCTCGTGACCACGTCGCTCGTAACATTCGGGAAAAGCTGAAAAGCTGAGCCCTACCCGCGCCACGGCCCCATAAATGGTGCAAGCTACTAGGCCGCTACTGGTACACTATTGCCAATCCTGTAGATCCCGTGACAGAAAGCTACGACCCTCGCCCAAGTCGAGTTATTGATTGGCGCCCTGAAGTCTCTAGGTCCAGAATGCCCGACCCCTAGAAAAGGAATATCCTTTGGGCCATTGGCGTGTAGTTAGGAGGGAGCCGCCAGCCATCCTACGCCTGACATGGTGAAATAGAAATAGACTCAATACGACGCCTCATACTCCACCATAGCCTTGATAAAATATAGTGTTCTAATTTCTTTTCATTTTGTCCTTGGGGACAGGATAGAGGAATCTCCAACATTTTTACAAACTCAATCCATTGATCGTCAACTGTATAGCATTCGCTGCCTCCAAGACAACACGATCATCCTGGAGTACCTCATCTACGTCACCTCGCTCAAGACTTTCGTTCCCTGAAGCTACGATGTCTCAACGACTGCACAATACGGAGGGTTGGGAAGACGATAAGGGCCAAGAGCAGTCTCACCCTGCACCTCTGCAACAAATCCCAACCAGGTACTGCAGCTTATTGGAGCATCGTCTGGTTATTGCGTGCAGTGAATTCAAGCGCCAGGACACGAGAGACTGACAGCCTCGCAAAGTCATTCGGCGTTGGTCCCGACTACTCCTTCTCCTCATTTTCACTGCCAATGCTCGCCAAAGCCAGACAATGACGGCTATCAAAAGCTTATTTCACTGCCTCAGAAAGGCGCAACACATTCTCTTCTCTCTCGTTGGATTGGCGACGTCCTTTACATCAAGCCTGATGTCAGCGTGCCACGCTTCGGAAGCCGATAGTCCGTTTATTGAAGTGTCGGGTGCTCCATAAGGTGTTGAATATTCCCCTTCTAACTCGTTTCATACGTAGGCACAAGAGAAAAGTTGGGACAAGTTTCTGTTCCGGGCTGAGAAATGGCGTTTGCTCGTTCTTTTCTCGCATCTCTTTAATCAATCAATCCTTCGAGAGGTGCGGAAATGTAGCGGATAGTGATTGTGGGAAGCTGTGTTTCTAGATATGGCGGAACCCTAACCCTAGAGCTGGCTCAGCCAGCTCTAGGGTTAGGGTTCCTCAGCCACTTAGTCGATATAGGTAGTCTGCTATCACTGTGGCACGTGACTAATACTAATGTCCGCTGAATTCGGTGGGGGTGGCAGGCAACGCCCCAAAGTAGTTTAATTTCATTATAATGAATTTCTAATAGTAAAGGAAATGTTTATACACTATATAAACTAAGGACAACATGTCTGTCCGTCATCCACGAGGATATGAGCGAAAATATCAGCAAACGCCAATCATCCATCCTATCTGTACATTACAAAAACAAAACATTTAGCTTTTGTCACGCGGTTGCTTTATTATTTGCATGCATGCATGGATTGGTGTAGTGGTTGGTTTGGTTTTTCTAGACTTGAGCTACATACGTGGTATGGTTTTGAGGGTATGGTATGGTAATGATTACTTAGGTTATAGACCACATGGCATTTTTGCAGCTCGAACGTTGTCCTGTGTAGGAAATAATTGCTACACGGCATGTCGAGAGGTTCGCCGGAATCTTCAACTAAGACAGCAAGAGTCTTAACAGCAGCCCCCTTTTGAGTCGAACGTTTGGGACGATTGACACGAGATCGGGTCATGATAAATTGATGGATGAAGGAAAGAAAGGAGACTCACCACGTTCTGGGTCACACAGGGTTATGAAAGATGAGGAAGCAAGATCCCCCCGGATCCAGGGTATGTGGGAGTTTGCAAAGAAAATAACTCGGGAAGAGCGAGACCTTGGCTTCCGTAAAATGGATGTCTACCGTAAATGGTTCAAGAACACCATTTTGACAGGGAAGCACTCCAATACGCTTGTCATGATGCCGCTGGAATCGACGGGCCGTAGGTACCGGGACGAACTTCTAACGTGAGTGCCCCGTGACCCCTGTGGACGTTTGTCGCTAATCATCGTGAACGGCTCGCAGGTTTCGGCGATCACCTCAAGACGGAATTAATGCGTTAGGCTTGGCGCCAGTGATGAAGTCTCCGGTTCTGGCTGTTCCTAGTGAGCCCAACTCCAGTCCCAGAAAAGCCAATAGGACTCGTAAAGAACAGTGGCACTGACAGTGGCGCACAAATTCCAGTTGACGAAATACCCTACAACTCGCGGGTTTTGAGCCGGGAAGAGAAGCCTCCCTTTGTGATAGCCCTCATGGCGAGACAAGGTACGCAAACCCTTTCTGCCCAGCCTCGAGTAGAGCCTCGCAGTTAGACTTTGTCTTATTGTCAAGTTGTCGTGCACAGAGGAGACTGACCGCGATTGCAGGGTATGACTTGGCACTGATGGACGAAACGTGAAAAGTGCTGGAGAAAACAGGCAAGCCTACCGTCCTCAAAACCGGACGAAGAATGTATAACTGAGTGGGCTTGCCTCTGGGAGAGCGGAGTGAGATGAGGCGATGCCCTTTGGGGATGGCACTGTGATGGCGTTGACGGCTTCGTTACTTGTATTAGTCCTTGTTTCATCTATGTATTCGGGTAGATAAAACACTTCTCGGTGATTTCTTTCGGCCATTGCTCGGTTTATCATTGCGGACATTAGTGTCACGTGTCACGGTGATGGCAGACTACCCACATCGACCAGGCGGTTGAGGAACCCTAACGCTACTTCGCTTCTTGCCTTCCATCATTCATAAACCAAGTCACTGTCCTGGCCAGGTGCTTTGAATGATCACCCTAAATGTTCGGGTACCTTCGTTGCTCATGGCACCTTATCTTGTCTGGGTATGCGCTCGGATCCACATGGTCGTGGGTATGAAACCCCTTCCTCTCGTTCACACCTTCTTAGTTAGAATTCTTCTCTTCAATTCAGTATCTTCAATTCAACGTGTGCCTCGCTCAGTCTCTGTACGTGCTAAGGCCTCGCGCCGTCACAGGCAGTAAACAATTTGCCCAGGAGCGTGGAAGGGCCGGGCGGCGCGTCATTCCGTTGAGATAGTATCCATTATAGCCGTGGCTAGATTCCCGGAAGAGACTCTCCATCGCAATTGGTCCTCGCCATCTACTGCTGAAAGATTGAGCGTGTCTAAGTGTCTGAGAACCGTTCCGAATTATACTAGCATAAGAAGATTCCAAAGGAGAAAGACACTCAACATCTGCGGTACGACTGACTCGGGGAAGATTGTCATTGACAAAAGATTCTGAAAGGGAAGAGTCAACTTCCGTAATTTCTTCAACTTGGTATTTCTTCAAGGCGGGCTCCTCGTACGGCGAGGCCTCCTTTCTTCATTCCTCCAGTCTTGCAAATCCACGATTCCCTGCCGCACGTCAAATCCCGCATCCACGACATAATATCGACCATCTGAGACCCGAAAAGATCGACCGAAAGCTTGAGCACAAAGCGAGGCATTGTTGCTAGAGCCCTCCGCGCCTGCTAGAATATACGAGAAGGTTCTGTCACTTTTGACTGCTGCAAATACATTCTGCGTGATATTGGCATTGCGGTCCCTCCAGCGTTGCTATTGAGATGTACGATGACCAGGGGGATTCCCAATACGATAGGAAGCAATAGGGAGTAAACAATAAAGATTGGAGGGTAAACCAAGATCAATTCTTGCAGGAGGAAAGATTGTGAAAGGCTGACTCGAGGTGGAGTTGTCCTCCAAGCTTGCCTCTTAGGATGCAAGGCTGAGTAGCTTAACAACCGCCTCATGCCCATTCTCTGCCGCTATATGCAGCGCTGTCTGTCCAGCCCTATCCTTAGGATCTGCGTCAACCTTGCCAGTATCGAGAAGCAGCTTAACAACTGCTTCACGCCCCCTCTCTGCCGCCCAATGCAGCGCTGTCTGTCCATTCTCATCTTTAGCACCTGCGTCAGCCTTGCCAGTATCGAGAAGCAGCTTAACAACCGCCTCATGCCCATTCTCTGCCGCCATATGCAGTGCTGTCCGTCCAGCCCAAGGTTGAACATTTGCGTCAACCTTGCCAGTATCGAGAAGTAGCTGAACGACTACGTCATACCCAGTTATCGCCGCCATATACAGCGCTGTCTGTCCATACCAATCCTTAGCACCTGCGTCAACCTTGCCAGTATCGAGAAGCATCTTAACGATCGCTTCATAGCCTTTTTGCTCTGCAAGCCACAGCGCCGTCGGTAGCTCCTCCCCATTCAAGTTGACCTTGCCGGTGTCGAGAAGCAATTTTACGACCGTCTCATGCCCGTTTTCTGCCGCCAAGCATAGAAGCGTCCATTGGCCCTTGTCCTCAATAAGTTGATTTACCATTGTTTCCTTTGCATCTTCCTTTTCTGAATCCTCGGGACCTAGGCAAGTCTTTTTTAGGTTGCTCATGCTCCTCAATGCCCTCTCAAGAACCGCCGTTTCTTCCCGAAGATTCTTCACTGCAACTCCATACTGTTTCACCTCTTGTAATGCCAATCTGACATTCCGTATCCTAGTCGCCGCATTTAGACAACCTTCCAACCCTGTCTTTGAATGCTCTGGAATGCTTGCAAAGTAGTCGTGATTGTTTTTATCTTGCTGCTTGTTTGGATCTATATCCCAATCCCAGATAAGTAGAAAATTGTGTGGAAAGACTGTTATTGATTGTAAAAGTTCTGACCACTTGATATCTCCGGTCGTAGCTTGTGGATCGCCTGCTGGGGAAACTGCAATCATTATAACCGCCCAGTAATCGTTATATGGCCTGAGGATCGTAGGTCTCGACGCTCCTTGAAGAAGGCAGACGACATCTCCTTTTTGGACGGATTTTACCGTAGTCGGGAGGGTCCAGCAAGAAACCCATGCTTCCTTCACGCAAATGTAGCTGGGGGCATTCCTCCAAGTAATGGCCACATCTTGTCTGTCTTCCCAAGTATCGTTTCTCTTGACCGAGGACACTGCGCCAAGAATGCAGCCCTTCCCCTCAATGCGGGCAATCTCCTTATCGTCCGAAAGGCCTACAGAGACCCATTCAGATAGGAAGAAGTGGATGAGTTTGTTGAAGAGTTGTTTCCACGAAATCTTGTAGTTGGCGAATAATCCTGCTGCGGTTGGATTATCAGAGCTCATACCGAGTAAGGCATATACTTTATCGCGAGGATCCGTAGCTTCGCGGGTGTGGTACATCTCTATCAGTTCACCCAGAGGGCGTATGTTAAGAGAAAAATTGTCTGACTGACTGGTCGCGTATTTGGGCCGGAAGATTGCGCCCCTTATGAGGTAGGTTACCGAAAGGATTCGAGCCCGCAGGTCTGCGCGGAGTTCACTGGACAGGTTCAATGCATCTAGGCCTAAGCAGAATGCAGATCCGTCAACCTCAGCAGAACCACACTTGATCAGGATATGGCGAGCCGCGGCAACTTCCTGAAGCACCTGCATCAATCTATCAGTTTCCTTAATCATAATACTTTGACATCGGTTCCCTTACCCAGATGCGCTGAAACCACGGTCGTTCAAGCAGTGTAAGGATTCCCGCTTTATTGTCCAATGGTCTTGTAGACAGATCGGTGACTAATTGTCTTGTAGACAGCTCGGTGACTAATTGTCTTGTAGACAGCTCGGCTGCGATGCGTATTTCTTCGAGCGCTTGGTCGCTACCGGCTGCCTCCTTTCCAAGCCAAACAATTACGCGACTTGCTTTAGCGTAGATCTCCGCCATAGATTGAACTTGGTGTCCTTTTTCTTCATTGTCTCCTTGGTTGATGCAAATGGCATCTATCCATATAGTTCGTTGAATGGAGTGATCTCGAAGATGTAACAGCGCTGCGTAAAGGTTTCCCCCGACGGCCAAGTCGCACCCGTTTATAGAGATGGAACAAGGCTTGTCCTCAGAGCCCCACACGTAGGATAAGGCCTCGTACGGACGAGTGCCTTTTGAGTCCAATGCGGTGCAGAAGAGCTGACAGTGTATTGCGGCGTCGTCGTTTTCATGCGGCAATAGTTGAAGCAAGCGAATACGGCCACGTGACATGGGAACGTTGTAATATAGATTCTTTATAGGTGTTAGCGTTATTCTGAAATGTCGTAGGGAGAGAAGAAGTGAGCCTACTTCCACCTGCTTCGTATTATCCACGCCGGCGGACGTCTCTGTATCGGCGGAACCGGTAGCTGGAGCGGCTGGGAGCCCGGGGGCGGGCATACGGGTAGCGGACATAGCGGTGGTGGCGGGGATTTGTTGCAGAGGTGCAGGGCGAGACTGCTCTTGGCCCTTATCGTCTTCCCGACCCTCCGTATTGTGCAGTCGTTGAGACATCGTAGCTTTAGGGAATGAAGGTCTTGAGCAAGGCGACGTAGATGAGGCAGTCGAGGATGACCGTGTTGTCTTGGAAGCAGCGAATGTTATACAGTTGACGATCAATGGATTGAGTTTGTAAAAATGCTGGAGATTCCTCTATCCTGTCCCCAAGGGCAAAATAAAAAGAAACTAGAGCACTATGTTTTCTCCAGGTTATGAGGGAGCATAGGGCTCTGGGTTGTCACCTTGTTAGGCGCGAGATGGCTGGCGGCTTCCTCCCAATTACACGCTAATTACCCAAACGACATTTCTTTTTTGAGGCTGGCCATTCATAGACCCGGAAGGTTCAGGGCGCCAAATCAATTGCCTGGGTTGGGCGAGGTTCGTGGCTTTCCGTCACGGGTCTACAGGATTGGCAATAGTGTACCAGCAGCGGCCTGGTAGCTTGCACCATTTATGGGCGCGTGGCGCGGGTAGGGCTGCAAATCTGAGTGGAACCTGCATGCTGTCAACAACCGTTTTGAAGCACATGCTGTGGCATGTAGATCTCTTCCTTTTGGAGTTGAGTAGGGCAGCAAAAATCAGCAAACTCCTAAGCGTCCAACAAGACAAGAGCGAGAGACTCCCTTGCCACGCTCTCATCAGACTCGGCGACTAACTGCATACGCATAACTGGGCCGAGGAGTACTAGAAACCAATCAGGAATGGTCTTCTGACCGAGTGCAATCTTGCTGTTACCCCTGTAGAAAATCTAGCTGCAGTGTCCAGGACGGTCAACTTTTCTCGTAATCCGCCCAATTATATTCATCTTTTTAGCGCCGGCTCCCCACTCACAAGATGACGTATTCCATTGCGAAGAAGCAAGACTATTCCATCCCTTGACTCTCCTTTTGCGGGTCCCTGTGCGGTCCAGATGCTACGGGATTAACCTGTGACTGCCCAGTGATGGCCAAGCTTGGTACAATGGTAGAGGCTTTGATTCTCCTCAATCGGATAAGTGGTCTCTTCCTTGGTGGTGTTTGGGAGAGCCAACACCCTTGTAGTCGCGTCGCCACAGCTACATGGTCTTCTCTAGTCTAGATGCGGGGGGTCACGGTTTAACATGCGGCTTTATACTACTGACTAGGTGTTTGAAGGTACTCCAAGACTGACTTCACACTGGGTAGTAATTCGGTTCGTATGGGTGACGAAATGCTATGCCTGTTTCTGGATTAACCATACTGACTGATGGGAAGAAGCTCAGTCTTGTGAATGGTCGTCACTGCCACTTGACATCTCTGGTTCAGAATTCCGCCTGCGGCTTTGAACTTGGTTGTGATAACCTAGAACAGGACAGCGAGTTTTACAACTTTACGCCCCCGCTGCTGGAGAATAAAGGTCACCGTGTGCTCCCATAGAACCATGGTATCGAAGCCTAATATAGAATTAAGCTTCAACGTGCTAGCCTGCCTCATAGCCTTAGCCGTGCTTGGCGTGAGTGATGGGATGAAAACGCTTCTGGAAACGCTTCTATGAAAGGTTAGTTTTTGACTTTGGCCACAGCGTGGCACCTACAGAAAAGTGCCCAGCCGCTAACCTCTGTTTCCCTACTTTCTGTAGGATCGACGTACTCACCCTAACATTCATATCCCGGCAGAGGTGTAGCTGAGTCATCCAAACCCCTGTCAAAACCTCCTCCCATAGACAAGCCACCGATATGTCTGCTTATCTATGGGAGCGGGAAGGACAGGAAACCGGTCTTTTAATTACGTGGTAGGGTCAAAAAACTGAACAACCAGCTCCCATATCCATATCGTTCGGACGGAGGCAAGACGGTAAGTGGGGAGGAGGCGCTAAAAAGATGAATATAATTGGGCGGATTACGAAAAAAGTTGACCGTCCTGACACTGTACCAAGATTGCACTCGGTCAGAAGACCATTCCTGATTGGTTCCTAGTACCTCGGCCCAGTTATGTGTATGCAGATGAGAGCGTGGCAAGGGAATCTCTCGCTCTTGTCTTGTTGGATCACGGTTTGGTGATCCACTACGACAAACTGATCACGATGGACCTCCTTCATGTACCTGCCTTAACCTACCTTCTTCATCTGCCTGTATTAGCCCACCTCTTCCCTTCCATCCTGGCATATCATAACCATGGTGGTTGGCTTGCAACACACTGCCGGCGCAGCCGCCAACACCTTTGTAGACGAGTCGATTCGCTGAGAGAGCTGCATGCCAGGGCTGCGAAACAAGGTGACGGCGGCGTTGAGAGCGACAAGCCAACCACAGCTCTAGGATCAGAAGCCGGCAGCTAGGGTGGGATGGCTTTAAGCCTGGGTGGGGGCCCGTGTCAGCACCCCCGCCCCCCTGGCATACTTGCATGGGGCTTGGCTCGAAGCGAGGCTTGAAGCCTTGATATCAAAACGAACGCTACCCGAAATGAACCCTCTGGTTGCCTTTTTGGCATGTCCTCCATTGCAGCATCAAAGCTGCATTTGATCCTTGAAAGACGAAACGTTGATGTGGCACGCTGACTCCCCAGCAGGCGATTCACAAGCTACGACCGGAGATATCAAGTGGTCAGAACTTTTACAATCGATAACAGTCTTTCCACACAATTTTCGACTTATCTGGGATTGGGATATAGATCCAAACAAGCAGCAAGATAAAAACAATCACGACTACTTTGCAAGCATTCCAGAGCATTCAAAGACAGGGTTGGAAGGTTGTCTAAATGCGGCGACTAGGATACGGAATGTCAGATTGGCATTACAAGAGGTGAAACAGTATGGAGTTGTAGTGAAGAATCTTCGAGAAGAAACGGTGGTTCTTGAGAGGGCATTGAGGAGCATGAGCAACCTAAAAAAGACTTGCGTAGGTCCCGAGGATTCAGAAAAGGAAGATGGAAAGGAAACAATAGTAAATCAACTTACTAAAGACAAGGGCCAATGAACGCTTCTATGCTTGGCGGCAGGAAACGGGCATGAGACGGTCATAAAATTGCTTCTCGACACCGGCAAGGTCAACTTGCATTGGGAGGAGCTACAGACGGCGCTGTGGCTTGCGGCGCAAAAAGGCTATGAAGCGATCGTTAAGATGCTTCTCGATACTGGCAAGGTTGACGCAAATGCTCAGGACTGGTATGAACGGACAGCGCTGCATAGGGCGGCAGAGAATGGGCATGAGGCGGTTGGTAAGCTACTCACTCAGCCTTTCACAATCTTTCCTCCTGCAAGAATTGATCTTGGTTTAGCATAATTGTTGGAGGTGTCCCGTGTCACGTGCGGCCAGCCATGGCACCCTTCACCAGCCATGGCCCCACCGCACAGGGACCTCCCTTGCCCTACTTTTAGACCTCCAGACTTGCACAGTCTAACCTCTACTCTATACAATACAACATCATCATTCATTCTTTCGTTGTCATTCAGCCTGTTCACAATAATTTGTGCAAACAGTCAGGTTTGGAGCGACAGGTTGAGGTCCACTTGTGCCCCTGGGTCAGAAGGTCCAGTGGCTCAAGCGCACATTTACAGTGAGGTGGAAAACCTTCCCCAGGGGGTTCCGGGGCACAGAGCAGGTGCTGTATCCGGCGAATACCTGCTCTCGCTGCTGTCAGGCCCGTCATTCTTTAAGGCTTGCGCAAGGGGCTCTTGCAATGAAGAGGAATTTACACATGTTTTGCATTGCAGTTATTCTACTCTCAGAGAAAACGCTAGAGTTGGCGTGGGTAAGAAGAGGTAAGGAGGAGTGTTTTAAAGGGTTTGTACTCGGGCGGGGTTTCAGGCGTTCAAGCGCTGGGCGTTGGTGGGGGATGCAGAGTACCGGAAGAAGGTCGATGGACAAGTACAGGGCTTCTGTTTGACGCACAACTGTAATCCACGATTAGGTTATAAAATTGTGAAAAGCTTGTCTAGTACGCAGAAGGGGTATAGATCATAGGTAGTTGGATTAATATGAGTGCTGCTTGTGAATTCGGGCAATCATGGTCGAGTGTCCTGCGACGTGTACATACTTCCTAACCCCCGTAACATTTTCGAGCGACCCTTTCGACTGCGACCGTAAGAAAGCAATTTGAACGCCAAATTCACTCGGTCTGCATATACAAACACACATGCAAAAGCTGAAGAGCTTGGGTATTATTTCTCATACTACATTGTTCCATTCTTATTACATAAGATCCATAAGGTATCGAGTTTTGTCTATTCAGCCCAAATTCTGGTCGTTTGTCCGGAGTCATAAAAGATACCCTAGTCTCATCATTGTGCAGGTCTCACTCGCACACCTAATTGTTCAGCCTCGGGGTTGATGTGTGCGTGTCTGATACGAGTGGTACTAATCAAGTTTAACACCTAGCACGGTTTTGAAGTCCTAGAGTTGTAGAAGCAGGATGTCAGTACTATCCCCTAAAGTTGAGTCTGGATCAGCGATCATCTTACCTCCAGGTTCTCGTTAACTCCATCACCTGTGTCGAATGTCAACTTCGCGAGCGTTTGCTTCTTGGTCTGTAATGCAACAATGTTCTTCGGTTCTCGTTAGTAACGCCGTCGTCAATGGAACTGGTGGGACATTGCATGGGTGGCTTACTTCTTCCACTGTTCCTTTCATGATGTACCTCGTCACGATGACATTTTTCGTCTGGCCCATGCGAATTGCCCTAGCGATGGCCTGTGCCTCGACTGAAGGATTCCAGTGCGGTTCAACGACGTGTACGTGACTCGCCGCTGTGAGATTGAGCCTTTGCAGACATTAGCAGAGTGTTCAAGAATGGAAAAGACCTGGAAGAGATGCATTGTGGCTTACCCGACTGCCCCTGTACCCACAGACATGATAAGAACGGACGCTTGAGGGTCTTCTTGGAAGGTCTTTATGAGTCTTGCAAGCTACCAGACCGCTACTGGTATACTATTGCCAACCCTGTAGACCCCGTATTGTCCAACGGCTGTGATTCCATCTGGGTGATGGTCGACCCCTTCACAAAGATGGCCCACTCCATCCCTCTCAAGGTAGGAGAGAAGAAGACTGAAGATCTGATCAAAATCTTCGCCAGAGAATATTGGCGACTACATGGAGTACCCCTCGATATCATCTCTGACCGGGACTCAAGATTCACAGCCCACCTCTGGAAGGACTTCCTCAAACTCGTCGGCATCAAAAGCCGCATGAGCACAGCATTCCACCCCCAGACAGATGGCCAGACCGAACGGCTCAGCCAGATCCTCGAAACCTATCTTCGCGCCTTCGTCAACTACGAAATGAGCAATTGGGAGGACCTGTTAGCCACCGCCGAGTTCGCATACAACAACTCTACTTCATCGTCTACGGGCCTCTCCCCCTTCTACGCCAATTACGGTTATCACCCAGCTGCTCACAACCCTCCTGACGGCGCGCCTCGTAACCCTGGAAGTCGCCTATACGCCCACTGGATGACCCAGGTCTACGAGGCTGCCCAGAAACAATTGGAACGCGCCCGTCAGAGGATGAAAGACTGGGCGGATAAGAAGCGATCGGAGGCCCCGGTATACGAGGTAGGGCAGCTTGTTATGTTAAACGGTAAGCACATCAGGACAAAACGACCCTCAAAGAAGCTTGACAAGAAGCTCCATGGCCCATTCAAGATATCCCAGGTGATCTCCCCTACCACTGTCCGACTTACCTTACCCAAGAAATGGCGCATCCATGATTCCTTCCACGTCTCACTCCTGGAACCCTACCGCGCTGGCAGTCAGAGAGCCCCTGACTTAGACCAGGTCCTGCGAGAGGCAGCCCCAGCAGAGTCAGAAGACTACGAGGTTGAGAAGATACTGGACTCCATAGCCCTTAGGGATAAGGTTAAGTACAGAGTCAAGTGGGAAGGTTGGGAAGGAGCCGGGAATCTTACATGGGAACCATGGGAGCACTTCTTCACTGATGAAGCAAAAGCAGAAGTCATTGCATTCCACACCAGGCACCCAGACAAACCACGAGACCCCAACGCCCCAACAAACTGACCCTGCCATGAAGCTGACGCATGCCCGGCTCGGGGCGAACCTTGAAGAAGGGGGAGCTGATGTCACACGGACATTTGCCCACAGTTCTGGGTTAGGGTTGCCGAGGCTTAGCAGAGCCTCAACGCCTGGCATCAGCCTTATGAATGCCCGGCGGCCGTAGGCCGTGAGACTCAACCTCACTTCGGCCAGACTCTGAACCACCGGCATTGCTTACCCAAGCCCCTCTCGACGCCATCAGGCTAGCGAGCCAACCGTCGAACTGCCGACGACGCTGATGAGCATCACGAGGCAGTCCCCAGTCATCACAGAAGCAATCCCGGCCAACCAAGCAAGAAGCAGAGCGATCGGATGAAGGCCGGCGCCAGAAGAAGGAAGGAGAATGGTGGAAGACACTCAGGAAGATCCACATGTATGAAGATCGTATGAAGATCGCTAGATAGATACCTTGATGCCTCAGGCAACAAGACTTGGTACGTACCTCAGTGTGTACCAAACCTCTTTGGCATAAGAAGGCCTTGAAACCCAGCCTTTGTTTGAAGGTTGAAAGGATCAACAAGGCCTTCGAGACCAAAGTTAATTATCAGCTGAATTGAACCACCGTTCCAAGCCCAGAATACTGCCCTTGTCACAGCTGTCAAATTCTTCTCATGTTAGCCACCTCCACACGGAAATCTCCTCGCCGCGTATGTGTGTCCAAACTCTATGTAAGCGGCGGTTTACAATGTGGTAGCCCCGGCATGGATGTGGCCACACCAAGAAAGCGACGGGCCGAGATAGCGCAGTTTAGGACAATGATACTATCCTTGACAGCTCTTATGACCGGAGTTTCGGCATTGGAATACTCGTAAGACCTCGAGGTGCTTTGCATGGATTGTTCACGACGTTTGCGAGGTGGTGGAGTTCTCTTCCTTCCGGTCGCGCCGCTCGAAGCAAGTAACAAGCATGACTACTACTATACTGCTTCGGTGCCTTCTACCTACACAGCTAGTAGGTACCGAAGTCTTCCGGTGGAGTTGGGTTCTCCGGCAACGGCGTGGGAAAAGGTGTCCGGGTGGATATCGGAGCTTCATGCTGTACTGTAGGTTGGTGGTCACTGTAGTGACATTGACAGGGTTTACGGACCGATATGACACTCGGTCTTCGCATTCATGCGAGTCGATTGTAGCAGGTGACGGTCCTCTAACCTGTCCAAGTTACGATGTCCGAAAAAATAGCATATACTGTGCAAACCTCAAGGTCTATTAGTCCAGTTCCTTTTCCGGAGGATAGTAGCAGGCTTAGCTGAAGTGACAAGCGGTCGATGCCCGGGCGATACCACGCTTGCGATATCATTCAAGTAGTGTGGGGAGCAGATGGTGCAATGGGTACCTGCATTGGACGGATTTTTTACTAGGCCACAGTCGAATCCGCTTGGACAAAATGTGCTTGTCTGTGACATGCGCGTCGGACAGTCCCGAGTCTCATGTCCGGGTTAAGTTTGACCAGGGGGGAGAGAGTGGACCATTCCAAAGTAGGTAGGTAGTGTTGTGACGGCGAATTTTAACCGGAACATGTTACTTTCCGCCACTATTGCTGTGAGTGTTGAAATAAAATTTGTTCGCGCATACATGTCGGGTATCATAAGTCTCAAGCAAGGCGGTCTTACTTGTTTGGGTTGTAGAATCAAATATGTTTTTGCTACCTGCCCTGCAAGACCGACAGCAACAAGGCACCAGCCTCAAGGGGAAGGCGATAATGCATTGTGTCCATTGACGTTGACTGTGTCTCCATAGCCCCGTTATAGCGTGATACGTTCCTTGGTGTTTACGCCCCACGACCCTCAATCTCCGTCATTAGCTGCACAAGCATGATCGCCTCGTCCCGAGTCCGTTGTAAGAGCTCGGTCTGCTCTGAAATCCATACCAATCTTTTCTTCCAAAAAGCCCACCTCTCTCGCGTCAACCATTCATATTGGTCGACCTTCTTCTCTGCCTTCCACAAGGATCTTTCGGAACGGTTTGAACTGAATTCCTGCCAATACTCCCTTGTGTTGTGCTCATGGTTTTCTTGATGTGCCTCTGCGAACCTCCGAGCCATCATCTCTCTGTCGGTATATCGGTACATTATATCTCCTGCTATCACCAGGAATGGGACCAAGACATGAACGTCGGTGTTAAGCGTGGTAATAGTATAGTCTTTGGGCGAGCGGATGCTGACATCATCATCTTCTCGCACACCAGGATAGTTCCACGGATCTTTCTCAAGGGCCAACATCATCCGGCTGAAGGCTACATTTAGCTCAGTGGTGTAGTAAATGTTGGGGGGGTGTAGCACAAGATGACGGGCCACCCATGCATTCGCACGGATGTAGCCGCAAAATCCATTACCATACCGAAACTCGTTATACCCTGTCCCAATTTGTTAGTCAACTAATGGGTATTGCCACGGTGTATTGGAATACATACTATCCCATCTGTCGTTCCAGCAGATACCCCAAAAGTCCTCCAATGTCCTCCACCGCTCCAACTTCTCCTCCCCGAACCGGACTTCCTGCTCAGGTGTCGCATCTAAGCGGGGAAGGGCCATAACGGCGTCGGCAACTACCAGGATAGCGACTTGATGTTGTACCATCTTGATGCCAACACCATATAGCAGCCAGGCAATTCGGATGCCCTTGTCGAAGTCGCCATCGCATGGTATGCGGTCCTCATTTAGCGACATGAGCTTGCGAGCTGTCTCCTCCGCGTCCAGGGCGCTTGGGGTATTGTAGGCCTGTACGAACTCGTGCAGCGCTGAGGCCTCCTCCGGTGTTGATGTGTCCTCATTGACATCCATCTGGCCGAAGTCGGACCAGTCCTCCGGGTCACTCAGGAAATCCAGCTCCATGGCCAGGGCAGTTTGCGGGATACAGAGTGTGGTGGACATAGGGTATGCAGCTACCGTGTCGTCGTAGAGTTGAGAAAGGAGAATTGAGAGACGAACTGTGTCAAGTGGGAACTGTGTCAAGTGGGAACATGAAGAGGACCCTTGAAAGCTGTGGAGGTTGCAGGCATATGGAAGAGGACAATTGCATATACGTGAGTACACTATGTACGTGTGGCCGGAAGCGCATCGCACTGCCTAGCTGAGCAAGTGTGGCGAGTGGACATGCAGGTCTCCGACTGGGCTAAGCAAGTAGAGCAATGAGGTCAAAGTTCGAAGGCACGCTGGTGATGTAGGAGGAGGGTAGTATTTGTGTTCTGGCGATGACTGCTTCGGCCCCGCTAAGTGGAACCAAGGGTAGGGCGGGGAGTACGCGGAGCCAGCCATCCTGGTTGCATACGGGCCGTGCCGAACAAACTTTTCCAGGCACAGTATCACCTGCAACCTACGGCACACTTCGATTACCACGTGATAGGGTAATGAATGATACCGCACAATCTCGGGGCGTTCGTTTTGGGTTCCAGGAAAATCAGGCATAGGTACTCGGTAAGCATCCTGCTCGTAAATGTGCTTTTTATGTCCGGGAAAAACACTGGGAAGACAGCTTGAGACCAAGTCTCTCATGACAGGCGTTCCCAAAATTGTCAGCCACTTTTTCCCCTCCGGTGGACCGCCCCGCTGAGACTGCCCCACATCCTTGGTGCCTGACTACTATGACTGAGCTGTGTGTGTGCTTGGTGGTTGACATGAATGTGGAAGGAGAAAGTGGGTTGAAAGGGGAGGAAGTTGTTAGGTTGAAAGTAGGGTGGTTCCTACACTTGAAGTTCAGCATCTGGTTGTGGTTGAGCGAATGCCTGTTGCTGCCAACTGTCCTTTCTGTTGCTGAATACACGATTTCTCATTTCTGAAAACCGCTTTACTGTACATGATTAAACTGGGAACGGTGCAGGAGAGAAGACAGGAAGCCATAATGCATTGCTTCTGAGTTCATCGTGCATCATGCTCACCCACTCCTCCAGCAATTTCTGCAACATGCCCGCCCCCGCATCCAGGGACATCCCGATCATTAAATAAGCCGAACAACCAAACTATTTGCCCCGAAGTTTCTGCCCAATTCCCACGACAGCCTTATTCGTTTTGCCATAGCTGCGTAGCCAGTAAAGTCTGAGCGCGGTGGCGACAACCATAAGAGTCCAACGATCACCCATCACTCCTGAACAAGCAACCCCCTTCAGCTCCAGTGTGAACAAGTGATGCAAGGAAATCGCATTGCGAAACGTAAGATCAGCAAGTATATCGCTCTCCTCTTGTGCCGATGAAGATGAAGAAGAAGGAGACGGTGAGGAAAATGAGGTGGAAGATGAGGATGGCAGGCGAGTGAGAATGTACCGGCTGTGTTGGGTGTTGGTGTCGCCCTTCCGGGTCTTCCTCCATTCGAATTCCTCCCGGATTTTCATCTTAGGGCCGACCTCGACCGAGAACCGGAACGAGACGCTACCGTCGCTGGTCGTTGTGGCGTACATAATCTCGGTGACCAGGTCGCGAGGGTTCAGGTTGAACTCGACGTCGTCCTCGTCCAGCGGTGGCGGCACCATGATGAGACTTTTCACGCTGAAGGTTGACATCAGAAGGGGTTCTCGCTCTTCGTCGCCGGCGGCCGCCAGAATTGGGGCCTCGGTTCCCGTCCCGTTCCGCAGGTAGAAGCCCGGCCTGAAGTTGAGCGGTCCTCTGGGGGTAAAGCCGTGGTGTACCTCGACAACGTATAAGAATTCGTTCTTGTCCGCACCGCAGAGCTTATATGTAGTCAGTGCGCCAATGACGCCCCCAGAGGAATTGCCGTAGAGGTTCATGACTGGAGGAAACGGGTGATATCCCAGAAATTTTGCTGCTATAGGCATCCTGCTCGAGAATGTCTTACGGACGTCGTCGTCGCCGTCGCCTAGCGACGTTTTGCTCTTGGTGCTCATGGCGAACGCGGACCCCAAACGGTTACTGACTGTGGAATGGTGAGGTTTGGTAAGGAGAAGCGAGCAACAATGCCAAAGGTCGCCCCGTGCTGGTTTTGTTGCCGAAGGCAGTCAAACGGGTAACGCGGCAGCATGTTGAAGAGAAACCGACCAGCAGATGCACTCAATATTGCCGCTGCAACTATAAACCAACAGCCGATGCTGACATCAGGTCATCAGCAAATTGACCTACCCAAATAGGTACCCCGGCAGCTGCCTGGAACCAACAATGCAATGACGGGAAGCAGTCGAACCACACCACGAGAAAAGACGGTGTGTTAAAGTTGTATGTACGACTAACAGAGTCGGATTGCCTTCAGCCGGAGCTAATTATCCGAGCGGCTAGGTACCTCTACATGTACTTTCTCAGACTACGGTACAAATTTTTGGTTTCAAAAACCTAGAGCTGCATAGACGCAGGGATACTGCCACGCCGGAGCGAGACAAAAAAATATGCTCGCTACCCATATGTAACCAATCACTCGCGTCATAGCCTGTGTACCGTAACCCGAGGATTTGGCTCGCCCGGCCAGCTTCAGCCTCCTTTCCAGGATAGTCTCTGCCCAGCATACGACGTAATTCGAAAGGAAAAAGCGAAACTCCTGCACTACATTGGATCTGTGCGTTAGAACCCAGTTCGATGCTGTGTGGCAGACGGCGGACAGGATAAAAATCCAAAGCGCGCGAGACTCTCCGGAAATAATGCCATGTCTCAACAACTGTCGTTTCCGTTGCCAGTGCCGTTGTTGTTCTAGCGTTGTCTGTGGTGCGCGGCTGTCAATTTCCTGAGGGGGCTAAGGTCAAGTTGTTGCCGCGCAGTCAGTTATCAGCATGCCGGTAAAAGGGGAAGACTGGAGCGGATGGTGTACTCCTTACTTTGACGCGAATGACCATGGCCGCAAGGTAAGCTTCAAATACGGTGACGTGAAGCCGATGCCAAAACCGACCCCAGAATCGTCGGAGGGAGTACGCTTCGGTGATGTTGCCGAAGAGCGCGGGCCACTCGTCTGGCCGATCCCATTGCATAACTGACACGAACACCGCCGCGAGAAGATTGTGCGCGGCAGTGAGCAGAATGTATGTGTCCCAGACCCACTGATAAGACATTAGGAGCCTCAAGATCAGGTCTCGCTTGGTGAGTGGAGGCAGAAGGCCCTGCTTGTCCGGGCCGAAATCCCAGCGACTCAGGTGAAGACCGTACAGAGTTTTGGTGGTGAAAGAGGCTATGAGATGACGGATGGCCAACAACACTATGGCGCGTCCACATCGAAGAAGAGCAAATCTAACCCGACCTGGATGGCCAGGATTCGGGCTGTCAGTACACGTATCATCCGACAGGCACAGTCCGCGAGGATTAGCCCAGATACGGAGGACGGCACGCAGTCGCTGGGCGAAGGATGCAGAACTTGGGAGCTTGAGGATCTTCTTTTCCAAGAGAAGAACGGATGCTGTGTGGAGCGTGATAATGATCGCCGATGGAACGAAAAGATGGTTGAATGGAACGAAGGAAACACTTCCCAACCGGAGGGCAACAACGACGCCGACGATGTGCAAAATCGACAAGACAAGCCGAGTGACATCGAACTGTCGCTGTACAGCCACGTAGAATAGGATGGAGGTAAACCAAAGCACGAGTAACGGACAGGAAGCATATGCTCCTATAATCAACCAGACTGGCGGGCGGAGGGCAGGAACGACGGGCATCTTGGTTTGCTGATCGGTCAGAAACGTAGGATTGACTCTGGGAGGCTGTTTTACTGAATCACCTTCACCAACGATGAATCGTTTTCTTCTGAAGGAAGCTCTTATAGGTCTCTAGGAAGTGAAAATTCTCCGCCCAACTCAGTCTCAGAATCTTTCCCGCCGAGACGGGAAATTACCTCTACCACATTGTGCAGTAAAACATTCTCGACAGGAAGAAGTCAACAAGGTCCTATCACCTCTAGCCAACTTGAGCTACGTGTGAACTAACCAAATAGGCCTCTGTCTAGACTGGATCGTCTGCGGCGGCGCGGATACCCCGGGGAACCGGCCGAGGGTTACGTTGTCATACATACCTAGAGGTACCTAGGAGGACGATTCCAATTACGTTATAGTATCATGCTCAAGTTCGCTTACTGCAAGCCTCGTAGTATGTTCAACCATTAGCTCACCTATTGCTTACCATGGGCAATAAATTCTATCAGACCTCTAACCGATTAGCGTGTGGTCGTAGCCCGTCAGTAGCAAATTCTTCACGGTTTCTATGGTATCTATTAAAGACACATGGGATAGCCTACCACTCGTGACTACCCGCATAATATCTAACTCCCAACAGATTTCTCATCTCTTGACACATAGGATCAGCGCCAAAGTCTAAGTACCTCTAAGCTCGGATACCGGCGCCAACAGACCCCCAGGACCCCCAACTTTTGCAATGTTGGCGATCCATCGAGGTAACGCTTTTCCTCGTTCCATTGGAACATCCCCGTTTGATGTAACGCAAAGACAAAACACGCAAAATCTAAGGGTGTGTTCCACTCGTATTTTTGGGGGGTTTCGCGGGGTGAACAGGCTCCCGTCAGTGAAAATCGTGATCCTTTTACTTTTGTAACCGGATGCACCTGTTCACCCTGTGAACAACGGCGTTCAACCCGAGGAAAAGGAAAGGCCCAGGGACACTTTTTAACATTCTAACCAACCACAACGCTCACATCTATTTTCACCGGGTAAACAAACAAAAGGAGCCGGGTGTTTTGCAATGTGCATCGTCCGCTGAAGACGCTAGAAATAGTGCTAAAGCAACTATAACCACCCAAACTTCAGCGCCAAAACAACAACATTAGAGGTACTGTACCATTTTCACTCAAAACTCCAAACAGCTTCCCTTCCTTTGCAATCCGGTGAAAATCCCGAGGAAAATTGGCCCGTGCCACTTTTTTCCCGAAGTGCCTTTTTCTCGGTGAACACGGGCCGAAAAAAGGCGAATGGAACATACCTTCTACCATGGGCTCCATGCCCAAGAATGATTGCGGGAATCCAACTGTGAGTCTGCGAGTCGTGAAACGCACGCGAGGACCAGGCACGGGTGGTTGGGCCTGGTATAGCTTTACTGTGACTGACACCTGCCCGATTTGAGGTAGATGAGCCTATAGACAATATCGAAGGATGACATTTTCATGCTATGTTGTTGCGCAGGGTGGGGTGGTTTCCAGACCGGTTGTTGGTGATCGGACTCACGCCGTGAACCTGCGCCTCGTGAAATCGTGATGGCCGGGACAGTTGGTCCTAACCCGTGCAGCTTTACCATGGCTGTGACCTGCCGGATGAAGGCTAGATGACCTGATTCTAGAGACAACTTCCCGTCGGTAAATGGAATTGGATTCAACATGTTGTTGGGCGGGGTGGTTGTCAGGCGGGTGTTGGTGATCCGGATCAGATGTGGTGTCGCTTGAGGTTCCTAGACACCAGGTCTCAGTTCATTCTATCAGTCCTTCAACGACATGCCTGGGAGCCAACTCTCCAAACATAAAAGGGGCTTGAAATCCGCTCACAAGGTCAACCTTTCGATAGACACTGCAACAACACCATCTTCTGTCATTGCCTTCCTACTACATCTACTTCTTTTACTACCAACCACCTATCCAGCTCTCCTCCTCATCAGCCAAAATGCCTATCGTTGCGATTGCCCACGTCATTGAGATCATCATGTTTGCCGGCGTCTTTGCAGGCACTATCTCAGATTATTGCAAAAAGCACCCTGGAAAGGGTTGTGTCAACAAGCGCGATCTCATGACGGAGCTTGCGTCTGCTCCTATCCTGAACGTCCGTCAAGACGTAGGCCCTTGCAATGTCCCAAGATACAACTTCGACATCTGCAACGGCCAGCTCCACGATCAGGCCAACAGGGGAATCAAGGTTCAAACCTCGATTCCCTCCCCTGGTGGTAAGTGATTCACTGGACGATGCCTTCAGACTGGCAGCAGTCTTGCTAACGAAGAACATTCATCAGTGGGCAAATTTGACAATGTGCCGCCGGCCTGCATGAACCTTGCTGTGGCCTTGTCGGGCTCCTGCACTGGCGAAGGCCCTCACCCAACTCCTTGCGGCTCAGCCTGCCTGCAGTATTCCGGACTCTCGGACGACCAGTTCCGCCAGCTCTCCAGCTACCTCCAGAGCTAAGGCAGCTGTCTGGTCCAAGAAACACTTCTGTGAGTGAACTCGAACTCTTGATTCCGAAGACATATCATACTAATCATTGAGACTTGCTTCATCAGGAGTGTCTGTCCATAAGGCCGTCTGTCTTAAACTGGCCCCTTAAGATGTGCGTGCTCTTGTGGTGGTTGGGCCTCTTGAGTGCTGAGAAAACCCGTCCTGGCCACTTCCCAAAGTTTTGGCTTGGAACGCGCGTATTCTTCAATGCTTCTCTTTGGCCTTGGTTATCATGGTCAAAGGGAAACAGTCCTTTTCTATCTTGTCAAAACAGCTGATTTTGTTTTTCCTTTTTACATTCTTTTGTCATACTTGAATTTCGATTTAGTGTAGCTGCCTAAAAAAGTCTAGATTAGAATTTACTTCGCCTCATCAAAACCCAACTTCCAAGCTTTTGCACCATGGTCAAATGTTCGTACATGTAGTCGAGAGTGGGTGTAGCTTGGCCATCAAACCGTCGAAGCCAACATCACGACCACGCCACCAGAAACCTGAGAACAAAGTGACCCAGCAAGAAACTGGACGACCGACGGGTTGGACCCTTCAAAATCAAAAAGAAAATCTCAGATGTGGTATACCAGTTGGACATTCCTAACACCATGAAGCTAAGATCACACTCATTTCACGTCTCGCTACTAGAACCAGCACCTAAGGGCGCACGAGTCAACATGCGAGCCAGTATCGAGGACGAAGAAGAAGAATGGGATGTGGAGCAAATTCTGGATTCAAAGATAGAAGAAGGAGAGTTGGAATACCTCATCAAATGGGAAGGGTTCGGCCCCGAAAACAACACTTGGGAGCCCCTCAAGAACTTGAACTGCCCTGCGAAACTGGAGGAATTCCACCGACGGAACCCTGACCGACCTCAACCCCCAACAAAGAAGGATCCCAGACGGACGCATCGAAGGCGTCCCAATCCACGGAAGGATTAGCCTCTTGAGGAGGGGCCCCCTCCGCCTCCTCAGCCTCGCGAGCCTCCAGCTCGTCCAAAGAAGCCAAGCCCCGACTCACCATCTCGCGACCCTTGGTCACCAGGCTACGCTTCTGCTGGCGAATCCGGGACAAACGAGCCAAGGTCGTACGGACAGACTGTTGCGCTTCATCCAATGCACGATGAGCAGCCCGCACTTTCTCATCCGCTTCCTGTTGCGCCAAACGGACAGCTTCCTCGGCCTCGGCCTCCGCAAAAAGGCTATAAAGCGATCGCTAAAATGCTTCTCGATACTGGCAATGTTGACGCAGGTGCTAAGGATGAGAATGGACAGACAGCGCTGCATATGGCGGTAGAAAATAGGCAGGAAGCGGTTATTAAGTTGCTTCTCGATACTGGCAAGGTTGACGCAAATGTTCAAACTTGGGCTGGACGGACAGCGCTGTATATGGCAGTAGAAAATGGGCATGAGGCGGTTGTTAAACTGCTTCTCGATACCGGCAAGGTTGACGCAGATCCTAAGGACGGGGCTGGACGGACAGCGCTGCATATGGCGGCAGCGTATGGGCATGAGGCGGTTGTTAAGCTGCTTCTCGATACTGGCAAGGTTGATGCAGATTCTCAGGATAGGGGTGGAGGGACAGCGCTATATATAGCGGCAGCAAGTGGGCATCTGGCGGTTGTTAAGCTGCTTCTCGATACTGGCAAGGTTGACGCAGATCTTAAGGATAAGGATGGATGGACAGCGCTACATTTGGCGGCGAAGAATAGGCATGAGGCGGTTGTTAAGCTGCTTCTCGATACTGGCAAGGTTGACGCAAGTGCTCAGAATAAGAATGGACAGACAGCGCTGCATATGGCGGCGAAGAATGGGCATGAAGCGGTTGTTAAGCTGCTTCTCGATACTGGCAAGGTTGACGCAGATCCTAAGGATAGGGCTGGACAGACAGCGCTGCATATAGCGGCAGAGAATGGGCATGAGGCGGTTGTTAAGCTACTCAGCCTTGCATCCTAAGAGGCAGGCTTGGAGGACAACTCCACCTCGAGTCAGCCATTCACAATCTTTCCTCCTGCAAGAATTGATCTTAGTTTACTCCCCAGCCTTTATTGTTTACTCCCTATTGCTTCCTATCGTATTGGAAGTCCTCCTAGTCGTCGTACATCTCAACAGCAACGCTGGAGGGACCGCAATGGCAATATCACGCAGAATGTATTCGCAGCAGTCAAAAGTGAAAGAACCTTCTCGTATATTCTATCCCCAGCTATATTTGCGTGAAGGACGCATGGACTAAAGACTCGAAATCTTCGCAAGTATCATCAAGCTCGTCGGCAAGAGTGGTTAGTTCTTCAAGGCTGATTGGCTGGCGAACAATTGCAACAACAGCAAGAATGTGCTTGGCGCCCGAGAACAAACGAGCAAAGAACTTAACGCGCTTGATATTCAGCGACACAGTCTTCTGATCGGGTGGAGCAACCAGCCAAGAAGCAAGCATGCCTTTTCCACCCCGCTCTCCACTTTGGAGAGGTCCGACGCCGCGGCCCGTCCCGCACCATGCGAGGATACACAAAGCCCGTGAACTTGAACGTCCACCATGCACGCATTCCCCCGCTCGCACACTTTAACTGGCTTGCTGGGGAGTTGCAGCCTTGATGCCTGGCGTGCCTCCGTCGTCTGACGTCACTGTAATCGGTGGTGCTCTGCAGATTTAATCGTAAACCAACTGCCCTTTTCAATCAGGGTTCAAGCCCTGTCTCCGGGTCACGAATTGGCTCTGCTCGTCGGTGTGAAAAAAACGATCAGATGAAAATCCGGGTTCCCAAAGCGGTGGTTGAAGGTTTGAAGTGAGTTACGACTCCCAAAAGAAAAAATGAGATGAAACCCAATGAGCAATTGAGTTCCGCCTCAATCTTCAGATGAGAGAAGGATCTTTAGTTAAGTGTCACGCACGTAGATCTCGAAGCGGGAGTGCACACGATTAATCTGACGTTATTAATAAATAACTAAAGATAAGGAAGAAAAAGTATTACGAACTTAAATGAACACACGGGCCAATTACAGTGACGGAGCACAACAAGCAGAACAATGTAACATCGAGCCAACAGGACTGCAGGGGAAGCGGGCTCACACTGACAAAGATAGGCTCACGTGCCAAGCAGCAGTGAGCCAGGCTCGCGGGTAGTGAACCCAGTAACACACCAACGAGCCGTGGTGAGCCAGGACTGCGAGACCGCAAACAGCATCGTCAGGATTAAGTATAAAGGGACGACTGGAGGACTCAGATTGTCAGATAGTTCGACAGTAGTCCATAGACCATCGTCATCAGAGACACGTATAACGATACTTGTTGTGAACCTTTTGGCTTCACCGAACTGCACTTGATAGTCTTTACCTTCAGCTATCTCATTTAGGCAGATCAAGACTGCCGTTCGTCACAGCTGAGGTTGAAAGATGCAGCTTCACCCAAGTGTGCGACGGTACTGAATGGGCACAACAGGTACAAACGTCCACTCCAACTTAGTCAAGTTTACCTAGGAAGCTCGTTAAAAACGAGACACCTAGTCACCGTGTGCTCTCATAGAACCATGGTATCGAAGCCTAATTTAGAATTAACCTTCAATGTGCTAGCCCGCCTCATAGCCTTAGCCGCGCTTGGCGTGAGTAGGTGGAAACGGTGTATTTGGTGAGCTTGGCGTGAGTGATGGGATGAAAACGCTTCTGGAAACGCCGGCGTTTCTACACCTCTATCGGCGTATAAAAGGTTAATTTTTGACTTTTACCACAGCGTGGCACCTACAGAAAAGTGCCCAGCCGCTAACCTCTATTTCCCTACTTTCTGTAGGATCGACGTACTCGCCCTAACATTCATATCCCGGCAGAGGTGTAACTGAGTCATCCAAACCCCTGTAAAAAACTACTCCCATAGATAAGCCACCGATTAGTGGCTTATCTATGGGAGAGCGGACGGGATCCCGAGTTTTCCACTATCTATGGCCGTATGTGCTTGATGCTACCAAAAACAAATCTTATGAAGGAGCTGGAAAGAAGAAATCGATACGGGAAGAAGTTAAGGGTCAGGTGGCAGATAGGGCTCATCTCTTATCGACCGTCCCCCTTCTGCCCGGCCTCCGGCTTCAACATGTCACTCATCGCTGCGGTGTCCTATTCCGCCTACTACAAACGGCGATCAATACAAACTAATTTGGTAGCAAACAATAACAAAAGAGTCACTGTCTTGAGAGTACCAAAACTGTTGGAAGTCGGTGCCCTGAGCGCCCATTGTGTCACACGGACATTCGCCCACAACCCAGGGATAAGGTTGTTGAGGTTCAGCAGAGCCTCAACTCTTGGCGTCAGCCTCGCTGATGCCCGACGGCCGCAGGCATCAACACTCAGCCTCGCCTGGACCTGACCTCCCTGTCATTGGCATCACTTACCCGGGCTCCCTGTCAGCGCCTCCAGGCCATCGAGCCAACCATCGAACTCCGACGGCGCTAAGCATCATCACAAGGCAACCCCAGTCATCACGGGAGCAACCTCAGCCAATCGAGCAAGGACGAGGCAGACCGGCGAAGGCCGGCGCCAGAAGGAAGAAGGAGAATAGTTGAAGGCATTCGGAAGAATTCACATGTATGCAGATCACTAGATAGCCCTGTCTTGAGGCCTCAGGCCACAAAGGCTCGGTACGTACCGTTCTTCTTTGGTATAAGAAGACCTTGGAGCCTGACAACACCCATCTTCCCCTCTTACCATTACCAACCCCAGGGGCAGTCAACAACGAAAATAAGCAGCGCCACAACCAAAGAAATAGACGTCTACCGCCCGTCCACCTTCCCCTCCCCCACCTACTCCCTCTGCTCCTGCGGCTCCTCCATCTCTGAAGCTCTTGTTACGATCCAATCAAGGATTACTTATGTAAGCAGACTAGATAGCCAATCAGACCAGGGCCGCAGTACCGGCGCCGCGACGGCGGGCTTATAACTGCGGCTCTGAAGGCCAGTATATAAGACGCCCTCCCCAGGCGTCGTATATACAGGACCTTCAGCAAGCAACAGTTTCTACAATCAATCAGTACCTTTTGGCTACTACTACCGTTGTTCTTATTCCCAGCGATATACTCCTGTGCTTGTAATGGTTCGTCACACGTTAACCTTTGGCCAAGCTAAGTATAGTTTACTACAAAAACATAGAAACGATTTTCCAAACTAGTATTCTACATCTTCTTTCTCCTACTATTTCCGAGCCTTTTGTTCGAACAGTTCTTGAGCCATCATGTCCTAGCCACAACTATCACCCCCCGAGTATGACAGCTCGGGCGGTTTGATCGCCGGGTCTGTCATCATGTGGATTATCTCGACACTTTGTGTTGGCTTGAGATTCTACTCCAAGACGTGGAAGCGACAAGGCTACATCACGGCCGACTGGCTGATCGTGGTGGCTGCGGTTTTCGCAACCGGAATGACCGTGATGGAGATCTATGGTGAGTGAAATCGTCGACCACATCTTCTTGGCGCAATTTCTAACGAGAAACAGGCGTGAAGGAACACGCCTTGGGATATCCACTGGGCGCATCGATCGAAGACGCCAAGGCAGTCAACGGACGTCTGAACAAGGCCAAACATGTGCGATTCCTTGTCCAAGCTTTTCTCTGCCCTTTCTAACAGACTTTTGCTTCGATCGAACTCTCGTTCCTGCTCCTCGGTATCGCCACTCTCCGCTTAATCAAGCTATCCGTGTGCTTCCTATTCTGGCACCTCTTCGCCCGCGTGGTGTTTCGTCGTTTCCTCATGGTCTGGATTGCCATCATTGTTGCGTGGACTCTGTCCTTTGTCCTCGGCGGCCTGCTAAAGTGCGGCTCCCATCTCAAGGCTCTGTTCGGACTGGCGCAAGAGTATCTGGATCACTGCGGGAGCGCGATTCCCACCGGATATGCAATGGTGGGCAGTGATGTTGCCACGGACTTAATCACGCTGCTCATCCCAATCCCCGTGATCTACAGCATGAAGATGGACAAGCGTGCCAGGTTCTTGACGCTGTTGACCTTTATGATCGGTGCCCTGTGAGTCTCTTGTCAGTCGAGGTTGTTGTGTGGCAGGCAGGCTAACATTAGGTGCCAGGTCTGTGGGTGCGTTCGTGGCCAAAGCCTACATTTACATCAAGGCAAGCTTGCGTCTGTGGACGTCCGATGCCGTCTGTAAGCTCCAGTGTCCCCTATCTTGTTCCGTCTGATAGCTAACGCAGTGGTACAGCCATGCTCACCGGTCTCTCCATCTCGAACCTGGCTGAGGTCCATGTCGGTATCATTGCTGCATGCGGCCCTACGCTGCGACCAATCCTGGCACGCATCATACCAACCGAGAGTCTCATGTCTCTCATGTCCCTTTTGGGAGTAAGCTCAAACACGTCTAAGCAGAACGAGCTCCCCAGCTTTGTCAAGATGCCGGATGCCGACAGTGCCGAGCAGTTGCAGCCCGGGGCGGAGAAGGTTGGATCCAAGGGTGCTGATGGGCCTCATGGAGTTCGGCAGTACGAGATGGAATCATGGAACGATGCCGAGTCTGAGAGACATGGTCAGAACAATGTCTGAGGAAGGGATTTTGTGATTAAACAGTTGTCGGGGAGATTGAGAAATTGGTCCGATGAGAGGCAGCGTTCGTCTTCGTCTTTGCTTAACGCCATCAATTTCCAAGGTTATCGTGATTGATTGATTGGTCCTCGGGCACTGGTTTACGAGCGGATGCCAGATGGGGACATGTAAATTGGGATGACATGGGAAACAAAAAAAAAAAATTTTAATAAAAAAAAACAAAAAGAAAATAAATAATAAAAACTTGGACATGTCAAACAGTCAAACATGGCCAAACGAGGAATGCGCCTGGGCAATTCCAAGGCCGGCAGCACTAACGAACAAGCCCGGCCTGGCATGTGCACGGTGCACTGCAATTGCAGCAGGGGTAGTAATTTCAATCTCATCTCGACCCCCCAATCTCGCCCTGTGCCGGCATGTCCCCAACGTTCTGGACTTGTGGAGGATTGCCAGTCTGTTTACTCTCCACTGGAGAGCTTCGTCTTCAATCTTCTCTCCGTCTTCCTCGCCTGTCTCGCAGTCTGTCGCAATGCAATTCCCGTCGTGGTGACACATTAGGCAAGAGCCTCGGCAAGAAACCCGGGCTTGCCCTGTTAGTTAGTGATCTTCCCTGGAACCAACAATCAAAACAAATACGGGACATCGGTTAAAATCGACAAATCTGCCAAATATTATGCTATATGAAACACCTCAACTACCTCTAACCAAAAGACACTCGAAATGATACCCAAATCTATACCTCTATGCAAACCCGATGCAAATGCAACAATGCCAATGGCCATGGCAACCCACCAAGTCTATCAGCTCCAACCATCAAATCGTAACCATGAATGCAAGCAACTTTCAAAGTCAAATGATCGCAGCCTCGCTAAACAATGCAACCGTTAACCCGAAAACAACCAACAAAGCTACACCTTCACCTTCACCATCACAAGACTACCTCTACCAAGCCCTGGTCGACACTTAAAAGTTCCACTGCCTGCACCAGTTCTTCATCAACTCCGGAGTAACCGCTTGCATCTCCCTCATCGTCTTGGAGTACTCCTTCGTCCTCGTCATATCGAGCGGCACGAACTTGGTTCCCTTCTTGGTGGCCTCCGACCAAGCCCTATAGGTATCAATGAGCTTGATACCCGGGTTGCGCGTCACATCCTCGGTCTTGTCCTGGCTCTTCTCAAGGGCATCGATCCACTCGTCCAGCGGGACCATCTTCTTGATCCTGTCGCCGTAGTACTCCTTGACGGCGGACGCGAGCGCAGACCAGCTGGTGCGCTCGGGGTTGACGCCGTGGAAGTAGCCGTTGAGCTTGTCGAGGGGGACATGATCGGTGACGCCCGAGACCTCGAGCAAAAGGTTGGCGATGCCCTCGATGGGCGTCCAGTCGACCGTGGTCATCTGTCCCAACGAGTCCGGGAGGAGACCGAGGTAGACGGACGAGGCCACGATGGAGGGCAGCCACTCCTGCTTGTTCCAGTAACCCTTCTCGGAAGACGGGCCGGCGACCTGGCCGACCCGAACGACTTCGGTGGGCACGCCAGACACCTCGGTGGCCTTGTCGAGGATCAGAGAGGAAACGAGCTTGGACTGGCCGTAACCGCCCATGGAGAGGGACAAGTCGTCGAGGGACGCCTCGGGAACGATGCGGTCCTCGTCGTGCCACCGGTCCACGGTGCCGATCGAAGACACGAAAATGATGGGCACGTTCTTGTCGGCCTTGTAGGAAAAGTCCACGAGGTTGCGGCAGCCGCGGATGTGAGGCTCAAAGGACTCGACAGCAATGTTGAAGTTGACGGGCCACTGGTTGTGGATGACGCGGTCGACTTCGGTCAGCAAGCGCGAGTAGACCTCGGGGCCGAGACCGAGATCGGCGCGCGACAGGTCGGCGTGGTAGAACTCGCACTTGGAGAAGTCGGTGGACAAGCCGCGGCCGGAGGACGAGGCCGTCTGGCGCGCCTTGCCGTCCTCGGAACGGTTGAGGCAGATGATCTTGGAGACGCGCGGGGAGGAAGAGCACATGTCGATCAGGTAGGAACCGATGCCGCCCGTGGTGCCGGTAATGACGACTACCTGACCCTCGTCGGCCGGCGCAGGCTTGTTCTGCTTTGGAGTGGGAAGGTCCTGCGTGTACTTCTCCACAAGGGCCTCCATGCCGTGGTGCTCGTCGCCCGAGGTGCCGTGGGTGGCGTCCTTGTTGTCCTTGTTGACGACGGACAGGAGGTAATCGGCCAGGCGCTTGGGAGTCGGGTTGCCGTAAATGAAACGGGTGGCTATCGCCGAGGCTTCGACATTCACGCCGGCAGCGGCCAGACCAACACGGATGAGACGAGACGCGTTGATGACTTGCATCGAGTCGACGCCGGCGGTGAAGAAGTCGGTGTCGGCCTCGAGCTTGGGAGCGTTGAGGGAGGTCTCAAAGAGCTTCTCGATGGAGACGATCAAGGCGTCGGACGACGAAAGATCAAGCTTGGGGACCTCGTCAGTGGCAACGCCCTTCTCGGCGTCCTCGTACATTTTGTCGATCTCGGCCTTGTACATGTTGATGGTACCAGGGCGCAGGACGGTGCCCTTGCCCGCGCGCAGGAACGGCTTGCCCGGGGTGGAGAGAGCCATGTACTGGCGGCCGATCTGGCCGTGGGCGACGGTCTCCTTGTTGACGCGGACGACGGTGGGCCAGATGTCATCCAACAAAGCCTTGCGGCCCTCCTCGGTCTCGGGGTGCTCGACGGGCTCGATGATCAGAGCAGGCTGGAACCGGTTCGTGCCGACGACAACGGCGCCCATGACCTTGGGGTGGCCCTGCACCGTCTCCTCAATGGTGATGGGGTTGAGCTTCTCGCCGTTGGAGAACACAATGATGTTGTCGGCGCGGCCCTGGTAGATCCAGTTGTCCTTGACGGTAGGGTGGGGCTTGTACAAGTCCTTGGTGCTGTACTCCTTGGCGTCGGGGAAGGTGTAGAAGACGCCCTGAAGACCGGGGTTCTTGTCCTTGCGGATGATGACCAGCTCGTAAGACGAGTCGCCGTCATGGGGGCGCCAGTCGATGCCGAAGAGCTCCGTGTCAAAGTTGAAGTAGCGCCAGAGCTTCGGGTCGTATTGCCAGTATAAGGGGTAGGGAGCGGACTCGGTCGCGGAGATGAGGTTGCAGAGCGCCACGCCGTTATCGACCAGGCGGTCACCGGCCTCGGGAGCGAGGTTGCCGCCGCCAAAGGCCACAAAGTTGAGCTTCTTGAGGGCCTGAATAGCTTCCTCGTCCTGGGAGAGCTCCTCGAGGAGCGCCGGAGGCAAGACCATGCCATCGACGTCGGCGTACTTGATGTAGTCGAGAACGAGGTCGGAAGAGAGTGGACGCTCGCCGATGCCCAAAGCACCAGGGGTGTCCCAGTAGTGGGTCATGAGCATGGAGAGGTACATGCCAGCCGCGTGGAAAAGGGGCACTGTTGGTCATCTGTTAGTTTCGGACCCTGATCGACCCATCATGTTTTCAGGGGAATACTCACTAGGATGCAAAAGCCTCTTCGCCCTCTTGCTCATCTCCACGATCCACAGGAGCTTCCCGTCCTCGCGCGGCGCAATGTTGTGATACTGGTCCGCAATAGCTATCATACCCTGCCTGACCACGATGGGCTTGGGGAATCCAGTACTTCCAGAAGTGTGCAGCACCATCAGGGGATCCCACTCGGCCTCCTCAAACGTCTTGTTGTACGGGAAGTCCTCCTGATCGGCCGGGAACCACTCATCAGCGGGAAGCGCCAGAATCGCAGTCATCTCGCGCTCGTGTAGCCATGGCTGGACGGTAGCCTTGTAGCTCTGATCGAACACCAGGATATTGCAGTTCGTCTGCTCAAAGAGGTGCATCTGGGCCTCGGCGGAGTTGCGAGTTGAGATGAAGAGAGCCTGATAGCCGGCCTTGACGGCGCCTAGGGCGAAGACGAGGTAGCGAACGTCGCTGGGGCCGATATAAGCAACCGTGGGGAAGGAGCCGGGCGCGGCAGCACCGCAGACCCGTGTGAGCTTGTGCGCGATGCGGTTGATGCCGTTGTAGGCGTCGAGGTAGGTGAGGATCTTCCACCCATCTTTGGGGTCGGACGAACAAGGTACAGACATCCATTCCCGGTCGGGCTCGTTGTGGGCACGCTCCTTAATGATGTCGAGGATAAGGCGGCGGCCGTAAGGGGGATTTTGTTGTTGGCTCATGCTATGATAGGTTGTCGTCTCAATATCAGTTCAATCAGCTCGGACGGTGGAGCTAAGTTGTCTAGGATGATGGGTGTTGTTGAGCGTGAAAGAGAGGCTTCCTCCGTCACAATGATTGATGGATGATGATGAGATGATGATGAGATGATGATTTCACAAAAGTTCAGTCTCAGTCGGCGGGAGAGAACGGAATATATATCAGGTATGTGTTTCTATTTCTTCCGTCTTCCCCTTTCTGCTTCCACTACTCCCATTACACCCTCTCGAGTCTTCTGTCCTTCCGGGTCGTCCGGGGATCCTCGCGACGCGAGACGGACGATAATGGTATAGCAAGACTGACAGACAAGACAAGCACCCACACCCACCGCCACAGCCTGTTGTCATGAGATGCTTCCTGAGAAGTGTTGACCGGTGGAGACCCTTGACGAAACGAGCTTCCTGATCGGGAGCGGACCGCTGGTCTTGGCCCTGTCACCTTGCTATTTCCCTTCTTGACACCTTGTTGGTGCCGGGACTTGCGGCACATTTTCAGGGGGTGATGTCTTAAGGCTGTATCAAACCGGATTTCTCCCCCACGTTGTCCTGGCCAATCATGAAGTCTGCCTGCCACGTTTTGGCGTCGCCCTCAGGTCATTCTCTAGATGTAATTGGTCCCATACTCTGGGAATAAAATCCGGTGTGAATGAAAAAAAGCGGTAGACAGGCGACTGCTCCAGCGTTATCGATGGGATCGACCTTGTCGCCGAAACCTGCGAGCCGTTCACGATGATTAGCGACAAACGTCCACAGGGGTCACGGGGCACTCACGTTGGAAGTTTGTCCCGGTACCTAGGGCCCATCGATTCCAGCGGCATCATGATAAGCGCATTGGAGGGCTTCCCTTTCAAAATGGTGTTGTTGAACCATTTACGGTAGACATCCATTTTACGGAAGCCAAGGTCTCGCTCTTCCCGAGTTATTTCCTTTGCAAACTCCCACATACCCTGGTTCCGGGGGGAAACGTAAGGTGCGCGACCGCATCCCAACATCTATAGCACTTATCCCTGACTTATGCATATTTATGCACCTTGTGCACCCGGAGATGTGGGTCCCGGCAGCTCTCCGTGCCGGCATGGTCTGGAATGGTAGCGTTGCTTTCGCTTGAACGGGCCAGCCAACGGCAACGAGGAAGACGGACAGGACAGGGTAAACTGTCTTTGAGATCGGCGGTACGCGTGGGGTTGCGGTCACTGTCACTGTCAGTGTCAAAGAAAAGCGGTGATGGATAAAGCAGAGTTGGTATGGACTCTCTGGAATCTGTTTGGTAATATCATCATGACTGAACAATATTTAGGGGTAGAGTTGGTGTTTTTGGACAGGACACCGCAGGCGAGATAAATCAAGGTTGACGATGCATGCCCGAGTCAAGCAAGCATCGACCATCCACCATCCACCATCCAGAATTGGAATGGAAAAAGCCGCGCCGAGAGGCTACTTCGGCTTCCTCCAACCCGGACCGTTGCATTAACATCAACGTTCGTATTTCCTATCCCTGATTGCTGGAGAAACCCCACCATTTCCATTACTGACGTGTCGGTAAGGAGCCGGCAAGGGTGCTCGTCCGTCTGGGGTTCCAGATCTCGAAGTGTTATACAGCGATTTTCATATCCCGTTGAGGCTTGGGGGTTTTGTGCAAGAGACGGTCATGTCATCAATATAGCAAGGATGTTGTGTCGTGTCATAAATGAATTGTGAAAATGGATAAAGTTGGGGAGCGGACACAAAGCTTCCGGTTTTATGTCACTCAGATGTACTAGTAGGACGTATAAAGATCTCGACTGTCCTCGACTGTTGGTGTTTTGGACACTCGCTCTCACCTCTTACCTTGCCAAATTCATCAAGGGCATTATAATACCACCACAGTTTCGAGGGAACACCAACACAGCAACCATGGCCAACCCCTCGGCCACACCCAGCTCCATCCCCTCGTGGATGGAGCGGTTCGACATCAAGTCCATCACCGACCCCTCAGCGAAGCCCTTCCCCTACCTTGTCACGGCTTTTCTCTTGGCCGTCCTCGTGTACTCCCTCCAAGGACCGAGATACCCGAAGACATCAAGCACCTAAACCCCAGGGGTCCCCTCGAGTTTAGCGACACGAGACCGAAGAAGGAGTTCGTGGATGGCTCTCGGGAGATGATTGCGAACTGGTTCAAGGCCAACCCCGACAAGCCTTGCCGTGTCATCAGCGACTTTGGTGAGGTCATAGTGTTGCCGCCGCGTTTTGCCAATGAGATCAAGAGTGACGATCAGTTGAGCTTTTCGAAGTGGACTTATAAGGTTTGTTACCCCTTCGATCCGTGGTGAGATGTAAAATGGGGACTGAGGCTGACAAGAAGAACTAGGCCTTCCATGCGCATCTCCCTGGTTTTGAAGGGTTCCGTGAGGGTAGCCGGGATTCGCACATTGTCCAAGAGGTTATCATGAGGGATCTTACCAAGTACCTGAGTATGTCAAACCATTGCCTTGACCGAGACAAAGCGACGAAGCTGACAAACGGTGACAGACAAGGTCACCGAGCCCCTCGCCCAGGAAACTTCCTTGGCGATTGAGGACATCCTCCCCAAGCCAGCCAACGGCGAGTGGTCCACCATCAACATCCGCTCAAAGATCCTCCCCCTCATCGCCCGCATCTCTTCCCGCGTCTTCCTCGGCGAGGAACTCTGCCGTAACGAGGAATGGCTCAAGGTTACCCAGCAGTACACAATGGACGGCTTCCGCGCCGCCGAAGAGCTTCGTCTCTGGCCCACCGCCCTCCGGCCTATCGTCCACTGGTTCCTCCCCTCATGCCAGCGCGCCCGCGCCCACGTCCGCGTAGCCCGCACCATCATCGACCCGGTCCTCAAAAAGAGACGTCAAGAAAAGGCAGCCAACGGCGGCAAAGCTGAGCACGACGACGCGATTGAGTGGTTCGAGCGGACGGCCAAGGGCAAGTACTATGACCCAGCAGTCGCGCAGCTGTTCATGTCCCTGGTGGCCATCCACACCACCTCCGACTTGACTTGCCAGGTAATGACCAACCTGATGCAAAACCCCGAATACATTGCCCCCCTGCGCGAGGAGATGATTCAAGTCCTCAGCGAAGGCGGGTGGAAGAAGACGTCACTGTACAACATGACGCTGCTCGACAGCGTCATCAAGGAATCTCAACGGCTCAAGCCCATCGGCATAGCCTCGATGCGCCGCTACGTCGCCAAGGACCTGACCTTGTCGGACGGCACCTTCATCCCCAAGGGCGGCACCGTGATCGTCTCGGCGCACAACATGTGGAACTCAGAAGTGTACGACCAGCCGGACAAGTGGGACGGAAGACGGTTTTTGAGGATGCGCGAGACGCCCGGAGCGGGCAAGGAGAACGTGGCGCAGCTGGTGAGCACGGGGCCGGACCACTTGGGGTTCGGACACGGACAGCAGGCGTGCCCCGGACGGTTCTTTGCGGCGAATGAGGTCAAGATTGCGGTGATTTATTTGTTGCTGAATTACGAGTGGAGGCTGCCGGAGGGGTCTGATCCCAAGGTGAGGACGTTTGGGTTCTCGATGGGGGTGGATCCGTCTTTGAAGGTTGAGTATAAGGGAAGACAGGCGGAGATTGAGCTTTGAGTGTTCGCAGTATGTGTAGGCGGTAGCTAGGATATCTTCAGTAGTTTGGCGTATTCGGAATCTTTATCGGACCTCGTGGACCATTTGTGGTTCTTGTGTTTAGTGATGGTGATGCACCTTGATGGTCCCGTCGATGGAATGCTGGAAACAGGAATGGAATGGTGGACCATTGTTTGGTAGATTTATTATCTTATCGGTTATCGATACCGGTGGCTGTTCATCTGAAACAGCCTCGCATGTGCTCTGATTGGCTGGTGGTGGCATGACGTCACAGGCACACTTGGTCAAAGACAGGGAAATGTGCGCTCGGAGAGTCGTAATGGTGTAATTCCCCTGTCCAAAACAAAAACCAGTCTGTGGCAGTCCCTGGTTTTGGATCTTGTCTGTGACCTTGGCATGGCCCCATCCCTTGGGCTGGCCATGTGGTGACGGTATACTAGAGATTCGAGATCATCGCAGATGATATTGGGCATCTCGACGAGAGTAGTTAGTTCTTGAAGGCTAATTGGTCGACGAACATCCGCGCGTATAGAGCATCCAGTCCGGGTGGAAACTTGCGTAGGATCTCTTTGGTATTCCATTTCTTAACCTCCGGACCTGCAAGCGCTTGGCAGACTAACGCCGCCCAGAGAAACGTGTCCTGCGCATTGGAGCGCAAATAGTCCTGAACGACCTTTTTCGTAGTTAGATTGTACTTCTTCAGCCCTTCTAGTTGGTTCACCTTGTCTAAGATGAATGCATCGACAGCCGCCGCAACCGATTTTGCATTTTCCTCCAGGGAGACTTTTACTTTGTTTGTGGCTCTCTCCAATTATTCCTCGATTTGCAGCTAATTACGACTCGAAACAATCCACTTGACCCGAGAAGATCTAGATGATTGCTGGGCGATTAAGTCGAGAAGCTGCGGCAGGTCTGTTGTAACGCACTCGTCAAGGGCGTCAATGACTAGGTAGGTCGTTCGGAGGCTTGGGTCTCGTAGGATGTTGGTGAAGATTCTCGACAGGGCGTCCCACGTATTTGCATCTTTGAAGAGGCCTTCGCCTGCACGGTCGTACTCACTCCGCACGTGTGAGAGGATAGATGGCTGCTGGTCGGTAAGTAGGTAGATTAGGCCGCGCAGTACGGCGGCTGCATTGTTGATGCGAGAGTCAGTAGCCTGGCAGAAGAAGTAGGCCACATTGCAATGGCACACGTCGGCAGGATTGCCTTGATCCAGCTCATTGATAATGCCGCACAACAACATAGTCTTCCCTTTGCCGGGGTCGCCCTTAATCCATAGTAATCGATGCTGCGGGTAGTCACGCCATCGCTGAAAGTCAGCGTTATCGAGGACCTAACGATATGAGTCTTGCAAAAGGCTACCTTTGGTCTGTTCGATGCGGGTTTTATCGTGGCGAGGATCAGTAAGGCGTACATGCTTTAGACATTGCTGGTCCTTCTCTGACATTTGCTGCATTTCTTGGTGCCTTGTATAGCTAACGAGCTACTCGAGATAAGACGTCCCTTTCTGAGTGGTGTATGTTTGGGCGTTGTTTCGGAAGCAGTTCTCGGCGTCTTGGATAGCTCCCAAATCAGCTTTCCAGTCGTCAAGCATGATCATATCTCGAAGAAAGACTAGGCCGCGGTTGCGATAATAAGCACAAACACTCTTAATCTGGTAAGAGAGGAGTGCTTTGTAGAGGTCAACAATTTGGATCTCCAATTCGCCTCTCATTCCATCGAGTTCGCTGATGTTGTTGGTAGGATCCCTGAGAAGGCTAGTCGACAAATTCCAATACCAGTCCATGCTCTTAACAACGTAGTCGATCCCTTTGCAGTTGGCTTCAGTCGCTTTTATAGGGTTGGCAAGCATCTGCAAAAGTTAGCATGAGAAATATTATCCTCCAGATAAACGTACCTCTAAAGCGATACAAATGCCGGTCCAAGCGAGCGTGGCTTGGGGCACGGTCTGGATTGCCGCACTTATAATGTTCTTAGCGGATAGAACAACGTCCACGACTTCGCCACAGCTCTCTTTCACTTTGGCCTCTCTCTCAGTCTTGGCTAGGCCGGCATTGATAAGCTGAGTCATTTGGCGGCGCCTGTCCGAGTTGTTTTGGGCGATGATGTTCGGCTGAGACTCGAGCACCATTGAGTTGGAGCCATTTTGTAGCTGTCGGGACAGCATCTTCTCATATGCGTCCACCAATTCGGCCTCTTCTTTTTTGAGTTCATTGTAGGCACGGTCCCAGAGTTGTACGGGTAAGCTGGTAGTAGTGTCATCTGCGCTGGCGGACGTCTCTATATTGGCGGAACCAGTAGCCGGAGCGGCTGGGGGCCGTGGGGTGGACGTCTCTACATCAGTAGAACTGGTAGCCAGAGCGGACGGGAGGGGGAGGGAAGACGTAGAGGTAGTGACGGGGATGTGCTGTGTAGGGCAAGACTGCCCTTGGTCCTTAGAACCTTCCCTATCCTCCGCATTTCCGTGTCGCTTGGAACGCGTCTGGAACCACGAGCGTATCGTAGCTTTGAGGAAGAAACGTCTTGACTAAGGTGACGTTAGTGAAGCACTCGAGGATGATCGTTTTGTCTCGGCGTTTTGTCTCGAAGGTAGCGGATGCTATGTTTGATGATCAATGGATCGAGTTTATGGAAGTGTCGGGAATTATTCACGTGCCATCTGAGACAAAAAAAGGACAAGAAACTAGAGCCCTATGTTTTCTCGAGGCTGTGATGGACCATGGGGCTTTCTGTGTTGTCACCTTGTCAAGGCGCGAGATGGCTGGCGGCTCCCTCCCAACTACACGCCAATCACCCAAAGGACGTTTCTTTTTAGAGGCCAGGCATTTTTAGAGGCCGGGCATTCATGGACCCGGAGGCTTCAGGGCGTCTACAGGGTTGGCAATAGTGTACCAGCAGCGGCCTGGTAGCTTGTACCACTTATGGGGGCGGGGCGTGGGTAGGGCTGCAAATCCGAGTGGAACCTGCAAATCACAGGGGAACCTAGGTTGTCAGTGCTGTCCACAGCCGAGCCGCTGCGATAAGCAGTATTAAAGTGGACAATGCGTTGATGCCTTACTTTTCGTTTCCTTTGGGACCTATGGGCGCATAGAACCGACGCCAAGCGGCGATTGCACCGACCAGGAGACATAAGGTAGTTGTCCATACTGCACAAAAAAATGCTTTATTGAAGTCTGTTACGGGGCTGGCGCCCGAAGATACGGGGTCTGGGTCTCCACTCAGACGTTCTGACAGTATGGACACCTAGTCGACGGCTCCAGCGCCGTCTACGTGGCTAGTGCCGACAGCGTGGGGTAACGCCTCAGGGAGCGCAGGCGACGCATGGGTGTCGTACAATAGACTCGAGCAAGTCTTCCTCGCTATACGAACTAGTTTTCTCTTCTTCGTAGAACCTTATCCATTCATTACGCACAGTACCAGTGCCAATCCTACTGTCACCATTACAAAGTCCATAATAATCAAGGTTCGGCTACTGGGAGAGAGCTTGTTACGACCGCGACCGAGAATTGTGCTAGTATACCCATACCGCGGATATTACGCTTTGACAAACGTTAACGGGGCTACTCCCAAGCGGATGTTACTTCAGACTCAAATGCTTGGTGTTAAAATCGAACTGGTTTGGGTCAGATGTCAGGGGCTGGCAAACCTGCAATGTCAGCCCTACTGGCAATAATAAACGCCGCCGGTATTCAATATGTCAAGGTGACTTTCATCTGAAATCGTCCGAGCAAATATCATAGTTTGAAGTTGTGATACGCGGGTTGGCCTTTGGGCTTCGCGTGCAGTATTAGCGTTCCTTGACATTGCTAGAATAACAGACGACAGGCTTCATCTGCAGTAAAAATCAGCAAACTCCTAAGCGTCCAACAAGACAAGAGCGAGAGATTCCCTTGCCACGCTCTCATCAGACTCGGCGACTAACTGCATACACATAACTGGGCTGAGGTACTAGGAACCAATCAGGAATGGTCTTCTGACCGAGTGCAATCTTGGTGTTACCCGTGTAAAAAATCTAGCCGCAGTGTCGGGACGGTCAACTTTTCTCGTAATCTATCCAATTATATTAATCTTTTTAGCACTGGCTCCCCACTTACCATAATGCCTCCGTCCGAACGATATGGATACGGGAGGTTGTTGTTCAGTTTTTTGACCCTACCACGTGATTAAAAGACCCGGTTCATATCCTTCCGACTCCAATAGATAAGCTACCATATCGGAACATTATTTATGAGAGTAGTTTTTTACAGAGGTTTGGATGACTCAGCCAAAAACGCTGCCGTTTCTCGAACCGTTTTCATCACCTTCACTCTCGCTAAGCCCAGCTGAGGCTATAAAGTGGGCTAGGCATACATTATCCTGGCTGCCTAATCGTTAACCTTCACAAACCCGAAATAGATCCTTGGCTACTTGTTGCAGGAACTTGTAAAGTCACTACATTGCGTGACAGCTAAGTCACCTTACCACAACGCAATTTCCAACTTTATATTCAGCCTTCCGTCGATTCAGATGGCGTAGTTCTCGTAGGGGTTCTGCGTATCTTATCTCGTAAGTTATTCCAAATTTTTGAGCGCTTCCTTCATAACGACGTCTTAGTCGCAGCTGATGAACCTAATTGAAGCGGAGCTTTAACCATCGTGGAGGTAATTTCATATGCCGAAGAATAATTGAATGACGATTCGATTTCTAATGATAAACTTAGTTGTAAATGTTAGCAAACTTAACTATTAGTTCTTGCAGGGAGAGGCTACCTTTTGAAAGTTATAAAGATGCTATATTCTTTATGACAAGGAGATATTTTGCGTGGGACGAGCCTAAGGCTGCTTAATAACCAGACAGCGCTCGCTAATACATCATTTCAGCCTCCTTTAGCCGGCCCTAAGTCTTATAGAGGTTGCCCAAGTTGTTAACTGTATCGAGAGTGGACGTATGATCCGGTCCGAGTGCCTTCTCGCTGCCTTCTAGCGCTCGCTGATACATCGCTTCAGCCTCCTTTAGCCGGCCCTAATCCGAGTAGAGAAGGCCCAAGCTATATGTTGCATAACCGATAGTAATGTCTTCAATGTTGCACTCTCCTCCTTCTAATTCTCCCATCCACCATAAGCACCTCTCCGTATGAGGGAGAAGCCATCGCTGGAGTACCCAATAATTCTTAGTCGTACGGTGGGGCACCGAAAATCCTATCAACATTACCGCTAGCCATAGAAACACTCTCTTTCCAGCGTCATCTTGTATATGCGATATCCATCTATGCACTACCGGATGCATGCTATAGCTGCTTTGCTCGGACTCTCGGGCCTCGATCATAGAGTAGCGGAGCAGCAGTGTCGCCATGTTGAAAAACCTAACCTCGTTAAATGCTATATCGCGGAGCCATTTGGGCCATTGCTCCTGGTCATTTCTGGCCACTTGCAGTAGACTGTGCCACATCTCTCTATTGTCGAGAAAAGCCCAAAGCCGTAGCAGATTCCCAGCGTTCTTGTCCCTCGTCTCGATCTCGTTGAACGATATCGTCCACGTCGTCCTCACGCTGCGAGTACCGTAGTCTAGCAGGCCGGAGTCCGTATTCCGGAAGAGTTCATCCCACTGCTTCTCATATAGGTGAATATACTTAGCGACAGGTATGTTTGATTCTCCCATATATGCAGCGGCTTGCGCGAGTGCAAGTGGCAGACCTTCTAATAAACGTAGCAACTTTTCTGTATCATCATCCATCACTGAATTAGCGCGTTAGCATCAGCTTTAGAGTTGGGTCTCGTAGTAACCTGGGGTGCTCACTTAGTTCCTTCCCGTACCATTTCTCGAATATTTTCTTACTCAAGTCTAGGTCAGCACGTTTAATGCGCTTGGATTCGCCAAGCTGTGCTAGCTTGGACAACCGGGATGTAATTAGGACTGCGCCGTGGTCACTCCGAAGATACTTTCGAATGTCATAAGCGCCCGGTATTTCTCCTTGCGTATGATCCAGATCAACGTTATCGAAGATCAAAAGCCAATCGACATTGTTATCTTTTGCGAGCCACTCTTGTACGTGCTCCACAATCTCGTTGAGATCGACTTGATCGCCTGTTTTTGGACTTCTGATATTCTCAGGAATCTGGTCTTTTGGTATTCTCTTTGCACAAATAGCAAAGCTTTGTTTAAGGCTGTCTTCTGATGTGCCGTCGAGCCAAAAGATGGCGCTGAAGGCAGCTTGGTATTGCCGTGCAAAGTTGACAGCTAGTTGAGTTTTCCCAATTCCGCCGAGCCCGTGAAGAACAAAGACATTGTACCCTTGTTTTTTCTGGTGGTAAGGAAGAAGAGATTTCTCAATATCAGTAATATCAGAGGGTCGAGGCACGAAGTTGTTTGACGTCGGCATACCCTGAAGAGAGAATTTAACTCTATAGCAGGCATCTGCTTGCGCGAGGGGCGTTCCTTCACGGATCTTTCCAATAAACTCTTTAATTTTTCCAGCAACCTTCTTGTAATCTGCGCATCCACGGCTGCCGAACTTGTTCATCAGACCATGGGTCCGATCGAGTGGTAGTGGCTCTAAGACGATGTCTAGTGTTGCTGAGGACCTCCCAACCAGCTGGCAAGCGTTAGTTATAGCGCGGGGATACTAGTACTTTAAGATTTCTTACCGGTTTTCCTTTGAAGAACAAAGTAGGTAACCAAGGGAATATCTTGCGCCACAGACTCGTCATTCCGAGTTCATAAAAGTTGAATACTAGAAAGGGCCAGTTCGGATGCTGACAGAATCGTGTGAACTCGCGTACGAGTGCTTCAAGATCAAAGGTCGATCCTTTCACACTATCGAGTAGCTTGCTCACTTTTCGGTCGCGGATTAATGCCCATGCGGTCAGACCTGGATCTGCCCAGTGAGCTACCTCTTAGAACGAAGTCCCTCGGAACGGGGTAGCGAGGAAGATAATGCCACGTGTTGCTTTCCTGAGGCAATAACAGCTCGTGGTGCATTCATGATCGGCGGCGGTTGTGAGAGCCCTCACTAAGATGATCCCCCCAAGACAAGAAGCGATAAAGAGGATTGGTCTGTCTTTTATCTTGTTCTTTGCCAAGAGTTCTCTGTCGATGCCATCAATTAGGAGCGTAACGATCTCGCCATCAAGCTTCGGGACTAAATCTGACGGTTGAAGTAGCTCGGCAGGCCAGTCCAGTGTAAAGATACGTGCCTTTTCTACGTCGACCGGGAGCAAATCGGCTAGCCAATTGACGCCGCTGGGATTCCGCCGATCCCGCCATGTCCACGTATCCGGTGATTTTGTATCGAGGCCATGGATAGCAATAATGTCAATGTCGGTGTCTCCATTGTCCTTGTTGACTTGATTGAGATGGACGCCTCGCTGCGTGGATCGTGTAGAATCTGAAGCAGGCTTCGTTGGAGACGACGGTGCGGTACCGGAACCCGCTGGCGCATAGAACCAAAGCCAAGCGGCGGTCGCACAGACAAAAAGACATAAGACAGTGGTCCATACCGCCAAATAAATGCCTTCATTAACGTCCATGGTAATCAAGGTTCGGCTACCGGGAGAGGAGCTTGTACGGCCACGACTGAGAATGGTACTAGTATACCCGTACGGCGGATATTGCGTATTGCCCTTTGACCAACGTTAGCGGGGTTACTCCCAAGTGGAAATTGCTTCGGCCTTTGTGTCTGATAGCGTAGATGAAGTGTTTGATACCGATCGCTTCTCGTAGGCAGAGGCTCAAATGCTTGGTGTTAAAAATCGAACTGGTTTGGTGATCTTGCTCAGCCTCACGTAGAAGTAAGGCCGAAACGATATGACGCGTCCATGCCTAATTATCTCGATCTGAGGGATTAGATATGAGGGGTTTGGTGCCTAGTGTTGACTTGACTCATGTGCTAGGCTGGAGCCTTTGATTGGGACTAGCTCGGCGGCTAGGTACACTTTTGGTTGGCCCACCAACGACGCCGGTAGGTTAGCCAATTTGAGACTTGGAGGATTGGTTGTGCCCTATGGGGCATCTGCTGCTGCAGCTGAAATGATAGCGCGATGGGCTTTAGGTAATGAATTAAACTTTAATGGGCTGGAGGTCCTGTTGCGCGGGTAATGGAGGGTGTTTGAAGGAGATCTTTTTATTTTTCTTTTGGTGTTGCGCTCTATCTGTGTGTTTTCTTACTTTTATGAAAGCATCAGCCGCGCAGTTGGAGTTCTGGTGCAACTACATCGACGTAGCTACCACCGACTGAAGACGGGAAACGGCACGAAATACCAACGCCGCGAGCACGATCATTGTCACCATAAACGCGATAGCTCCTGAGTCGGACATGGACCAAAACCCCCCATCAAGTCCAAACCGGATAACATCCTCCGACAGTTCCAAATCTCAAATCCAAATGACATACAGAACAGTACGTCCTACCAATTGCCATCCTCATCATTCACTTCCACTTGACGTCCATGTCTTCGCCGAGCACTAACAGTCCATCCTATCAGGTATCATCAACTCCTTTCCAAACAGCCCTCTTTCCCCTCTCCTTTACCACCCACTCCACCATCCATTCCACTACCAACCCTCCCTCCTCAACATCCTACACACACTTCTTCCCAGCCTCGCACCGTAACATCCGCCCTCATGAAGCAATCGACGACCTCGAATCGCTTTACAAAGGCCCTTCGCCCTCTTTTATCGCCCGCGAATTCGACCTCTCCCGGCTACACTCCATTCGCCATCTGCTCTGGCTAGCCGGGCGTCCGGTACCGCCCCACCCTTTGCACCAACAAGTGCTTATGAATCGGGAGCCGATAGTGACTAAAAAGCTCGACCAACACTTAGTATGGGGAGGAGGCAGGGTGTTTCTGAAGCCTGTCAGCAAGTTTTTGTTTACGAGGGAGTTTTGGACAAGGGAGTTGACATGTAAAGGCGAAGGGGGCTGTTGAGGAGGAGTGGTGGAGCTGGGTGACGGGGAACGGGAAAGAGAACGGGAAGCAAACGACAAAGCACGAAAGAAGGATGACGCGGGAGTATGCAAACGATGCGAAAGCCGGCAAGCAGCGCTTGGGTTTTTGTTCAGTTATGTTGGTCTGGTGCAAAGGGAGACCGACTTTGATCTCGCCACCGTCAAGGGCCTCCTCCCGCGCGAAGTAACCTGGGGTCAATGGCGTCTCTTCGTGGACGAGCTGCTCGCCTCGCCAGACGCGATATACAAGAACATCGCCGTTCGGTTCATCTACGGCGAATTATGACTGAACCGACTTAACCTCATTTACATGTTCACGCGGGGGCCTTTGTCTCCATTCCCTACGGCCAACACCTTGGGGCTGTTGGTGTCAGCGGGCTCCCCGGCTCTACGGAAGATTCTCCTGGCCCAATACCATCGTGGTTACACTTACGGTCACCATCAAGCCCCGCCGCCGACTAGTCATAAACAGTACTTCCCTGCCACAGCCACTTACGCGTCGGCTCCCAACCCCTACAGCGATCCTACCGCTATTGGTGTAGGCAGTCAAGTTGCTGATTATACGGCAGCGGGGTACCCGCCGGTGCATGCCATGGCTCATGAGATTGTGGGTATGGTTCCTAGTTGGGGTTCTAGAACAACTACTCCTTATGGCGGTGTATATATGGACTCAGCTCCAGAATCTTACGGGGGATATGGCAGCTCGAGCCTCGTCCATTGCCCGGCACCCTATAGTGGTGCCCATTATGGCCACGGAACTCCTACTACAACCGAATCCCAGTCCCCCAGCTTTTCCTTCTCCGGTGCTGCGTCCCTACCTACCACTAGTACCGGCGCCGGTCGCTTATTGCCAAACCCCACAGCCGGAACCGGTACCTCCCACTCCTCCCTCCCTTATGCCGGCGGCACAGCCATGAAGACCTCTTCCCAACCAGGAGTATCGAGCCCCCCCGCCAATGTCGCTGCTTCTGCAACTGCCTACGGCGGCTTTGATGGTCTTCCCGCGTCTTACGGATCAGCTAGCACCGTCAGTGCCGGACACACCTCATTGGTCCGCCCCCACTCTACTTCTATGAATACCTACTATTCGTCTGTTTCGGAAACAAGCACAGGCGCCGGGGAACCTCAAAGCACCTTTGGCAAAGAGGGAGGTCACTGACCATTATTTGCATTCGTATCTGATAAGTGCAGACGATGCGCATTCGCGAGGAGGGAGGATGGGGGTGGTAGGAGGTAGGATGGCCGGAAGGGGACAGTTCGGGCGGGTAACTGGCCCATCTCGTGACCTTAATTCGAGTGCCCTCAATAAGTTTTGGCGGCATCAATGGTCGGTCTCCAGTTTCAAACCTCTTTATTAACCCGTTGCTTGACTATCTTTGGCGTTTCTTGTCCCGCCTCGGTCATCTTGGTGAGAAAATTTGTGTTGAGAGGGAAGGTCGAAATAAGAGTCGGATAACAGCATGACAGGAAGGCGCCCGTCTCTTGATAATCTCGGCGTCAGCGCAGGAAGGCGCTGTCATCTATATGTCTCTAGGATTGTGGAAGGAGCAATGGTCAGGAACAAAGTGTTTAAATGATATCGAACAATCCTATTCTTTCCGCTGAACAAAGCCAAGTGTCTTTGTTCACCCTTCCTGGTCCATCGTATGTATTATGTTGAGCCGTCGGTTTTTGCAAGGTTACTTGTATCCTTTTGGAACATGGCTGGTCGATATGGGTAGTCTGCCGCCGCCGTGACATGTACTACTCTACTCATGCGTTGGGGCACATCGGTCCTCGGCATTGGTTCGCAGCTCTTTCGCTCGAGACTCCTCCTTGACATCCCTCTTCCGATACTACCAAGGCGGAATGGGCAGATAATACGGAGAAGTATCGTGAAGTTCCAGTATGGAAGGTGAATATTGTAAGTAAGCCGTCTTTTTTTAAAGAAGTTTAAGTCTGCAGGTGTAACCGACGCGCAGTCGATATATATCGACTGCGTGTGCCTTACCGTATTGGTAATGTCTGGACACGAGCATCATGGCAGGTGCGAGCTGCTAGGCCACCAAGTAATCTAGTATACAGGATTTCAGGCATCAGCAGAAAATAGGATGTAAATGAGGCTGCGGAAATGCCTGTTTTCTATTGGAAGAGCCTAATCCCCCCCCATTTCTCATGCAATATAGCACTTCTCAAGTATTGCCATCTGTACTGCCTTGCCATCCTTAGCAGTCTGGCCGTTTTCAAAGCTAAGGGTACACTCCTTGTCAGAGATCACCAATTCCACGAGATAAGGACCATCCTGGGATCTATCAGAACCCAGCACATAGACTTTATCTCCAACACGAAATTCTGGATTCTATGTACGAGCTTGGTTAGTACCTGGTTACCTTTGGGCTAGAACAACCTACCACATAAGAGCGTGCAATGTATGGGCGGTCTTCCTCATCGGAAAAGATGAACTCTTCCTTTCTGTTCCTAGCGTAGGTGTTAATATCAGATAAGCTGAGATAAGCTAGATACATACTCGTTAGAAGACATGGTGATTGTAAGACTGAAATTGACAAAGGCAGACGTTCGTAGGGTAGCTATAATAGGACGATAAAGAGTGCTAGAATGCTAGCCTTAATATTTCCCCCTAAATTTTCAATAGCAATATGACAAGGGAAGTGAGCTGTGATTGGAACAAGAAGGCTTGATTTAGCTGATAATGTTCTTTCGTCTCCAAGGTCTTGTTGATCCTTTTGACCTCCATCAGAAGGCCGGATTCCAAAGCCTTCTTATGCCCAAAGAAGGCTAGTACATACTAGGCCGGAGGCATCAATGCGAGTTATTAGGATCTACATACAAGCGGGCCTAGCACCTGTTCTTCATTAGTCGCCCTTCTTTACTTAGTTGGATGTAACAACCTTATTGATGATGATGTTGGTTACTGCTTTCGGTAGTAAGCTCAATCGTTAGGGAGATCATACAGACTACCATGTGACAAGTATGGAGAAAGGCTATGTAAGTTAGCATAGCCCTAAATTAGCCTTGTGACCACTAGTGCCCAGTTTATAAGAGCATCGTGGCTTTCAACGTTCTTATCGTTGCAACGTCTAATGGGCACCCATACGTTAGCGTCAGGGCTGTGCATGTGTAAAGGAGCAGCAGAGTACATGCAGGTGGTACGCGAAGCGGGGCTAAGGCCTCTATGCTTTTGAAGAGGGGCGCAAGAACCACATGGGGCCAGTCTAGCAGCTGGTTAGATCTTAGTGCAGAGCACTAGCCTTTTGACCACATCAATATAGTAAGAAGTACAAGAAGGAGCCCAAGATTTGTCTTATAGTCACCTTTAGGTGCATCTAGGAAAGACAATTAGGATATGGAGACCGTTCGATCTTGTCTTCCCATTTGGGAGCCCTCGGGACCTTCCATCACAGAGAGAACGCCGGCCCCCCCGCTCCAGAAGATACGCTCATATGAGGATTACAGGCCCGGATACCCCCGTTTTACGGCACTCATCTCAGCACATGGTCCCTACTTTTTATGCCGACGTTTTGACAAGCTCCGAGCTCGAATCCTTCTGCTGAAGCAGAACAAGCTATCTATGCTCGAGGAGAGGCTTGAACAAGTGGATTCCGAAGAGCCCTCTCCCCTTTTCCTTGGGAAAAGCCGATGCGATCGAAATGCGGAACGATTATCTCTCCTATCACAGATTGAGGCTTGTCTTGCTGATTATGGTAATGCAGACGTCCATAATGAATCACAGTCGCTAACAAAATATAGATCAATTCACTGAGAGAGCGAACCGGGTACTAAGTTTCGGCCCCGCCCAACCTAGAGACGTCGAGAGCCTATAAAATTGGCTGGACAGCACTGGCAGTCTGGCCCGAGAGGAGGCTTCGTACCTCGCACATCATCTTGAGCTGGTATCTCTGGCTCCTGTAGATAACAGCGCCGTAGTGCAGCTTACAGCATGGGTAGAGAATATAGTCATTTGGCTTTGGCCGAGTTCTGGAAAAGTAAGGACAAGCGTGAAGCATCAAGCGTAAGGCATCAAGCCAAACTAACCATTGCGCAGAACCCTTTCCAGAACGTCTCGAAGTATCCCAACATATACATCGACTCAAGTCCACGGATTAAACTGACCGCTCAGGCACTACTATTACTCCTTATAACACTTATGCTGCTCTTACTAGTTGTTCTTTGCAACATCGTGAGCACGACGTCGGCGCGAATTATCATTGTTATAGTGTTTACGATTGGTTTCCTCCTTATACTTTCCGGATTGACGAAATCAAAGACGATGAATTTGATCCTTGCAGGAGCAACGTAAGTTAATCTTCCATTCCAAATAGGATGCGACGGCTAACCTGACTGACATGTCTACTAGCTATGCGACTATCCTCATAGCATTTATTTCCAAGAGTAGCACATGAGGCAAGACCTATTAACGATAGAATTAAGTCCATTTATAACTCTAGAGTAAGCTTGAGGTATAACTGGAGGGAATAGAGAAAGGATTATGGTCTTGCTGTAATTACAGTGAGGTTTATGTAGGATGAATATAAAGCGGCAATGTAGGAAAACAAGAGTCTAGGTGGTACAGAATCGCGTTATTATCAAAATACGATTAGTACAACGAGTATCTGGTAACCCACCACCCAAATTAGACTGAATTACATTGCAAGTGTTACAACTGGCGAATGCCACAAGTTATAAGGCAGCAAGTATAACACTACGTCTTTTATATAATGATGACATTAAGAAGAAAAGAAGAAAAGAAGATAATACCATTGAGAGAGTATTGTGAAAAGCACAGCTTGTATGTTGTTTGAATGTGTATGAATTGATGATTCAAAAGAAGAATCACGAGCAAGAAGCTCGCGTGCGGTCGATGACTTCAGAGGCACGCGAGCCTTATCTAATCTACAGGACCCACATAAGTGGGGTTGCGACCGAATGGGCGGGGCCCACAGTGCTGGGGTCGCATAGGTCAGGTAATCTGACATGTGATGACACCAGCGATACCAATCCGGTATCAGAAGAAAAGAAGAAAAGAAGAAAAGAAGAAAAGAAGAAAAGAAGAAAAGAAGAAAAGTTATCCGTTGAATCTAGCCTTTTAGGATAGAGCGTATGGATCATTCATGGCATTTATTTCTGCCTCATTATATTGAGCACTACACCAATAGCATCCTGCCAGTCATAACAATAAAGCGTTTGTTTTGGAGGCATTATCGTCTAGTTCCCTTACTATTGCCTACATTGGAGAATGCTTTCGTATCAGCCATGTCACGACACTGGCGGTGGTCAAGGCGCAGAAAGGGTCGTGTCACGGCATGGCTGGACGGGTGCCCGGAGACATGGGCACGGAGGTCCGATGGTCGCACGGGACGACATCGGATGAAAGATATGATCCTTATCGATGGACATTCCGGATCAGGAAGGCGGCGACGACTGGCAGATCTGACTTAATATGTCAAGATCCGTGATGCCTTCGTTCGTCGTACTTCCCTTTCCCTCCTTACACTTAATATTACTTTGATTTGCGGCTTCTAGTCTTGTTGTCTTATCACTCGTAGGAACACGCTTTCACAGGTCGCAGATTTGTGGGTACCAAACCACAGAACCCCGCGTACCTTTACTTGTTTACCCTTTTCCCTCCTCATCTTGCAGTTCCATAATCGACCTGGGATTATACTTGCAAGCTTGTCTCCGGTTTCCTTCATCAACCGTAACAAGCCATACGTTCTGCCTAACGCTAAGCCTCAGCGCTCCGATACTATCACACTAACCTTACGGAAACATAGGGGCGCTAAAAATGTGTCATGCGTAGCGCCTCAAATGAACAACGACTGGTGCCCAGGGGTGCCCAACAGCCGAGGCGGACAGCAGTACCTCTAGACAAATAAATGCCTTACATAGCTTTACCAACCAGTTACAGCAGGCCTGAAAAGCCTAGGCTTTCACATAGAGATTTATAAGCAATCTCAGTGTATATTAATGGAAAAAATAACTGGGCTTGTGCATAAATGAAACGAATTTGTGTTAACTAGCAATTAAGCTTATATCATTGTGTCAGCGGAAGATTTACGGAAACAAGGTACCAAATTCCGCGATCGTCTTCTCAAGCGCTACAACACCTCCACACTAACCGCCTCCCTATAGGCCGCTAGTCCAGTGCTTGCAAAGAGTACGCTGGTTGATTGCAAGCTAGTTTCTATATCATTAAGCGGTCAATCTTTCATTTACACTTCCATTCCCACCTTAACGTACGAGCTCGTATCTTCATTGCACCATATGACAATTCTATACAGCCCAAATACCTGAGCAGTTTACATCTGCCTATAATCTTAACCCTGGCTACCATTAGCCTATCTAGCCATTGAACAGCTCGCATCGCCAAAACTTATCAGCTAGCAGGACCCACACATCCCGTTGTCAGGACGCGTACAAATAAGCTCCATAATATAAAGAACACGAAGGTTGTCTTCTATAAATCTGGAGGCTAATTGTCACTTCAGGGGAAACCTAGATATAGGTATTCAACAACTTCAAGAGGCTCTTGAGACAACACCAGAGGACCATCCAGACCGGGCAAGTCTACTCCAATCCCTCGGGATTGGATACCGTGCCAGATACCCGAGAACAGGAGTCGTAGCCGATCTAGAGCTAGCTATCCAACACTTGAAAGAGGCTCTTGAGGCAACACCAAAGGACCATCCAGAACGAGCAAATCGACTCCAATCCCTCGGGGTTGGATACCGTAACAGATATCAGAGAACAGGAGTCGTGGCCGATCTGGAGCTAGCTATCCAATACTCTAAAGAGGCTCTTGAGGCAACACCAGAGGACCATCCAGAACGAGCAAATCGACTCCAATCCCTCCCCTGATGAAAACCGTTATCCCCGTACGGAAAGAGAAGGGGATATGCGAGAGGTAGATAGGAAGCATGCTGAACTGGGATTTCCGTAAACCGACGGGAACTGCCGCGGAAAGAGAGGATTGCGGACCGAGCAGAGCTAACCCTACCGTCTCTTGTAACCCCATCCCATTCGTCAGGGATTACGGCAGCTACCTCGTCGACCGTAGGGAGGTTTTCACGCCTCCTATCCGCCCCGTCCTGGACTATTAACCTCATTCCCATCTGGGGGTCGAGTTCGACTTGAGCTACATCCGCTATGCAGGCTTCAAGACGCTCTTTTGCAGTGTTGTACATGCTGATGTAGGGATTGTTGTGGTGTAAGAACTGTGTAAACTCGCGAACAAAGGTCGGGTCCAAGTCTGTATAGCTCTGGAGGCGTCTGTCGGCTGTAACTTGCGTGTTTGGGGCCGCTTGGGGATCGTAAATATACAGCTGTGCAAAAGTAGGAGGACCGCTACCATCAGACTGTAAAGGACCTTGTAAATGGTATAGTCCTCCATAGATTTGGAAGTCCATTACACCCCCAGACCGGCCGTGCGTTTCCTGGTTGCACTTGATAGACGTAAAAGCGAACGCATTATTGTAATGCCGCAGTCGATCTTGGAAATTCCGTGCACGTTGGTTGCTCCCTGTTAACAGCTCCCGTAAGAAGGGGGGCAAAGGGGTCCATGGGTCGAGGTGAATATCGCCTTGTAAGCAACAGCTTCCGAACACGGGGTTTCCAGGCCTTGAGGTCTGTAAAGGAGGAAGGTTAGTTATCTCTACAAACCAAATATCAAGCGTACATACTGAAAGCTGCTCATCCTTCCAATGTAAGGCACCGCAATAGTCACATTTAACGTTCATAGCCTCAAAGTCTTTGTAGGGGGTAGTTTGCACGCCATTAACTGGTATCCATCCATCTGGTTCCTGTTACGATCCGATCAGAAGCCCCTTATGTAAGCTAGATAGATTGACCAATAAGCGACAACCCGTACCTAGGGTCCCGTTGTCCCGAGAATACGGGACTACGGGACCAGGTTACATGGGGTGTCCCGTGGTCCCGAGATCGCGGGACTACGGGACGGGTTTGAAGACCAGTATATAAGAAGGCCGCTTCCCGGCCTTCGTTATTCTGGCTCTTCAGCAAGCAACCAACTGATACAATCGACCAGTACCTTTTGGCTACTACTACCGTTATTCCTATTCTTATTTCCCAGCGATATACTCCTGTGCTTGTAACGGTTCGTCACAGTTCCCCAGGACGTAAACCCCTGGAATCAATGCGCTCGGTTTCTTGCGGCAGCCCCTGTGCAGCAATACTCTCCCGTTCATCCCGTTGCTGCTGCTGACGTACATTGCGCGACCGCCTCCTCGCAGTACTACACTCCTTACACTGGGCATATGGGGCGCCAGTCCTACTGGTAGAGAACTGATCAAGCGGTTTGTACGTACGGCAGCCACTACAGTACGAAGTCTGGGAACTCCGAGGACGCCGAGAGGTACGTAAAGCTCTTCCACGTGCAGCTGGGCGGCCCCGAGGTGCAACGGCCGTAGTTGCCATAGAACGTTGGCGGGGAGGCATGGTTTTTGGGCGTTTGGCTGCCTTACTGGTTTTCTTAAAAATCTCGAGGTTTACAATGAGAGATTTGAAGGCACTAACAGATTCGTGCACTAAAGTCTTAAGCTAACAATTCTTTTTGGTACAAAAGCGGCTCGTGCACGAACATTTAGTTAGTGTGCAAGGTTTTTTATATGGGCCTGCACGCCATTTGCACTAACATACTAACCGGACTTTTTTTGGCCAACTGTGCTGTTAATATATTAGGATTAGGATTAGGACTAGGTGTCCGGGGGGGAGCTTCGCCCCCCTCCTTTCCTAAGTAAACGTTTAGCTGCCTTCCTAGTTGGCCTGTACGCCTACTACGTACCAGTAAACTTCAATACAATTTACAGCCTGGCTCGGCAGGTCAGACAGGTACTGGCAGGCAGGTAGCTGCACTATGACACATCAGATAACAGACGCGATTGCTTGATAGATAAGATAGTCCGGATTGGGAAGGCGGCAAAGGCAGGCAGTAAGGATGTAAATTCAGACTCGCGATGTTGACTTTCATGGGGCACGCACAGCTCTCTGTGTCGCAGCAGTAGTACTGCGGCCGCGGCGGGGAGCAGCCGTACGGGAGCCAGCAACGGCAGCAGTTTGTCTACGCGGCATACTGGGCAGTTACTGGGCTGGGGTTGGGAAACGCGATGCGATCGTGCGTACACTAACGAAATCAGAACGTTAAAGTGTTAAGCTAACAATTCTGTTGGCGGTAAAATTGGACCGTGCGCTATGATTTGGATAGTCTGAGAGCTTTTTTACGTGGGCATGCACGCCACTTGCACTAACACACTAACCGGTCATTTTTTGGCCAACTGTGCTATTAATATATTAGGATTAGATGAGTTGAGTGAGTGAGAGAGGAAAAGCGGAACACGGAGGACGAGGTCCGACGTGGTTTATATACAGGATGACTATGTATGGATCGTATCCACTTAGGCAGAAACGCCAAAGAATGGTGATGGCTTCAACACATCTATCTCACTTAGGCTAATCAGACCTGCCGTTCATTATACATTCCCATTCATAAGTAAGGAATGAAAATGAAAGAAGCACATACGGCCATAGATGGTGGAAAACTCAGGATCCCGTCCGGCTCTCCCATAGATAAGCCACCAATCGAACTCACTCACAACGACCACTTCTTTTGCTCCACTTCGACCACCTTAAGCACCACTCGCGATGTTAACCCGCCGTCAAATCCTACTTGACCAGTATGAAGGAGTAAAGTGCCTACTCTAAGTACCACGCCAACGAACTTTCCAGGGCTAGATTGTAGGGTGGATCGCAACTGACGGGCAACTCACAACCGACAGGTGACAGGGAAGACCCTGGGAAGGAAGCGGTAACTGTACCCGACGGTTGGACTGAAACAACCACAGCACCCGACATCGATCAGTGATCACATCAATTCATACCTACATCCAACACCACACCATGACGGGCCCCAGTTCCTTCCATTTTTAAACTCCTGCCGATGGGCTGCGATTAAGCTAAAGTGGAAGCCAAGTACCTCGTCAAAACTTTTCAAGTCGATGTATTCTTTGAAGTATGTTACAAATTAAAACACTAAAAATTGGTCATTACTACCAGGTGATTACCCGCTAGAAAAAAATATCGTCCCCTTTAGCTTCCTGGTACATACACTCCAACCAATTTCCCCGGGTCCCCCTCTGGAAACTAAATGGCCCTCTCCCGCGCCTTCCATGTCTTTCTTTCTTTCTCCTTTTCAAATTTCACCCCATCCACCTCCACCTCCACCTCCACCTTCGAAAAAGCCAGGCTTCAACCTCAAACTCTATCAAAGGACAGCAACGCAAGCATAAGTATTCGCCCAAAGCCCCGTGCACGCGGTGCCCCCGACGGCCGGGTTCCACTTCACAAAGTTGGCCAGCGTGATCTTGTACTTGGCCACGATGGTCTCGCAGGTCTGGCCCGAGCTGACAAAGTGGAAGGGAAGGTCTTGCAGCTGGTGGTCATGCCGGACTGGATGGGCGTGGGCGTGGCGATGCCGTTGCCGGTTTTTGTCGTTGTAGTGGCCGCCTTGGTGGTTGTGGTGGTGGTGGGGGTGTGGCCGACGATGGAGATGCAGATGTACTGTTGTTATTTTGGGGGTAAAGGTTAGTGATCTCTATTGTTTATGTAGAGGTACCTGAAGCTGACGAGTGACGACAAACAAAAAAAGGAAAGGAAAGGAAACCAGAAAAAAAAAAAGAAAAAAAAAGAATATGAACTCACGTAATCGAGCCACAAACTGGTGCACCCGCTCCCAACCGACGGGTTCCACGAGATGATCTGCGCACTCGAGATGCCGCTCTTGGCCGCGATCACGTCGCACGTGTCGCCCGAGTTGACCTTGTAGAAGCTGTCGCAGTTGGCCACCATGTTGGGCTGGATCGGGGTCGGGGTGGCGATGCCGTTTCCAGCGGTCGTAGTAGTGGTGGCAATGGTGGTGATGATAGTAGGCTCATGGCCGATGATGGACACGCAGGCATAGGCGTTGGCCCACAGACCGGTGCATGCCGAGCCCGCGCTCGGGTTCCATGCTAGGAATTGGGCGAGCGTGATGCCGTGGGACTGGGTGATGGCGTCGCACGTGTCGCCGGCCTTGACCAGGTAGAACTTGTCGCAGTTGGAGACGATGAAGGGCTGGGCCGGAGAGGGCGTCGTGATTCCGTTGGAGGGAATGGTGGTGGTTGGGGGCTGCGTGGTGGTGGTGGTGCTGGTTTTGAGGGTTGTAGTGGTGGAGGTGGTAGTCACGGCCGCTTTGGTGGTTGTGGTTGACGAGGACGTCGAGGTGGTGGTAGAATGGACGTCGAGACGGTGGTGGAGGTGGACGACGTCAAACTGGTTGAGGATGAAGTCGTGGTCGTCGTGGTTGTGAGGGGGGCCGGGGCAGGCTCGTTGTAAGCCTCCACGCAGTAGGATTTCCCAACAACCAGGTTTCCACAGTCAGCTGTGATGGACGGGTTCTGTTTTAGCGGCTTAGTTAGGACCGTGTTTCTGACTCGGATGGAAATATTTGGAGGGCCTTACCCAGCGGCGGAACTCCTCAAGAGTGATGTAGTTGTCGTCGAGTAGCGTGGGACATGAGATGTCCGACGTTACATCAACCCACCCAGTGCAGTATTGAGAGGCGTTGCTATCATATGGCAGCAACGGCGAGGGACCATCCCGAGCAAAGATGGGGCTTGCTCCCACAACAGCGGCCTCGATGAGGCTGCCAATAACAAGCAGATCGGATGCAGAAGACAACATTGTTGCAAAGGGTGGAAGCGGCGCCGGTTGTAGGTGGTAAAGTTGCTCAGATGGACCCTACAGTACTTCTAAACTCCAGCGAGGCGGGAGCGTGATCCTATTAAGTACCTCTACCGCCTCCTCCGAACAAAACGGTGCATCTAGAGGTATGATCTTTTCGCAGAGGTACTATCACAACTCCCATCGCCACATGGCTTCACCTTGATTCAACCCGCAAAGTGTTCACTTGCGGCAAACGCCGCATAGTTACATTGAAGCCATCTTCCCTCATCATCAGAAGCCTGGTTCAAGATACCTCTGATGTCCGACTCCAGCGACGATTACTGACTAGACGGCCCAGACCCCGGTTTAGACTTCTGAAAATAGCAAGTGTCGTATTCCAGCCAAAGAACTTACCATGGTACCATGGTGAGGAATTCTTTTTTTCTATTCTTTTCAAAATGTACCTTGCATAACCTAGGGACCTAGTTCCATGTGCTGAGTGACAGCCGTTAGCGTCCCCGATCCCAGGGAACCTCGGGACGGGTGGATTTACCCTTTTGGGCTTAGGGGGTCTCTTTCCTTTCTTTTCTTCCCCAGGCGCTATGGTATGCAGGGGTAATCATGGATCGATGCCTCTAACGAGCTTGCAGGGTTACTTAGCCCAAGTCTTTTGGCACCTGGACGATCGTCTAACCAATAGTGCTTACCTTCCATACCTAATTCGTCTAGAATATCCTCCGGCAGGTACCCTGGTGGTTGTTTCCACGCTGTTGCCTGATCTCCTCGGTACGCACTTAGAGCACTTCGCAGGGCATCTGTCAGACTAGTACCACCGGTACCGCCCGCGCTCATCGGAATGCTGCTACCAGGTGCCGGAATCCGGGCCTTTGTTGAGGTACTACATGCGTCCACCTAGAGGTCGGCTCTTCTTTTTCCTTGGGCATTTGCTTGATTTGTTTTCTAGGCCTATACACTCCAACCCTGGATAGTTTGTTAGCTTGGTACTCGCAGAGTGCTCTTTGTGGCCCGTCAGCCGATGTATGCGCTAACAAACTCTTTAAGGGCTGGACTGATAGTACGCTAGGTAGGTAAGCTTCAATGCAAGTCGAGCTGGGGTGAAATCGCAACAACAGAATGACAGAAGAGTTATTGGATTGGAGCTATTATGAAGAGGTGGCTTTCTTGTGCCAGTTCGCTGCACATTGGAGAAGCCCTAGGGTGCGATCCGTCAAAAACTGTTTTTTTTTTTTTTTCTCTTCTAAAAGAGGTACATGTTCAGATCCAGTCCATCAAGACAAGAAAACAGAAAAGTAACTCATTACTAAGGTATCCGCATGTGATTTAGTACAGGTAAAGGCACATATGTATCCTTCAGAACAAAGCCATGTTTTTCATGGCCCCGGAACTAAAGGTAGCACCCGAAACGGTACCAGAGGTAGTAGTGCTGCTGCTGCTGCTGCTGCTGCTGCTGGTAGTGTCGAAGGTGGGCGGCGCTTCATTCGCCAGGGCCTCAAAGATGTTGAGAAGTCCCTTTCCGCCACAGAAGGAGTTCTTATCGCCGGTGCAAGGGACGTTGCAATCGGTCTGGTTGCTCGTCCACTCTCCGCCGACGTAGCTGCCGCACCAGCACTGGTTGCCCTCCTGCAGGCCGGCAAAGGTGTAAGCGCGGCGGTAGCAACTGTTTTTGCATTTGGGGATGGTCAGAGAGGCATCTCCTGCGGCCGGGCTCATGTTCTGCTCGAGAACGTGGAGCTTGGGGTCCTCGACGTAGCAGCCCCTGGCGGCCCAAGAGGTGGGAGAGGGGCCCAGGGTGAATGCGCTGGTGGTGGTGGTGGTGGCCGTGGCCGTGGAGGATGAGCTTGTCGTCGTCAGTTTGCCCGTGTCGTTGAGTCTTTCTAGGGTGACGATGCAGTACGAAGTCTCGTCGTACCACGGCTGGCAGTCGAGTCCGACTGAAGGGTTCCATTTGTGGAACTCCTCGGGCGTGATGCCATAGTAATCCCGCACCGCCTTACAGGAGCTATCGCCAATGTACGGCTCGGGCTCGTCGATGAGGTTGTTGTGCCATTCGACGCAGTCTTTGGCGGTGTCTGGATCGTACTCCATCCACGGCGTCGGGCTAGACGCAGCCTGGCGTGCGATAGACAAAAGGGAGAATAGGATGAAGGTCTTCATCTTGAAAGCTGCGGTGCACTGGTGGCCGTGCGCAAGACGAGTAGGTAGGGTAGAGCTAAGGAAGCAAGTTGGCGAGGAGATGGCCACAGGGAGGAGAAAGGAATGAGAAGGAAGGACTCAAAGGAGTTAAAGGAGGTATCTTCAAGGAGCATTAATGGGCACGTCGTGATATCAAAACTCGACTCGTGTGGTTGAGAGGTCACCCATAACTAACACGCAACCCAAGTGCCTCCACCGATTGGGAGTCTGGAGAACCAGGAACGATAAGGAGAGCGGAAAAGCCGAAAAGGGGATACTTTAGGCTTGGCACAAATCAATCCAGCACATTTACCTGCCTCTTTTCCGGTCGTTGCAATCCAGAGCGAAAAGTTGAGTGTCAGCCGAGTCATCTGAAATTGCAAGTACGACGATGACGATACTTGAAGATACTTCCTGGGGTTGGTTTGGTGCCCGTACCTGGTAGGCTGCAGAGGCTGTAAGCCCGCTTGGGGCGTTTTGCTGCCGCAGAAGGGTTGCGGGGCCGCCCGCAGTCGGATGAACCCAACCGCAGATCCTCCACTGCACAGTTGTGGGGTACGTACCTCTAGTGTAGTGGGACAGTCGCTGACTGTAAGCACTACCTAAGTCTAGGCACCAGGGGTCCACCCAAGTTTATCTCGACGACCACTGCAGACTTGCCGTTTCAACCGGGCCTCATAAGGCAGGCACGCTCACTGCAACAGTGCAAACTACAACTCCGGCTAGGAGCGGCGGCGCGCTCAGAAGAATGGAACGTGACAGTCAGGTGGGCGACAATCCTTCACCGATACCTTATTATCTCGGCTGAAAATCCTTCACGTTTTAGACCAAGCCTAGACTCTAGTTACGTCACATCGGACTTCGAAGGGGTTGCCTCTAATTAATGAGATAGGGGACCCTACCATAGGGACTTACTAGATCAGGTAGACCTACCGGACTCTGCCGACCCAGGCTACCTATCTGCCTGCCTGCTTCACCTTTACATCCTGGCCTGCTGGCCTCATCACCATCACACTCCGTTACCACCTAGGGCAAACCCAAACCAGAAGACAGAAACAACCATCTCAGAACCCTTCATCGTCTCAGTCGTCGCCACCAACGGCAAATTACTTTTTTGCTATTTACCTTCTCGATTCAGCAACAGAGTCCGCCTGTGTCGCCAACCATCCTCATCCTTGACTCACCTTCTTTGACGGCAAGCCTCGGATTCCGGCAGCCCACACCCGGCCTCAGCACACCATGACAGCTTTCCATCCTTTTCCCCGTCTCCCATGGGAAGTCCGAGCTCGGATATGGGAGCTGACCGTCGAGCCTCGAACGGTCGAGGTCAATATCGAATACGAAAACACGACAGTCACCGATGACATGACAGCCAGATACAACTTGGCTCCACATACGTCTAGCCGGATTTCTGTCCTCCGTTTGCGGTCATCCACTGCAGTGCCTGCGCCTCTGCAAGCCTGTCGAGAAGCGCGGATCCACCTCACGGAAGATGGTGGCTTGGGGTACTACAGGAAGGCCTTCCACCAACTGCCAGCTGCAACGAACTACGGGAAAGAGATGCCGCTGCAGCCCGAACTCCGGCTGGAGCTCGGCCTCGGCCTAGAGCCGCGCTACGTCTGGGTGAATTTCGAGATGGACATGATCTCCATCGGCCAGAGTCTCTTTACGCTCTTTGCACCGTATTACCAGGACATCAAGCGGCTCAAGTTTGCGCGCGAACGCGACGAAGGCTTTTACCACTTCGAATCCAAGGAGCTGCGAAACTTTGCCAATGTCCGAGAGGTCCACGTGGTCTGTCTGGACGGTTTAGACTGCTGGGATGGAGCGGAGGACACCGGTTTCCCTTGCAGCATGGAAAATGTCTTGCTGGTCGATGGGGAAACTGGCAAGACGGAGACATCCTTCGAGATTAATGCCAGATGGGACGAGATACGGGCTGTGAACTTTAGAAAGGAGGGAGGGCGCATCAACCCTGACACTGATGCGCCTTTGGTACCGTGGCTTCCACCAGGGTGGTTTGAGGGACAGGAGGAGTGGGATGATTACTACGGCAATTGGTGAGGGTTTGAGAATCCGCACTCTACTCCCAGACGGTTGGCGAGGAGTTGGGGGCAAGGGCCGACGGCTAAATTTGGATTTGGACCGGTCTTTCCTTTTCTGTACTACCTCTAGGCACCTACCCGAACTAGAGGTACCCAAAAGCTCCTTCCCCATAGACCTTAACTTTTTCACCCCCTAGTCCAAAACTACCAAGTCCGTCACCAATAGTGAAATTTTGAAGTTGGAAGAGGTTAGATATTGGACTTTGGACTTCGAATTTGAACTCACTTTCCTTTTGCCCTCCCTTTCCCTCTCTTTCCGCTCTTCGCTTTAATTGTCCCATCCTAGACCAGGACCTACTGCTCTCAAGACAGTGTATTTTTAATACCTCACTGGCCTCTAACGGTCATGCTAAATTGAACAGGTAGTTATTTTCTTAGTCACGGTTCAGAGTGTATTGCCACCATTCAACTATTTTACCGTGATATAAACACACCCTGCAAGCCCCATTAATGTATTCGATGTAAATACAAACAGTCCTTGAAAATGACCGCACGTCCGCCCGAATTGTCCAACCCCCCCCTAAGTACATTTGGCAAGATCGGCCTGCACCTGCTTGTACGTATTGACAACCTCACCATGATCATAGGCCTTTTTCTCGTCGCTAATTTTAGAGTTCTTTGCGTTTGTACCGTACATCCTGTCGTAATAATCCGATATCTGCTTGGAGAGAGTAGGGTTACCGCTGGCTCGGAGTTTCGTCTCCTCCCAATCCACTGAATACCAGTGCTCAGGTGGAACTTTCGTACTGAGCGGATCAACGCCCAAGTCTCTCTTTACCACGTTGCTGGCTCCCAGCTCCTTTTCCGCCGCCGGCACGGCAAACTTGCCATGGTCTCCCGCACGGGCAGTAAGGATTTTCTCCGTGATGGCGTCAAAGTCGTCGAATCGGTTCTTATTCGCGGCGGTCTTCTTCGACTGCGCGGTCTTGGTGACTGCATCTCCGAGCTTCTTGATGTAGTCGTTGAATTCCTCGCCTGCGCCCTTGAGGGCGGTGTGGCCCGGAAAGTTAAAGACGCTGCCGTAAGCGTTCTTATACTTTGTTTTATCCGTATACCTGGAAAGGCATTGCTTGGCAGTTTCTTCGACATTCATCGTTTTACCATCGGCGTTTTTGACTTCCCAGTCGGTCTTTTTGCCGTCGGTTTTTCCGGTGCTAACGACGAGGTCACCAAACTGGCAACGTGTTTCGCCCTTTCTCTTCGGGTTGCACGCCTCCCATTCGTTGTTCTTGCACACGTGGCTGGAGTAATCCCACTTTTTGCACTTGTAGCCGACTGTCCGGTCGGCCTCGTCGTTGAGCTCATCGATCAAGTAGGCCTGATAGAGCCAGATGCGTTCGAGACAACCTGCATAGCCTCCAGCCCAGACGGCCACGATGAGGTACGAGAGCGTGAGGAAGAGAGGGACCCTCATGACTGGTGCAGTCGGTGGAGGCGGTACAGTTGTGGTCTACAAGTCTGTTAGTGTGGGACTCGGCAGCATGAAAGTCTGCAAAATGGTGCTCGGTGTCTTGGTACCTACCTTTGATCCGACTTTCTGTTCTGGTGCGAGTGAAGCAGTGATGGGCTGCACAGGACGGCTGACAGGGACAAGGCGAAAAGAATGTGTGAGTCTGAGAGGGAAGGGGGACACAGGAAGCTCATAAGACAGAACAAACGATGGATAGTAGAGGTACCTAAAAACTCGTAGACTTTGCTTGGTCTCGGAACACTGTCAAGATTTCCGGCTTCAAGTGTCAAGGACGAAAGCGTGGTTGTGTTGTATCCTACTCTCTTCAGTGTTCAGACCCTTTCTGGATAATTGTCCGCTCCATCTCCTCTTCTCTCGGTTGTATCGCCAAGGGTAAGCGGAAGCTATTGAATTGAGCCGGAGAACTAGAACTTGTCAGCGTAGTATTGTTTCTCCATTGCCTAATGTAACCACGACTGTACTTTTGTGTACAAAGTTGCGGTGCCTAGAGGTACCTTGCAGGAAGGAGGGAGACTACCATACCCTAGTCTAAATCGATGGAGGTCTGAAAGGGACTTGTGTTGGACTGTTGGTAGGATCGCGCCGACTCATGAACTGACGGCGATGCCGAGGCCACTCCGTGTCGTACTGAATTGTTGGTACACCCTTGGCCTTTGGCTATTCATGTTGCCTGACGCTCGAAGCTCGAGTCCGTGAACTTATTAGCCAGCTTCACCAGTCGAGATTGTGCTTCAGAGGTCTACTCAGATCAATCAATCCCATCACAACGGGAGTCAGGCACACCTGTACTCATCCTCTTTCACCTGCTTCCTATCTCTTTACCTCCCACTTCGTCTTCCTCTGGCGCAGAGGGCTCTCGATCTTCCTCCTGAGAGCCTGCTTACGCAGCATCCCGCCGCCATGAAGACATCACTGCTCCCCTTCCTTCCCTGTACTTTGCTAGCTGCTGGGACTTTGGCCTCCCTTTCCGACGTCGGGATCCAGAGCCGAGCTGTCGACGACAGCGTAGACGATCTCGATGAGTGGCTGACATCAACCAAGAGAGTGTCTCCAGAGGCGCTCCGGCCATGCCCTGTATCTTGCAGCGCGACGGGGAACAGTTCCTCGACGGATGGATGGTTTCTGTTCCCTGATCCCACCAAGCTGGCGCTATGCAACGAGACCATGATCCTCAACATGGTCGTGCAGACCGAAAGCGGGGATAACAAAGCTTCGCAGCCCGTCGTCAGGGCCTGCACGGCCGACTACGAGTCGAGAGTGAAGCTCGCGTTCGTGCCGGATGACGAGAAGGCGTCTCTCTGCACAACCGCCAACCGAGTGCTGGAGGAAGCTTCCGTGTACATGCACCACCCACAAGTGGGCGATGACGACGGCTTCTCGGTCAGCCACGCCGTGACTGCGGGGCGTCAGATGGTCAACCGCCTCGCACAGCAAGAGCCTTCGTGCACACGCAATGCCATGGAGTTTGGCTATTTCCAGTCGTCGGCGATTGGCATCTTTGCGGGAGCCGAGGTGCACCAGCACGGGGTCAGCTCGGTCGTCCTTCGGAAGCTGCTGGAGTACGCACAAGAAAAGGGCGTCTCCAAGACGACTGTGGTCCAACTCTGCGGAGCGGATGAACGCGGCGCCGACTACAGCATTGGCGTCGTTGCGACAAGTGCCAAGAACCTCGGTTTCGTGCAAGAGGCCGTCAAAGCATGGGCCAACGGCGGATGCGTCTCGCAGGCCGATGCAGGCGAGGACTGGATCAAAGTCACCCTTCGTGTCCCCGCCCCAGTCGACACCATCATTCCTTCCTCCTCTTCTCCCACAACAAACACAAACGGCACGCACGGATCCAGCAACTTCACCACTGGTGCAAGATCCCGCCTTGCCATCAGGGCCGACTGCACCACCACCACCGTCCAGTCCGGCGATGGCTGCTGGGCCGTGGCCAACAGGTGCGGGATAACCCAAGCCAATCTGGAAAAGTACAACCGAGCCAACCTCTGCACCACTCTAGTCAAGGATGAAAAGGTGTGCTGCAGCAGCGGCACTCTACCCAGCACTCTGCCCGCCGGGAACTCGGACGGCACGTGCAAAACAAGATCGGTCATCAGCGGCGATGACTGCGGCTCGCTCGCTTCCAAGTGCGGCATCAGCGCGGCCGACTTCATGAAGGTCAACACCAAGACCAATCTCTGCGCGACCCTGGCGGTGGGCCAACAGGTCTGCTGCACCAATGGCAAGATGCCCGACCTGAAGCCCAAACCCGATGCCAACGGGAACTGCGCCACCTACACCACCCAGAAGGATGACAGTTGCTCCGTCATCGCCGCTGCCCGCGACCTGAACGTGACAGACCTCGAGACCTTCAACAAGAACACCTGGGGCTGGAACGGCTGCAAGTTACTCTTTCCCGACTTCAAGATGTGTGTGAGCACGGGAAGCCCGCCCATGCCTGCCCCAGTTGCCAATGCTGTTTGCGGGCCAACGGTAAGAATCGCCCTGCCTGATCTCATCCTTGAACCTGCCCTTGAGAGTTGAGGACCATACCTCCCGTCTAGATGAACCTGGCTAACGCGACGACTGCTTTTGTTTCCAATAGGTACCTGGCACAGCCCAGCCATCGGCAGGAACCAACCTGACTACGCTCAATCCATGTCCCCTGAATGTGTGCTGCAACATCTGGGGACAATGCGGCATGACGGACGACTTTTGCGTCGTCTCCAAGTCGGAAACAGGTGCTCCTGGAACTTCGGCTCCCGGGAAAAACGGATGTATCAGCAACTGCGGCAGGGATATCATCAGAGGATCCGCCCCGGCGAGCAAGATCAAAGTCGCCTACTACGAATCCTGGAATTTTGGCCGCGAGTGCTTGAACATGATGGTGGACCAGATCGATACAAGCGCATACACCCACATCCACTTTGCCTTTGCAACCATCACCAGTGACTTCAAGGTCGACATCGGTGACGACAAGGCCAAGGAGCAATTTGAAATCTTCAAGAAGATGTCTGGCATCAAGAAAATCATCTCTTTTGGTGGCTGGGACTTCAGTGCCTTGCCCGGAACCTTTTCGATTCTTCGCAACGCTGTCCTGCCTGCGAACCGCGAGACCTTCAAGAACAACATCGTTGCCTTTGTCCAAGAGCACGGGCTCGATGGAGTCGATCTCGATTGGGAGTATCCTGGTGTAAGTACCCCGACCACCCCTTCTTTGGTCCCCATCGCTTTCCGTCTACCTACAAGGTACCTACAAGGTAGAGGTACCTAGGCACTTGCCCGAGTTGTTAGGACCTAGGACTCACATAGACTTTCTTTTTCTCTTTTAGGCGCCCGATATTCCAGATATTCCTAGCGATGACCCTCAAAACGGTTTGAACTACTACAGGCTTCTTTCCAGCCTCAAATCAACTCTCGGTTCTTCAAAGACGGTCTCGTTCGCGGCCCCGGCATCCTTCTGGTATCTCAAGGCGTTTCCCGTCAAAAACATGGCCAAGGACCTCGACTACATCATCTATATGACGTACGACTTGCACGGCCAGTGGGACTATGGTAACAAATGGACTTCCCCCGGATGCGAGACTGGCAACTGTCTGAGATCCCACGTCAACGAGACTGAGACCAAGGATGCTCTATCCATGATCACCAAAGCCGGCGCGCCATCCAACAAAGTTGTCGTCGGTGTGGCCAGCTATGGTCGGTCGTTCAAGATGGCCCAGGCCGGCTGTGATTCCGAGTCGTGCCTATTCACAGGCTCCCCTCGCGATTCCAACGCTGCCAAGGGACGTTGCACGGCCACTGGGGGCTATATCTCCAACGCCGAGATTAATGAGATTATTGCCACGGGCAATGTCAACAGGCAGTGGAAAAAGGAAGGATCCAACATGATGGTTTACAACGACACCGAGTGGGTTGCATGGATGGACGATGACACAAAGGCGGCTCGGGCCGCGTTTTACGACTCATACAACTTTGCCGGCACCACCGACTGGGCCGTAGACCTGCAAGAATTTGTCGAGTAAGTCTTTTCCCTCTACTCTCTGTCTCCTCGGCTTTGCCTCGTCATCTTCCTTTATTCCCAAGCACCTCTGTTGACAACTTGCAGTGATAGCAGTATCGTGGATGACGTTCAGGAGGCGTACATTGACCCAAATTACTGGTCTCGCTGCACCGGCACATACACCACCCTAGACCAACTCGAAAGCCACAAGGACTCGATCCCTCACCACTGCATGGACAAATATATCGTTGATGTCCAAGTTGCGGTCATGGAGGGAGCGCTGAACAAGTACAAGGACCTAATCGACAAGGGCTACGACAAGAAGTTTTCCATCTATGAGAACTATGTCAAGGCTCAGATCCCGGACCAGATCAACAACTTTATGGCCAGCGAAAAGGTGGACAAGTACTTCAAGTGCAAGGAGTACAAGTACGTGACATGCTGCGGGTCATGCAGATACGCCTGCGTCTGCGAAAATGGCTGCACAAAGAGCGGTTATCAGCTCCGTGACATGGACAAGTGTCCCAAGTTCGAGACTACTGTCGTTGGTTTTGGAGGCACTGAGATCCCCAACGCCACCTTCACTCTCACCGACTCCAAGGGCTTCTACGAAGACATAAGCAAAACGTGGGGCATTGAAGAGTCGTGGATTACCTTCGACAGGCGCCACATGCGGACCAACAACGGGTGCCAGTACGCCGGGGAGAAGGTGCTTGAGTGCATCGACAAGAATGACGATTGGTGGTACAATTACCCTCAACCCTCGGACAAGGTCGAGATCTACAACCCCAAGAACGTGGTTGGCGACTCATACCCCAAAGCCAAGGACATGCTGAACCGGTTCAAGGTCGTGAAAGAGTTTAGCTACTACGACGAGTTATTCCAGGTCTCGGACGTGGTCGACGCCACGTCGCTGCCTGCCTTCACGACCGCCGAGGGCGTGGAGAGCATGGGCAAGATTGTCGAAAAGGCGGACGAGATCAAGAAAAAGGAGCGCGAGTCCTTCATCCTCAATTTCCTCATGGGCCTGCTCTTCTGGATCCCGGTGGTGGGCGAGCTCGTCGGTCCCGAGCTGGCGGCCATCGGTAACGTGCTTCGCTTAATCGGCGCGGTGGGAGACGCGGCCATGACTATCTATGACGTTGTTCAGAATCCGAAGAATGCGTTCGGGGCTATCTTCGGTCTCCTGGCGGGCGCCGGGGTCGGGCGTAAGGGTTTCAAGGACGCGGCCGGAAAGAGGCGTGACCTGACAGGCACCAAGGAGTTCAACGCGCTGGGAAATGTAAAGACGCAGCTGGATAGGATTGAGGTCATTCGAAGTGTGTGCCGGCGTTAAAAGTGGTCTGGGTATGTATGTACGATATTATCAGCCAAGGATACCTCTACCTTCACTCTTTGGTTAGGTACCTACCGCTTTTTTTCATTCAACCGGGTTTTATCCTTCCCTCTTACAGTCTAGTGCAATCGGGGAGAGCTAGGCCTACTATAGTCTAGGACACTTGCGCTGTTTTGTGTGTGTGTGTGTGTGTGTATATTTTACGTCTACTTCCGCCTCCCTAAGGGCATGAGACGTGCCACAGCGGTAGAATCTAACGTACATGTCCTCCGTAAGCGCTAAAACCTGCCAAGGACCTGCTAGAATCCATCAATCCGAGGGCAAATCACGACGTACTGTCGTTCTGTCGAGTGCTGCCCATTGCGTCAAACGCGGGCCAACACGAAGCAACTAAATACAGAGGCTCATTAGAGCTTAACTATCCGGTTGAAAGCCAAAAACAAAACCAACTCAAAACTAGCAAAACCAAACAAAACCAAACAAACAAAGGAAACTAATTTTGCAGAGCCAAGTTCCTGCGCCTCATACGACGGACGTAGTAATCCAAATCCGCTGTCACCATCTGGATCTCGTGATCCGGCCCGATTTCAAGACCTTCCTGTCGTAGAAAGGGAGTCAAATTGTCAGCTGTGCCGCCATTGCTAACGTGCTTCTGCCAGAGTGTCTGATGCCATGCCTTCCTTGGGCACGTCCAAGTGAAGAAGTGTGAGGGGTGTATTCTAGCCATATACAATCGCCAGGATATCCCCAAAGCCCAATCGATGGATTTCTGATCGTCTATATAGCAAGGCATCACTGCGTATGCCTTTCTGCACACCTGCGCTGTTGTGCCATCCGCCTGAGCCGCTGCGAGTACTTGCATGCCAGTTTGCCATTCGAGCTTTGAGTGGTTCGCTAAGTTCTCCCGGCCACGATAGGCGCCCCAGTTCTGAGGTGACTCCCAGATATGCTAGGCTGTAAGAGGGAAGGATAAAACCCGGTTGAGTGAAAAAAAGCGGTATATTATTATTGGTCTTATACACGCACACTATTTACTGATTTGGGGCATTGTGTCATGACGGGATCAGAAGCATATAGTCCGTGTCTGGACAGGGGGATCTGATCTAGTGGGTAAGGTATCTGCTATGGAGAAAGTAGATAAGAGAGGCGAGTCCTCCATGGGGAGTCAGAGAGTTCAGAGGGGCAGTTCCAAGCAGTCAGACACTCAGCCACCCAGACAGACAGCCAGACAGACAAGACACACACACATTTCTGCTCCATTCTTTATTCATTCATTCTACTTGAGTCTAGTTGATCTCTTCCTCGCCAGTGGGCGAAGCCCACTGGGCTGTTCGACCTATCTGGTGCTCACCTTTGGTTTGGAGTTTGAAGCTCTTCTCATCCGGTGGTGCCTAATCATGACCAGATCTGCTCTCCTCTATAGAGTGTTGTAGTGGGTGGGTTGGTTTGTGTTGTGGTTTTGCCCCATTTCAGCAGTCTCTCCTGGGACCTTAAAACTTCATCCTGTTCTCCGAAGACATGGGTGAGAGCGTTCGGCGAACTCTTTGACGGAGTGTAGGATCTTTTTTGTGAAATCCTGGGCTTCATCGCCGTTGAGGTAGTGGTCCTGGAGGATCGGCTCGTACCAGATGAGGGCTTGGTCGGTGAGTCTAGTGCCGAGGAAGATGACTTTCTTATAATCGGTGGGAAAGTTGGCTTCGTAGTGGTCCAGGTAGGTTCTGATTTGGAGCAAGAACCCAGCCAACTTGGTCTGCTGCCCACCAAACTTGTCTGGTGCGTCAAGTTTGACTTTGCTCTTGACGATGGCGGAATCATCAGGCGCTAACTCCTTGAGCCTGGCTTGAAGCTGGGCGATTTCCTCCTCCTTGGAGAGCTTCGTAGCAGTGGTGGATGGCTCAGCGGCTGCGGACATGGCGAATGGTCTGGGGTACCTCTAGTACTATCCGAGATAGGCTAAAGGGAGTAGACAACGTGTAACGAACGGCAGGTCTGATCTGCCTAAGTGGGATAGCTGAAGGTAGGAACGATATCAGATGCTGTTCGGTGTAGTGACGACGAGCAAAACTACAACACCACAACACACACAACACACCCAGACAAGCTGCAGTCAAGTCTAGATGGTCATGAGAGTGTAAATGCCATAGCAAGCCCGTCGACAGGAAGACTTCTCATCCGGTGGTGCCTAATCATGACCAGATCTGCTCCCTTCTACAGAATGTTGTAGTGGGTGAGTTGGTTTATGTTGTGGTTTTGCCCCATTTCATTACACCGAACAGCATCTGATATTAACCCTACCTTCAGCTAACCCACTTAGGCAGATCAGACCTGCCGTTCGTTACACAGGTGGAAGCATCGTCTTCCATCGACCCTTCTATCTGCCACACCGGTCCTACATTTCCACTCATAAGTCATTAAGTAAAGAGTAATAATCACATACGGCCATAGATAGTGGAAAACTCGGGATCCCGTCCGCTCTCCCATAGATAAGCCACTAATCGCCTGACTAGTAGTTGGGTCGGTGACGACCAGCGAATCCCAGGTGCTGTATGTTTTTTTTTCCGTTTACCACGCTTCACATACATGTACGGTGTCTCTTTGGTGTTATTACTTTTTGATGTTTGACTTTTTTTTGGAGCGTTTGAACATGGACTTGGTCATCAAAAGGGAGGAGGGACGTCGATGGCACCTTAGGCACGATACCAATCTTCCTTTTCTATCAGTTCCATTCGTAACAGCATCAAAAGAAAAAGGAGTCAAAGGAAAGTGGTACCTTCATTCCTCTTCATAAAAGAATCAAATCCCCTCAAAAGGCTTCAAACTTTTAGTTTCCAGTCTCCTTATAAACAAACAAGGCGTATAACAAAAGAACATAAACGAAATAGCAAAGACATTACTCATGAAGTTACACGCTAGCGAAGTTCCCCCGCGAAAACCGTGGTACTGGGCTATCAGTAAGTATCTTGTGGCTTGACAAATTTCTTGCTCTAACCCCATCCCAAAGATGAAGGGCCTCCTCCTGCTCCTCCCATCTGCTGCTGTGAACCAATGCTTCCACTCCTTGCAGAGCTGCCAATGTTAGACTGCGGCGCCTGTTGATACCATCCCTGGTATGTTTGAGTTTGACTAGGCGGGCTAGGTCGGTTTTGGTGCGTCTGATGCGTCTGATGCCGGCTGCTAGAGGGAGGGATACCGACAGTTGATGGAGCCGCCGTCAAGTTGGGTATAGTCGGGGAGTTGGAGTAGGAAGTTGCTGCCGCCGTGGAAGAAGTCCTGGTTGTTGGCGGTTGTTGTTGTTGTTGTTGTTGTTGTTGTTGTTGTTGTTGTTGTTGTTGTTGTTGGCTCTGCTGTTGACTCTGCACCGAAGCAACACCACCGAAAAGCTGTGATATCGAAGGCGGTCTCGAAGGCAAAGGGAGTGGTAACTCCATTGTTGTCTGCCCAGTTGCCGATGTCATACCACCAAGAAGAGCCGAAGCAAAGCCTCCCCCTCCTCCTCCATTATTGTTCCCGTTGGCATTGGCACTTGTGCTACCGTTCGACCCCCCCTCGACAACCTCAACCCCCCAAGCCCTCTTCATATCATTCACCATACTACCCAACCTCCACCCCGTCTCGCTGCTGATCCTCTCCAAGATAGCCAACGCCTCCGTCTGCTCAGCGCGATCGGATAGCACGCCGCCCGCAGTCGCAGCGCAGCGAGTCACTATGGACGCCACGGCGCGATCCTTGTTATGCGCTGCGATCCCGCACACCTGCCGAGCGTGATGTTGCTGCAGCTCGCGGTTGGCGTCGCTGTCGCGCGGACTGACGGGGTTGACTTGGGCGAGGATGCACATAGCTACGTGGTAGAAGAGGCGGGCGATGAGGGCGGGGCGTTTGGTGAGCCTTTACTCACACAACAACAACAACAAGGCTTGTTAGTGTTCATTCTGTCTGTTTTGTATGGGGAGTAGGAAGAAACTCGAGATGGAAATGAGGAGGCTTACCAGACATTAGGAAACAACGACCCACTCGACGATGAGTGAGCGTATCCATACGGCCGCATCGAGCGCGGACAATTACTTTTCCAGGCGTCGCACATATCATTGAGGCTCTTCCACTCTGTGAATCGTCTCTGGAGACGCATCTGTTTGTCGTGAGGCGAGGTCTCCTGGTAGCGCGACACGCTGTTGCTGTTTGCAGAGCAAAAGTTGACGACTTTGGCGAGGACGTAGAGGATGCGTTGCGCCCAGAGCTCTTCCTCTCCGCTGCCGTTGCCGTTGCCGTTGCCGTTGCCGTTGCCGTTGCCGTTGCCGGTGCCGGTGCTGTATCCCGCAACAGCTCCCGCTCCCGCCCCGAAGCGACGAAGCCCGAATGACGACTGGTCATCATTCCCATTGACCGTCGTCAGATTGCTGCTGCTGCTGTCCACACCACCTCCCGTGGCCGCCGTAGCCGTACTATTTGCAGCAGTTGTCGTCGTCCATCGATCAACATTCACATCCAGCCCCCACTGATCTGGATCCCAAACAGTCGGGGTCTGCTGCCACGAGTTCATCATCATCAGCGCCCCGGGCAAACAACTGAGCACCTCCATGCACCCGTTGAACCAGAAACAAGCTTCCCCCACACCACCCACAGTCCCCAGCGCGGAAGCGGAGTTTGAGTTCGCGTTCCACCCGCATTCATTTACCAGCGCCCTGGCGCAGCCGGCGATGTGGTAATCTACTGCTACCCGCTGCGATCTCGATAACGGGAACGGGGACGGGTGGTGGGACGGGTTCCCGGCGCTGTTCATCATGTCGTACGCGTTGAGCACAGTAGCCGTGGTGGCACACTCGGCTGCATTGCGGTCCGATGGTGGGCTCTGCTCGAGGTTGCGCCAGAGTTCCATCGTTGCGAGATCGTAGTATGAACAGGCTTTGTTGACATTGCTGTTACCGGAAAGCTGGGAAGAAGATTGCCGTGGTTGTTGTTGTTGTTGTTGTTGTTGTGTTAGGGAGAGGTGCATGGTGCCACAGGCTAGGAGAGCATTGAGAAGCATGGGCGATTTGAGGGCTAGGTCGGGCATCATGTTGGCGAAATGCTTGTCTTTGTTGAGGATGTCCATCCAGGGGGCAACTTCGCTGACGAACACTTGCATGAGATGGATTTCGGTATCAGTGCTGAGGTAGTCCCGCTCGACAGTCGGTTTCTTTGACGGGGTAGTCCGCGTTGTCGAGCTTATTCCTATGGCTTCCGACGCGTGCTGGGTTTGACTGGCTTGCAGCCCGTAGGTTGCCAAAGGGACGGTGTGCTGTGCAGAGTGACTTCGATGGCCATGATGAGGAAAAGAAGGCACCGTACTCGATACCTCGCTCCTCCTGTACCCATGGGCTTGCGAAGCCCAGCCATCCTTTGCTGTGTATTGCTGTAAAGCTTCTGTCAGTAAAAGTCCACTCTGGATGATGGTGCTGACAATAAATTGTGCTTACCTGTGAGATCTTGACGCGCATCGTGAAGGGATTGTCACTGCCATTCCGCAGTTGCAGATCTTGAGGCTGGAATAACTGACTTCCATCATAAGTCGGCTGGTCAGGGGAGAGTTTTATTATCAAGCCAGCACCACTGCCACTGTCGACTACATCCTGCTGCTCACCGAGGCCCGGAGCGACGTCGTTGTCCGTCGAGCGGTAGGTCTTGCCGGCACCGGCATCCTGTTTCTGGGCGACGACACGGAGCGTGGCATTCAGTTCTGTCTCATGAGGCGGCGTGACGACGGTGTTCTGATCCAACCGGGGATAGCGTCCCAATCCGCCTTGATACTCCGACGCAATCAGCCGCGACTCGTCTTGAAATTGTACTGTAGTAACCCTTGTGTCAGCATCTTCCATGCAGTTATGCAGCCTTCCGGCACCGGCACCGGATGTTTGGGTTTTGGGAACGGAACGACATACCTGACCACTCCAACGTGGGCGGCACAAATGGCGGACTTTTGACTCGGGTGTCGATGAAGTTCAGGCGTAGACCCCGTTTGCATTCACGACAACTCTTTCGGCAGTTGTTGCATTCCGGGAAGGCTTCATCGCACTTGAGGTGGCGGCCACGGCAGGTTAGACACCCAGTGCGGACCCGGCGAGACTTGTTGTTGTTAGCGTTGACATTGCTGCTCGTGCTGCTGCTTTGCGGTGTTGCGTTGGACTTCTTCACCGTGATATCGTCATTCTTCTCACGGTAACTGGACTTGGGAGCTCCTGGGTCCGTTTCAGCAGATGGCCCTAGTTCTGCATCATGAGCTTGGCCATGCTGTTGACCTGTAGCCCAGCCTGCAGCCGAAGATGCTAGGACGCCTGATATCCTTACCCGTTTCGCTGGCGACACCTCGTAAGGGCCGCCGCTAGTCGGATACGAGTCGGTGACGGCAGGATAGGACTGTGAGTGATCTTCGAATGCAGCGAAGTGGGCTGATGATGGCGGCGGTAAGGCACGATGCCGTTCAACATTCCAGTGATTAGTGTGTATTTTTGGGTGTTGGACGCCTGGATTCATTTTCTTCTGAACCCAGACCCCGGGCCACTGACGTCCGCAAGGATGTTGAACGCAGCAGGGGCCGCGAAGGCAACGCCACGAAGCGTGTCTCGGTGTCGAGAAAGGTGACGGATCTGTTCTAGAAACACGGCAACCGTCATCAAGAAAACAGCTCAGAACTTGCCAAAAGTCGGGCCGCGGCGTCTCCCGATCGAGATCCGTGGAAAGAGAATAACAGGCAGGCAGCCGAACGCTCGCCAATACATGTAATCTGGGGAGAAGGGAGAGGTAAAGTAAAGTGGATGCCTCGGAAGTGATGCTGTGTTTTGGGTCGATACAGCAACTCCGTTCGAGGCGTTCGGAATTCTCTTAGGGGAAGGCCCAATAGAAGAGGTAAGAATTGTCGAGACACACAAGACAGAACGCTCTGAAGGGACATGGATATTCCAATGTGAGCAAGGGCCTTGATGAAGGGCGCCTATGTGGAAGCAGTGATACTGGCTGGGGGCACAACTAGGTTGACTCTGTAACTCTTGACGACTATCCAGATGGTACAAGGGGGAACCAAATGCCCATTTGCTCCAATGCAAGCCAAGGTGATAGTATGCATGTCTTGGAAAGTGGTGTTATGTGTATGTGCTGGGCTGGTTACAGGCAGGAGTACAACAGGAGCCTTTGCAAGGATGGCTGGGGCAATAGAGGCTTCATGACTGCCCTGCTTGGACCGAAGGAACGCCATGACGAGAGCTAGTTGGCCAGCCAGATCTGTGGGATCGCGGTATGGCTTTTTTTCTTCCGATTTCAGCTTGTCGTCGTCAAGATTTCGCATCGATAGAACGTGACTTACCGACAGATGGGGCGTCGTAGGGACCGACGGAGTCCTGTCCGGCTGGCCTATCACCACTTTCGAATTGCACAATAGTTTCCTGTTTGGGGAGCCGGCTATGAGAAGGGGCAGATCGGGATCTGGAACGCCAGCTACCCGGACCGGGTTAGGTAACCCTGTGTCAGAGAAGTGCATCGGCTTGAGTTGCCGAGCATGGAATTGGGATGGCGCCAAGAGCATGATCTCCTGCAAACCTACACCGCGTCACGGGCTCACTTGCCAAGCCTGAGGAATTCTGGAACCATATACGGAGCATGACAGTGTTGTTGTCAAGTGAAACCTCCTCCCCTGACATCACAACGTCTATTACACAGAGTAAAATGGGGTCATTTATGTTGAGCTCGATTGATGCTGCTTCCCGTCTTTGCTTGACGACTGGGATGGCAGGAGTGAGGCCGCCACTTTTGCTGCTCAAGTGCTCCCAAGATACTTAATTCCACGTTGCCGCGGCCGCATCGAACGTCTAGAAGACATCCCAGAGACTGACCTTTCCGTCCTTGCTTCCGGCAGCCAGCCAATGTGCCGTCGTTGCCTGTCTGAGACGCTTGTCCCTGACTGTCAATTCGACAAGCTTCGGTACGACGGTGAGGCTCTTGTCCATATGGCCCAGGGAATCGGACCCAGTCGGTTCGGTCCCAGTGGTCGATGCGGTTGCTTTGGGATTCTGGTCGTTAATCGAAGGAGCACTAGTCTTTGGTGCAATATCGGCGAAAGCGACAGCGTAGCATCCTACTTGGTGCCATTTGAGGACGGCAACCTCTTTGAGCGTCTTTGTGGAATAGACGCGAACCTTGCTATCCCAGCCAGCAGTGGCAAAGACCAGGCCATCAGAGCGGATTTGGATGCTTTGCTGTCCTGCATGTTTTGTGTTGACAGTCTTCAGGGGTTGGGTTTGTGCTTCTTGGGGCTTGTGTGGTGGTTTCTGTTGCGATTGCTTTGCCTTGGCCAAGGCCGCACCAAGCAGAGACTTTCCAACGGCTTTGTCGTTGACAGGTCTGTTGCTCTCTTCACTCTCAGACACTTGAGTGGCTGTGACGTGTGTCGATGTTGTATCCTGCGAGACCACAGGAGGCAAGGGGTGCTTAGCAATGACCGCATCTGCGCTTGACGTGAGGAAGAAATCCAGGGCAGGAGAAATGGACAAGGACAGAATGGGTTGAGAGTGACAGGTTGCTTGGTATAGGGGTATCCAGTCATTCTTGATGGGATCACGATGGGCCACTATGGCAAGGCCATTTTCATACCCAGCCACCAGGGTTAGAGAGTTTGCCTGGTTGAACAGTGCCACGGCCATGACCATGCCATTCTTATCGCCCAACTTAACAGTATGGCGGCGCGTCTGGGAAGGGAGATGAAAAATGTCAATCTGCAGGAGTCAGTGAGCTTTTGGAGTAGAGAAGGGGCTTCTTCATCGGACGTAATTACCGCTTCGGACGCCAGCGTGTTGGGAACTGCGATGAGTAGCTCTGACCCGGACTTTGACTCTTCTGCTGTGTCTTGACTTTGGCCTTCCTGCTGACCTGGTAGCACAGGAACCGGAACAGGACAATATGAGAAAGAGCAGAAGTTCATGGTGTTGACCTCCAGGAGGTGCAATATCCATGGCTTTGGCCGCGGCTCTGTGCATGGGTCGAGTGGAAGCGTGGTACTCATCCGGGCCTCATCATCACCGGTGAGCTTCCAGACAATGAGCTTGTTGTCCCTACCATGTGTTATGACCCGGTCGTTACCCCATCCGGCAATTCCTAGGATAGCGTTTTCATGAGCTTGCCATACCGCGCGAGGCCTCATGATGGTGAGGTCCCAGGCGATGATGAATCCATCGGCATCACCAGTGACGAGGCGCTCATTGTTGCGGATGAAGGTGGCGGCATGCACCTGCGCCTTGTGACCCCGAAGGATTGACTTGGGTGTTGGAGGCCGGCCCTCGACCGCCATTTCAACAAAAGTCTGCAAAGGTCGTGATACTCTGATGCTGCAAGTTGGCGAGACGCCGGGGGTTTGAGGTTTGAGGTTGGTAATGCAAACGCGAAGATGAGGTGCGAATCGCAGACAGCAGCATCAATCTGGTTGACGTAATTGTTAAGACCTTTAACTGCTACCACTGGCTGCGCTATAAATATGTGCCAAGACCACAACTTTTGCCTTGACGGTAGCTAAGTTAGTGGAGACACCCGTGCAGATTCTGCAACGGCGATAAAGCTAGTAACATGGTCAACCACAGTAGAGGATGCCTCTGGATCAAGAGCCAAAGGGACAAGATGCTTCGGACAACGACACAAAGGATTGACGAGATCAAGGCCGGATATGTATTGTATCATATTTTCCAAAACCCTCCACCAACCCCCCTCACAAATGCGCCCGATTCTCCAACGTTCTCCTCCTCTTACTCTCCTTCAAATCCGCCGTCAAAGTCTTTTCCTCCTCCCTACTCAACCTCGTCGGCGCCCCTCCCTTGCCCTTCCCTTTACCCTTTCCTTTACCCTTCTTCCCACCATCTGTACCCGCAATCGCCTCCTCAAACAGCTTCTGGCCCAAATCGTCCGTCAACCTGACCACCCTGGTACTCACCGTAGCTCCATCCCGTCTGTTCTTGCCTTCTCGCCTGCTTGACGCGATCTTCTCGGTGAAATCCCACAGACGCCCGGACGCGATGAGCACGCCCGAGATGTCGTCTCTGGCGGGCCGCCATTCGGGCGCGAGACGCATGCGCGGAGGGACCTTGGGGTCTTTGGACTTGACGACTTGAATGATGCCCTCTTCTTCGAAGCGCTGGTACGAGTTCTTGAGCGTTTCTTTGTTGACGGCTTCAAAGTAGGAGAGGTCGCCTTGGTGGTAGAGGGTTTTGCCGAGCTGAACAAGTAATCGTTAGTCCATGTTGGAACAATGATTGCGTAACTCGGTAAAAAGAGACTGATGGTGTAACTCACAAGCTGTGCACTTTCCTGTGCCTTGGAAAACTGAATCCAAATATCATCCTTCTGTCCCAATGGAGGCGTCAACCCCATAATCGACACCGAAGCAAGCCAGCTTGCCTCGATGAATGGCCAGATGAGGAAGCAGTAGAAATCGTAGTTCTCTCTGCCCGCCGCGCGCTCTGCATCCGACAGCCCGACCTTGGTGATGGCACCTGTGAGCTCATCCCTCTCTAGGAAGACGACATTATCTGCCTCTAGTCCCATGAGAGTTTTCTCCAAGTTGACCGCCAGACCCTCGCCCGAGTAAATGAATTCGCCGCGGAAGAGCGACGACAGGAACAAAACTTGGTCATGCAAGTCCTGGTACGGAATATCTTGGATCGCCGGCCCACCACCACGCTTGACGCGCGTATAGAGAGCCGCAGCAACCAGCGCCTCGGAAATGAACAGGTGGATGGTCATGTTTCGGTAGAAGGACAGCTGGAACCGGTCAACGGCATAGTAAGTGGGCTCCGCCAGGCCCTCGACAACGCCAACTAGGTCCTTTCCGAGGACCTCTAGACCACGCTCAATCACGTCTGAGACGGGCGTGTTTCCGAAATGGGCGACACGTCCACCCTTGGCTCGGACGCGGGCCGTCAACCACTCGACACGGCGAATCAATTCAGCACGGCCAACACCACGGCCGCGAAGGGTGAGTAGAACGGTACCGATCAGGGCTGTAGGCATCACCACCGAGACATGGTTGATATCTGCCAAAACCTTGTACCCAAGCGTGCGAAGAAGCTTCTGCCGCACAATCGAGTTCTTCATGTCCTTCCAGTTGATGCTAGACGGTATCTTGGACAGCCTGGTAACCTGTTCGTCAATGAAACCCCGTAGGCTCCACGGCTCATGGAAACGGACGTCAACCCTGCCCAGGCGCAGTGACAACACACTTGATCCGCCACTGAGGAAGTCTGCCAGGTTCTCCTTCTTCTTGGGTACGCCAAGCAGCTCGGTCACGTAACCCTCTGTTTCCACCACCTTGTCGTACTGGTATGATACGGGGCAGATGACGGCGTCTTGGACACGGCCGGACAGGATACTGTCGAGAATGAATCTGAGAATGCCGAACTTGGGCGGGAGCAGTTTGCCCGTACGTGAGCGGCCACCTTCGATGAAGCATTCGAAGTTGTAGCCGCCCTGGAGGAGGACGTCGATGTAGGCTTGGACGAGAGTGGTGTACAGTTGGTCGTCGCCAAAGGAGCGGCGGATGTACATGGCACCTGTCGAGCGGTTAGGATCAGCCATCCACCCTGGGAACGAGTGACGTACCGGCATGCTGCAAGAAATTTCCTACCAGCGGAAAGTTCAGGTTATCGCCAGCGACAACGACTGGCATAGCCAAGCCCAGTCTATAGCAAAGCAACTGGGACGCAACATAATCGACATGCGATCGATGGCACGGCAAGAAGATGATGCTCTGTCCCTTCTTTTCCGCTTCCCGGGCCACATTTCGCAACCTCAGCACCTCCTCGCTAGAGACGTGGATGCCTTGGTGGTAGGCCCTTAACAGCATCTGGGTGACCATGTAGTAAGCACCTCTGATGAAAGTTTTGCTCTCCATCTTGCACACCATGTTGTCCGTAAGCTGCTCGGCGACCTCTTGGAGACTCTGAACGAGTACAGAGCGGCGCTGGTTGCGCTTGGTTTCGAAGTTCCTGTCGTTCTTGTTGAGTAGTCCCTGCTTTTCCTCGATTGACAGGCGCATGTCAGCTAGTTGTGCGATCTTGGTCTGCAATAGCGTGGCCGACATGACTTGCGACTTGATGTGCTCGGTATAGCCTGGGTAGAAGACGGGTTGGCCGATGACATCGTCGTAGGCGCGCCAGCCTGTACCGGAGACGTAGAGGGAGACTTCGCGGAGGAATCTGGACAGCTGTGTTAGTGCTGGGACTTTCTTAATCAGAGTGCCGTGTAACAAGCACATCAAGACGAGGCGTCAAACGTACTGTAGCGGCTCCGAGCGAAAGCGCGCCATGTTCTTCATCAGAGCCTCCTCCTTCTCATCACCTACGGTACCCTTGGAGGGCGCCACAAAGCCGCTGGGCTGGAAAGTGATACGGTCACCCAAAATGCGCAGATCGGGCGCCGAGTCCTCGACTTGCGCCGGGTTGTTGTCGCGTCCATCTTGTTCGTCGGTCATTATGTTTGGGTCCCTTTGCTGACTGCTATCCCAGTCCTCTTTCCAGTTGGACTTGTCTGGTTCAAGTCCCCAATGCTATTACTCCCACCAAGTTGACCAGTTCTGTGTTGCTGTCGTGCGTTGCTGGCCGCGCGTGAGGTGATGTGCACGTCTCGATGCAAGTGGTTGTTGTCGGCAGGACTTGGGAGTTATAACTTGAAAGAGAGCAAGCAAGTGGTGTACCTAGACTCCTAGTGGGCAGTAGCCGGATATAATCATCCACGAATAATCCACACGTATCGGTGTTGGAACATGAGAGTCTTCAACCACTTGCCACTGCAACCATCATCACGAGCAGAGAGAAGTCAAGCGAGAGATGATTTCCTCGGTTCATGTAGAGTTAGTTATGTATGCATCCAGACCCAAGTCCAAGAGTGCCAATGTGCCAATGGAGGAACGGTAACATCGGGAATGCTAGTGTAATCCGGTGTACAAGTAATCTTGCCTGCCGCCACTGGAAAGCGTCATGTCAGATTCAAGGGTGGTTTTAGCTATACCATATGGAGGTTAGCGCTCCAGCCACCTGATATTGCCTGATTTCTGGGTATATCTGGGTTACCCTAGCACCCCTTATACCTTCTAGGCGAATCAGTCACATACTCTTCAATTAATTAATTCTACATTGTTATATCTAACAATTAACAGTCTGATTTGTATATTCACATTTAATGCTACAATTATCAATTATAAGCAATATTCCTACAAAACTAATAACGTTAGCTATATCCTTATTAAAAGAATTTACCGATAAGGTTATTATAATTATTTTTAATACCCCTACCGATTGGCCTAGCTAGTATGAAGCTCTTAAGAGACTCGTTAGTAGTAATTAGGACTTTGGTAATTAGCTATTTAAGGGAGAACCTATAATTTAAAGGGTTCTACCTTCAAAGTTAGAAGATTTTTTCTTTATTAAGTAAGTAAAGGACCGTTTTTTACCAGTAAAGAAGGAGCTCGTCAAATTTAATAGAGGAATCTAGGTTAAAAAGCCATAATTATAATTATAATGATTATTATTACTACGGCTACCAATACGAACGGTACTATTACCGAAACTACTACTACTATTTAACTCTATAAAGAAGCTGCCGCCAGTACTAATAAAGATAATAAAGAAGGAAGTTTGGAAGAAGAAGATGAAGAAGAGGAAGAGGAGGATAATAAATACTATACTGAACAAAATATTAAGTAGAATATAATTATTAACCCCTGTACTAATTTAATAATTGCCGGGAAAGTAGTGTACAATTAGGTTAATAACATATATAATATTTGCTATAAATATTAGAAAGATTTCGACGACGCTAATACCCGAATTCATAATTAGATAAGTATTTATATCGCTACTTTTTATACTAATACTTTATTTGAATAGGATGAATCTACCCGCAATTAATTTAGAGAGATTAAAAATTAGATTAATTATTAACTTATCGATTAAATTGCTAAAGTTCGTTAAAATTATTAAGCCTTTATTAAAAAGATTATAAAGAAGTAATTTAATGATTTTGAAAAGTAACTATCCGATTAGGAAATCCTTATTATAAATGGGAAGAAACTCGGAATTAATAAAATAACCTTCCTTACTTTATAATTTACCGACTTTATCAATATAGTTTATAAATACAAGTTTATTTAAATTAGTAACTCTTAGAAATTTAATAACGACTTCGAAGAAATATTTTTAAAATATAAGGACGTATCTACTAATTTTAAAAGGGTTAGTATATTAGAACGTACCGTATTATTAATTAATTTTAAGAAGGTTATAGTTTATAATATTTAGGGTATTAGCCGCTTTAATTCCTAAGAGTTTGTATTTAATAAAGAAGACACTCCTAATTCTAATTATAAAAAGAGGCTCAAGTAAACGTAAGGAAAAAACGCAACGTAAATAAAAATATAAAAGATTCTTTATATTTAAGAAAGAAAGGAAACGTTACGCTACTTTATAAAGTTTGCGAACGAAGCCTTTACTTAATAATACGCTATTAGTATTTAATATTTAAAATTAAGAATAATCCTAAATAGAAGCTAAATAGCTTTGTTTAAAAATTTATTAATAAAAATTTCGAAAAATATCCTAAAATTAGTAAAAAGGTTAAAAAGGGTAAGAATTAAATATAAGACCTCTTTATTACTTTTATATAAATTATTACTTCAAAAAATTAAAAGACATAAGAAATTAGCATTTACAATTTAATATTTTTCGTTAAATAAGGTACTTTCAATACGAATAATAATAAAAATAATATTTATTTACTCAAGAATTTTATAATCTTCGATTCTAGGGCTTCTATTTATATTTTCAACGAAATTAATTGTTTTTCTTTATTTTAAATAGCGTTGTTAAAGAACTACGTTTAAGTTAATAAATTTTAAATACTTATTAAAAGTTTTAAGACTATTAATATAAAAATATATGGAGAAAGGAGAATTTTAAAATTATAATTGAAAGAAGTAACTTTCTACCCTAATTTTATTATAGATTTTATATTACTACGCCTATTTCGAAAGCAAAATCCCTATTAGGATTATGAACCCCTTAATAATTATTTCCGTCAGTTAAACAGTTTACTCTTTTATTTTCTTTAAAAATCTATTATTAAATAATCTTCGAATACCTACCCCATTCCTTTAATTATACCGCCTTCTCTATTCGTTAAAATCGTTTTAATTCTTTTACTGGCTATTACGTATATAAAATACCCGTTAAATTTTAATATAAACAATTTAATTACTATAGCTTTTAAATTTTTAAATATTTTTATAATGTTAAAGGTACTAAATTCAAAGGGCCCGCTACTTATTAATGTAATACGTATAGTATTTCAAAAATTAAATAATAAATTAAATAAAAATTATAAAATAAGGGATTTAGCCCAGGAGAACGTTTCGCCGTCGACTTCCTCGAATATAAAATAGAAAAAAGTAACTTCAAATATATTATATTCATTATTCATTAATAAATTAAATTAGTTTAAAATATTTATAGAGCGAAGTAAATAATTAAAACTATCATTAAAAGACTCCTTCCAATTATTAATATAATTAATTACTAATATAATATTAAAATTAAATATCTTAAGTATAATAATAAATTTAATAATTAATACGTTAAGAATAAGTTAATTATACGCCTTATTATTTTCGAGCCTTTAATATTTAATATTCAAATTTAAAATGGCGGTATTAAACGTTTAGGGGGTATAATTAAAGAAAAAGCGTATATAATAATAAATAGCGTTAAATTCCTTCATAACTTTTAATTTCAAATTGTTTGAACCTTAATTTACCTTATTAATCGAATCGCTTAAATATTTCTATAATTATAAATTACTATACGAGCGGTTTTATACCTTCGTAACCTATTATAAGGGGGTATAAACCGAACTCCGTAAACCTAACTTCAATTATTTATATATTTACGGTTATAAAATATATACGATAATAAGTACTATATAGAAGAAAAAGTAATAGTATAAGAAATTTCAATTAAAGGCTTAAATCTGATTCCTTATCAGCTATATTACCTCCTCTAATTATTAAATTTAAAATCTATAAACCAATTATATTATTTATACCCGTAATATACTCCTTAACGAATATTTAATCTATTTAAAAAACCCTAATAATTTTAAAAAAGGATTAAGGCTAATTAGCAACGAAATTGCCGATTTACTCAACCAAATTAATTAACTTTTTTAATTATTTATATAATATTTCGAACCCTTCAAAGCAATTTGAAATATAGAAAATAATAGTTTTACCCCTCTCTTATTATTATTCTTTAATAATAAACTTTAAAAAAAATAATAACGAAACCGTTTCGAAACTAATAGAATCTACTATTTAAAATAAAATATTTATTAATTTTATATTTAATTACCCTACGCTGCTAAATTTACTACTAACTACTTTTACTACCGGCTTTATAATAGATTTACTAGAGCTTATCTCCTTCCCGACTTTCGAATTATAGGAAGTTATATTTAACGTTAGGAGATTTACTCAATTAATTAAATAACAGTAGAGTAAAATAATTATAAAGATAGAAACTAATTATTTAATTTCCAAGGGTAGTAGATTAAATTCTATTAAACGTTAAAATCTCCCTTTAATCCTAAAGATTTATTATAATTTCGAATATTATAATTTAAATAATTTCTTTAAATAAATAGAGGAAGTATATTTAAATAATTATAAAAAAATAAAGTTATAGGTTAAAATCAACGAAGACGTTCCCTATATTAAAAGTCTTTAAATTTTTAATTATATATAAATATACGTATCTAAATTTAATAAATATAATCGGCTATTAAAAGTAAAAGTTCGCCTTGTAATTAAAGGAAATTAATAATATAATTATAATAAAGAGACGTATACTTCTACGTTAATTAATCGCTTATTTCAATTAATTATCGCTTACACCGCCAAATTCAATTTCGAATTAATATAATATAATATAGTAAATACTTTCGTTAACGCCTACTTCGATAAAGATATCTATATTTATATATATCTTTTAATTATCGAAAGTACAATACTATCTTTAAAATCTTTAAAACCCTCTATAATTTCCAACGAATTCCTTTACTATAGTAACGAGAATTTAATAGGACTTTTGAAAATCTAAGGTTTAAACTGTTATTCGAGGACTCGTATATCCTTAAACGTAATAAAATCCTAATTTTCTACTACATTAATAATATTATCTTCGCCTTTAATAAATTATAATATAATAGAATTACCTAAATTACAAAGAAATTAGAGGAGAAATATAAATTTATTAATAATAATAACCTTTAATGGTTTCTAAATATCTAAATTATTCGAAACCGAAAGGTAAATTATATTTAATTATCTTAATAGGAATATATCTACAAAATTACTAAATTAATTAAAAATCCCTATACCTCCGTCTTCATTCTAATAAATAATAAAGAATTCATACTTTATAATAGTATAGCCTCTTTTAATAAATTCCGTGAATATTAAATCGTTATTAGCTTTATAATATACGCCGCTATAATTATTTAATTTAATATTACCTTCGCTACTAGCTAATTAAATCGCTATAATTACAATCCTAGTTCTTAATATTATGAAATTATTAATAAAATTTTATATTACCTTTAATACTACCCTAATTTCTTCCTCTATCATAGTAAGTTAACGAAATTCGAAATTGCTTCAAATACATCGTATGCTGATAACTCTCTAAATTAAAAGAGGTCGTATAAATTTATAATTAAACTCTTTAATAATTTAATTTATTTGAGTATAATTAAGTAAAAGATGGTATTTATTTTAATAATAGAAGTAGAGTTATTATCGATTTTAAACGCTATTAAAAAACAATTGCTATTATATATTTATATAAGGATATTAATATTCCCTTTGATAAAGATATACCCGTAATTGGTTATAATAATATATAAATAATCTGTATATTAATTATTAAAGTAGTGAAGTTAATAATTAAGTTAAAGTACGTTAATATCTATTATTATTAATTAAAGTAGGAAATTATAGAGGAAAGAATTGAAGTTGAATATTTGGAAACGAAGAAAATATTAGCCGATAAATTAATAAAAGTTCTAAGATAATCAAATTACGAGAAATTCCGGGAATTAATAGGAATAATAAATATACTAGTTCGTAAGGAGATAAGGATAGATAAGGAGATTCCGGATCATATTCTAAAAGATATTTAAAATTTAATTAAAGAAATTAACGTACTAAAAGAGAGACTCTATAAATAGTTTTACTTTTATCCTATTTAGAAGGTCTATAAGTGAGGGAGTATATCAAATTTAAGGATAGTTTTAGCTATACTATATAGAGGTTAGCGCTCTAGCCACTTAATATTACTTGATTTCTAGGCATATCTGGGTTACCCTAACACCCCCTATACCTTCTGGGCGAATCAATCACATACTCTTCAATCAATCAATTCTACACCGTCACATCTAACACGTCACCAGCAGGGATCACAAAGCCGTTAAGGTGCCCCGTATGGGGTTACGGCGGGGTAACACGGAGCCGAGGCAGGAGCTAAGCCGGACAGGGAAAGGTGCAGTGGCCCCAATTTCTGAAGCTTTTTATCTTGGCGTGTTCTTCTTTCCTTATCAATTCTCGAACTTGTCCATCGCAATTGGGAGCTTCCGTACGCTTCACATCATTTCACGTTTGCGACAACCGATACCAGACCTCGACATCGATCCCAATACTCCCCAAATCCAAGACCACACAACCGGAGGAACACCCTCACACCTCACACACAATGGAATCAACATCCCAAACCTCCTCCAAAAGCCAACCCATCGCCGCCGTCCTCCTCTCGCGCGCCCACGACCCCGAAGAAACCAAACGGATCCTGACCGAAAAGATCCAACAGCGCCCTCTCTTCCTGACGCCCTCATCCCCTCCTCCCTCCGACGCCCGCGCCGCCCGCCGCCGCGAACGCGAAAAGAAGCGGCTCTCCCGCAAAAAGGCGCTAAAACCGAAACCGCTCTCCGCCAACGAACGCCGCAAGCTCGGCCTCTACGACGTGCCTCGCTCGGGGCAGAAATACGTTTTGTTCGAACCGCTGCACCAGCTCTGGCTGGGATATATCCGCGAGATATTGGGCAACGAGATACATACCGGTGGCGAGGGCGCGGCGTCGAAGCTGACGAGCGCGGATTTTCACGGGGCTGAGGTGGAGGTTGTCAGGAGCGGGTGTGTGAGTAGGGTGGGATTGAAGGGGATTGTGATTAAGGATTCGCGGTTTACGTTTGAGGTGGTAACAAAAAAGAATCAGAGGAAACTGGTGCCGAAGGAGGGGACGGTGTTTAGGGTTGAGGTGCCGCTTGCGACGGTGACGGCAACGGCGATGGGGGAGGAGGGACGGAGTGATGACAACAAGCAGCAACAGCAACAACAAACAGAGGCCGAACAACCGAAGATGATCTTTGAAGTACACGGCGAGCAGTTCCAGTTTCGGTCGGCGGATCGCGCGAACAAGAAGTTCAGGTCGCACTTCTCCAACATTCTGTGAGGCGGCGGGGAGGGATAAAGATACGACACACGATACGATACTAAAACGCAAAATTCTCAACTTCTTCGGCTCGCCTCGACTGGGATTCAGGGAAATGCCGTCGAACGGAGGCGAAGGCGTTTCTCAGCACGGTGCGATGCAGCCATTGAACGAATGCGCTCATGGTCTCCACCCATGCTACAAGTTCTCCCGCAGACGATTCCTGCGATACTAGCCGGCAAAGTTTCACCAGAAGCTGAGGCTTGCTACCAGCATAGGCTCGTCTCTCCACAAAATAGCTAGCTCGGCGAGGTCTTCCCGGATACAAGAGCCGATTCGAGACGCGCACCATGTACGACGAGAGGCCGTCGGGCCTTTATGTTCCAAGGCTGGGACTACTGGTGGATTGGAGTCGCGTCAGAGGACCATTAAGTCAAGAAGCGGCAGGAGGACGAGTGAATAGAAGCAGAACCATGGTTGCCAAGTTCCAATGGCTCATGGGTGTCCATTGACACTTGAAGGACAGGCTGGACGAGATGCGAGTCATTTCTCCTTGGACTTTTTGGCTTTGCTTTGGAGGGAATATGTGGCAACACTGGAGGTCTGTCAATGGGATCTTGTCACTCTTCAGCATGGGCAGTCAGAGTGAAAAGGGAGACCACCATCACGGATGAAAGACGAGAGCTTAAACGCCTCGTCTCGGTATAGGAAGGAAGCTATAAAAGCATTATCCAACCAACTTGTACATATGACGCAGATACAGGTCTATACGAAATGCTAATCGCAAGTGACTCTAAGATGCACTCTCCAACGGAAACTCTATCGCATACGCCAACCCATGCAAAATGCTTTCTAACAACAACAGCTCTATAGTATAGCCAACTACCCAAAACGTCCCTCCACCTCAACCCCGTCCACACCTACTTAGGCGGCAAGATGATGTTATCAATCAACCTCACCAACGGCCCCCCACTATGTCCCAAATCCTCTCCCTCCCCTGGCTCCTCCACCGGCAAAAACCTCACGGCACCACTCAAAATCCCTCCCTTCTTGGTATCAACCGTTTCCAACTCCAGCATCGTCTCCGGGTCCGCCAGACTCAAATAATCCACCTCAAACCTGACCCTCCTTCCTGGCTCCATCTTCATCTGCTCTTTCAGGGTCTCCTCCACCACTTTCCGGGCGGCCCCCAATATCCCCTCCCTTTCCCTTGTGCCCTCCTCCCCACCGGCATTGTAAGCCCCCTCGGCCGCCTTAAGCGCCCTATACAACACATTCGCCACCTTCCGTCTCCTGCTCCCCAAATAAACATTCCTACTACTCAACGCCAACCCATCCCCTTCCGGGTCCCTCTCCGTCGGCACCACCACCACTTGTTCAATCGGCATCAAAAAATCTTCCACCAGTCGCTTAATAACCACAGTCTGCTGCACATCCTTCTGCCCGAAATACACCCTGTCCGGCTGGCACACATTAAACAGCTTCATACAAACCGTCGCCACGCCCCTGAAAAACGTCGGGCGGCTGCTTCCCTCCAGCACCTCCCCGACAGGGGTTATGGTCACAAACGACCCCTTAGAGTCCACCTCCTGCCCCGGAAACCCGGCAGGATACATCTCCCCCGTCGTCGGCGCAAACACGGCGCTGATTCGGCCGAGGTTTTCCCCATCGTCGGCCAGCTCGCGATCTAGAGCGGCCAGCGCGGCGCAGTCGGCGTCCCAGGTGACCGGGTAACTCCCCAAGTCTTCGCGAACGCCGAATTGCGCCGGGTTGACGTAGATGGACACCATGACGTGGTGGTTGTCGCGGGCGGCGGCCCGGATTAGGGACAAGTGGCCGGCGTGCAGGGCGCCCATGGTGGGGACGAGGGCGACGGAGCGGGAGTCGAGGGTTAAGGGGCGGCGGAAGCGGTGGACGGAGGAGACGGTGCGGAGGATGCGGATGGAGGTGTTTGGGATTTTTTCGAGGGTCGGGGAGGAGGAGGGGCTGGAGCCGCAGGCGGAGGAGGAGGCCATCGTGCGCGTTGTTGAGGGGGTGACGGTGGGGAGTTGTTGGATAGTTTGGGATGGTTGGGTTCGTGTGGGAGTGCGAAGTGATGCAGGTAAGTTCGTTGTCGAGGTTGAAGAGAAGCCGCGTGCGGTCGTCAAGGTGGATCGTCGGACGATGGATAGTGTGGAGGAGGACAAAGTTGCGCGCCGAAACAGGGCGTTGGTGGATTGCATCCGCATTGTGTTGCTGAATGACTCTTGCAACTGGAATTGAAACAAAAGGGAGAGAAGCAGAGGCAAAAAGTCGTCGCCAGCGAGCGACTTTTTTTTATAGTATTACCGAAGCAATTGGAATTGGATCCTCTTTTTCCCCTGTGATGATATCTGCAGCGAAGTTTTGGGGACGGCAGGACGGCGTCAAATGCGACTGCGGGGTGGGTTGACATGTGCCAAAAACGATCATGCCAGGGGTTACTGCAGGGACGATCTGTTGGGGTAACTGTACAGGAAATTGGGTGTACGATAACCCGATATCAGCCAAGGTATATGCTATTTCTTGTACATATCACATGATAATGCTAACCCGCCATCATGGCCAAACTCCGAATGCCTTTTCTACCTTCTCGCTACTTCCTCTCCCCAAAACAACTCTCCAACTCAACAAAACGTCCCATCAACTCATATAACTCCTCCTATTACTCCCCGGCATCGGTGTCCCCACAATCGGCGAAGGTACAAACGCTGATGATGCCGAATTTCTCGCCGTCGACAATGGCGACGGCTGTCTCATCCATGTAACCGGCCTCGACGACGAAGGAGGGGATACCGGTCCTGGTCCTGATCCCCCGAGAGCTTCATACAAAGTCCTTGCCGCCATCGGTGGTGGTGATACCTCCGACAATGTCGACGCCCTACTACTATCACATCCACAAGTTTCTTTATCCCACTGTCCCACTCCCTTCCCAGACTTTCCAATGGTACTCTTACTAGGATTCCGACTCAGACCCAGAAGCTCCGCAGTGCTACTCTTCCTGTTATTCCTCACCATCACCATCTCCGGTTTCTGAGGCTTCGGTGAGAGATTCACAATCTTCGCCGTAGCCGGGTACGCAGGCATGACGGGCGTAGCCCGCCCCGGTGTAGGGTATGCCAGCGCAGTGGCTTGGTAGATGCCGCTCGCGTTGCTGGCAGCACTTCCTCGGCAGGAGTAATCGTCCGAGGCGTACGAGAAGCTCGACCGGCGCGAGAGGGATGAGAAACCACCGAGACTGGCAGCATCACCGCTGGGGCTGACAGGGCTGACGGGACCGGGACCTGTGGCGCCGACGCCGACGCCGCTGACGGATTGCCGCATCGAGTTGCGGATTGCTGTGGCGACACCTTCAAAGGTCCATTGGGATGTTCGTCCGATACTTTCACCGTCGATGCTTCCTCTGTCGTCATTGTCGTCGAACGGGTAAGGGTCCTTGTTTGGAAGCTTTCCGACATTCTTTGAGGTTGAGGTGAAGAGGTGACTGGTAGAGGAATTGCTGTGGCGCTTCTTGTTGTGTTTGCGCTTGCGCCAAAGGAAGAAGAGGAGGACGCCGAACACCACGAGACCAGCTGAAGCAGTCGATGAAGAACCGCGGTCAGTGGGTTTGTTCAAGTGAAAAGTGCGTGTGAAGACACTTACCTATAGCGCCAATGATGGCTCCCTTTTTCAGCACATCGTCCGACGAAGTATTTTCTTTCCCTTCAGATGCTATCACACTATCCGCCGGGTGCGTACTTGAGGTAGGCGAGGTAATCGGGAGTTCAGAGCGGGTAGAAAAGGTTTCTACTTCAATGTTAGCAACTACCCAAAAGCTTCCGATGGAGAACGGATCTGTTTCAACAAATATTCTGAACACACCTGGTGTTGTTATCCCACCCCCGACCCTTGTTGTTGTTGTTGGTATTGGAGGGTGATCTGTATGGCCATTGCTGCTACCACCCTGCTTCGGCGATTCGCTTCCCTCTACTGTAGTCGAATCGATTACCGTCGTTGCTTCGCCAGACAAGTCCTGGCCATCCGATGTTGTTGGATACACAAGAGAAATCGACGTGGTAGACGGGATCAACTCCGTTTCAGGGTTGGTGGTTATCGTCACCGGTGGTGTTGAGCTGAACGACGTTGAAGCTTCTGTAGGGATTGGTCCCCAAGTGGACGCTACGATACCGCTAGTGTCTAGAACTTCACCCGATCCCGAGTCAGCTGGTTCTACTGTTGATGACAGCTCAGGGTGGTAAAGTGAGTCTGTGTTTCCATCGCTTCCGGCGGGCGCTGCTCCTTTCCCCAAGCTAGTCGTTTGCCCTTGAGTCTGGATGAATGTTGTGCTTTCAGAATTTTCTGTACGGTTTCGGCCCCAGAGGTTGGAACGTTCAAGTTGTGCACAGTAAAGCGGGTACTACTCGCAATACATTCCCATCTTCTTCATGGTCAGTGTGGTTGTTCGCTTTGATGGGGGGTGGACATTAGGGAAAGGGGCACACATACATCATAGTGCTTGCGGTTGAATCATCATTGGAGGCATCCGTGGTTGAGTCCGGTGTAGCCTGGTCACAGGCATCTTCGAGACTGATGAATCCGGGAATGGAAGACGTGGATCTCTTACCTACAAGCGAAGTAAGGTTTTGTAAACCCCACGGTGACAAAAGTGAATCGTAACCTGAACGGGCTTTCTTACCATCATGCGCCATCGGGCTCGCGGTCACCATTTTCAAAGGATCCGTTGTGGTCGTGTGCTCTTGGGAAGAAACCGACGTTGACTCAGGTGTATCCTCATGGTGTGCGTTTGGGGTGCTGATGATTTCAGTGGAAGAAGATCTCTTACCTGCAGTATGTAATTGAATGAACCATGACCAGGATGCTGGATCCAGATGGGACTCTGAACCCGGAAAGGCCCCGAAAGCCGGAGGGAGCGAGTGATGGAGCTTCTGGACACCACTCGCCGTCGGGCTCGCGGTCACCGTGTGCTGTTGGGTTATGGTGCGTTCCTCTGTGACCGTTTGCTCCTCGTTGTCGTCCTCGCCCTCAGTGGTGGATTGATCTTCATCGTTCCCCTTCCCATCATCGCCATCATCAGAGTCACTGCCGTTACCTGAATCATCCCCGGATCCCGAGTCTTCTTCGTCATCTTCTTCTCGTTCTGTGATTCGTTGATGAGGGCTGTGTCTTCTCTTTAAAAGTTCCGAAGGGGACATGCTCCGTCCTCGGCTGCTGGCTCTGTCCATCGATTGGTATGTCGCTGTCGTCGCTGTCGATACCGCATCGCCAAGTTGTCTGATGCCCATCTTCATCATTGATGCAGTCGTCAACTTCTAGGCTCCCAGAGTCTTCTTCTCCTACTGCGTCGTTCGTGTTTGAAAGGAGTGAAATGGTTCAGTATGGGTCTGGTAAGGTTTTTCCGAACCACATCTGTCGACTGGCTGTGGAAAGATTCTTGGAAAAGAAGGAATGACAAGAATTCCAGTAGCCAGTTCAAAGTGCGTTCAGGTGCTCCCCCGGAGAGTATATGTTTGCCCACTCCCCCGGTCGATCACCACCGGACATTGGAATTACTTTTTACATCCCGTCTGTCCGGCCTTCCAGGAACAATCACGAGGGCGAAGGCGCTAATTGTGGATATATAAAGACGAAGAAAGACGCGGCCCGCTCGCTGTGAGGCGTCACTTGGTTAGAGTGTCGTCTGTACATTACGAAACAAAGAAATGCGTACCTCTGTCCAATATTCGGAGTTGTTGAAAACAAAGAATAAGGACCAGACAGTCGCACGGGACGGGAGCGAAGGCGAGAATAGAACAATGCGCCATAAGGCCGTTAACCGGGCATGTTACCTGTTCCTGGCTGTTCATATCAATTGTTCGTTTACGCAAAAACTCAGTTGTTGAAGAGGTTTCGTCATTTTTGTCGCTGTTACGTTCGTTCGAGAAAAGTGCATCATGGATCTTCATGATCATTGAAAGAAGACCTGTTTGTTCTTATCTGTCCGGCCCCTGTTACTGCCTGGCAGCCTGAGGCGATGCTGGTAACAGCCATTGTAGATGAATAAACATCTAAACATTCTTGTTCTCTTTTCTGCGCGTTTCATGCCGTCGTGTAACTTGGCTCGGAGGCCTTTCTCGAACCCATGGATCTGACGATGCTCATGATGGCATCTCAAAGCTCCAGTAGGGGTGTAGGGCTTCGCCTGATTGCAGGCCACACGGAACAATGCCGAAGATGTTCGGGGAGGCTTTGATGATGTAGGTTTCCGTATGGGCAAAAAACGTCGAAACCAAATCATGAAGAGCTTCGCAACCCTTCAGTTTCTCTTGAAGATAGATCCGTGGGAAGTCAGAGAGTGCTGTTGCATGTTGGTGTAATTGGCATTCCAAGCACAGACACCTCAATAAGTTCCTTGTCTTTATCCCAGGCACCAATCAATGTCCCTTGTCATGGGCTAGTAGTGCTGACGTCCGAGAAATGTTGAACGAAATCTGGAAATCGACTACGTGTATCGCCGTGTTTTCTCCGCTTCAGTGAAGTTCACGATACACGTCGGCCTCGCTCCCGTCAACTATTTAATAAAGTCAGCGAGGGTTTTAAAAGTATCTTATAACCCGTCAGCCAGCTCTCACCGTGTCTCTTCATCTGACGTTCAATATCAGCGCACTGCATACGCCCAGAAATGACCGAAATAACCCAACCCGAGAGCTCCACGAGCAAATCGGTTGAGCCTGGACCGGCCTCGAAAGGTTCATCGTCACGCGGCGGGAATCTCATTGACGGCCCTTCTACCCTCATAACGGAGACAACCGTAAGTCGACCACTGATATCTTCCAGCGTACCCGTCTTGGAAGATTCTTTGACGTATTCCGTCACGATGTACCGCTCACTCATCACGTCCGTGTTTCTAGCCGCTCCTTGCCTTGAGTCACCAGGCTGAAATATCCGCACCTCAACAACCGCAACCACAGGTGCCAGCGGCTGGTTCAAGCATTCTCCGCCACAACATCAAGATCTTCTTCCTCCTCGGCTTGAAGCCCAAATGCTCGACTTTCTCTCACTTCCCTACTCTCCTCCTACACTGTTCCTTCGCCCTGTCCCTCTATCGTGCTGCGGCTTGTGACTACGGTCGGTGTACCCATCTGACATGGTGGATCTTCGACTTCATATGGGCCTTCATCGTCGTGGAGCTTTGGATCTTCTTCCAAAGGGCGGTCCTTACCACCTTCCATGAGTACCACAGTTTGTTGCAACAGGAGCGTGAGGGGGACGGCACGGAGGAAAACGAGGCACAGCTCTGTCATGTTTGTGGCCCAACCCGCCCCCAGGGTTCCCGACTCAGTGGTTTAACGACATCCTCCGAAGCCCTGGCCTTCTTGCGCGTCTTGATTGCGATGGAACTCGTTTTGTCAATGAGATACAGGGAGTTCCTGTTGCCTACCCTAGCCTGGCTAGGGTATACATGCGGGAGCTTCAATCATGCCAAGGGAGGGCCCATGACACCCAGAACCTCTCATGCTGGACCGCTGGAGAGACATATGTGGCGAGTGATTGAGATATCGATATTGAACTGGCAGGCGTGGCTGATCATGTTGCGTAGAGAGGGTTTGGGATGGGATTGGCTGTGGTCATGTGTTGCCGTCCATGCGACCACTGGGCTAGTTTGGGAGTTGAGGGATCATGAGGGTGTCAACGATGGGAGGAGAGATGACCTCGAAACGGGCGGTTCTGGTGCTGTTGAGGCTGATGCAGCCGTTCCATCCCCTGTCTTTGGATCCAGGCCACGAGACGAAGTACGAAGCGAATCTCCGGGACAACACCAAGGCCCTGTAACCGAAGACATCGACACTGCAGGACATCAACAGCCAGCAGACGACTCGACTATGACAAGGACCGTTTTCTCCGTGTATGGCGAGCGAGGTCCCCGGTGGTTCTCGGCGCTTTGGATCCTTTGGTGGGCTCTAAATATAGACACGTTCGGATACTCCTTGGATCATTACCCAAGTGATGTCACGATTGTGATGTTGTTTGGCCTTGGACTTGTGCTGGCAGTCCTGTTGATCTGGACACGGAGTCGTGCCTGGAACCGGAGAGTCGCGATGTTATGGGTGATGTGGTACATTATATGGCTCACCATTCCCGCAGTGCCTCGTTTCTACTTGTTCATGAGCTCATCTTCGTTGTTAGTGTTCTGGTTGGAGCTGTGGGAAGGTGCAGAGCGTGGTCAACCTTGGAGACGATGGAGAAAAGAGAGACAAGGAGAGATCATTCTCGACGAAATGAAGGCAATCGGGCCATTGCATTCGGTGAATGCAACCTAGCTGAGAGGAGTCTACGTGCATTGTTTTGCCCGGGGCATATTGAGGCATGATTTTTATTGGTGAAGGGTTCTTCGAATCGAAAATCACGGGGAAAAAAAGGCAGATGCTGATTTTTGCGCACCGAGAAAAGCTTAAGAAATTAAATCCATCATGAGCCACTCGCTCCTGCCGACCTTGTGTGACCTATTTGTAATTTTCTTAGGGTGCCAGGTCTCAAGGCACTTGCCAAAAGCCGCTCCTTCTCCCAAATGGAAAGTCAAGGAGAGAAGGAGCAGAATCGAAAGGGGGAAAGTCCGAGTATTCTGCCGGAATCTTTCCCCGTGCGGATTTCGCACCTGCCCGACTAACACAGGGAAGTCTCTGACTTCGAACGAGTGGCGAGAAGAAAAAGCAATGCCACAGAAAGGGACAAAGAAAAGAACAGAAAAAGGAGACAGTGAGAAATATGTCCTCGTGCAAACCAAAAATGTCACAAAGTAAACAAAACCCCCTTTTCCTCTCATCATTTTTGCACCCTGGCCTGCCGTGTCTGCTCCGCCGCTGAACCCTTGACCCATGCTCGCCATGTCACCCCAACCCTCAACTCCACCACACAACCAAAAGATTCTTTCTTTCCCAGTTTAAAAACACATCTCCCTGTGCAACAAACCATCAAATAATCGGAAGCCATCCTCCAATCGGGTATGGTGTAGCGGTAACATCGTTGACTCTCACTTGTTTACAAGTGTCTGTTTTCTCAACAGCCCCGGGTTCGACTCCCGGTATCCGAGCGATAACGATCAACCTTCTGGTTCTCTTTTTTCTCTTTTTCTTCTTTTGCTCCTCGGAATCTTGCTTGTGCTAAAAATGATGCAACGACATTGTGACATCTCTATTCCAATTTTGTGGCCTCTTTCGTTCTTCATTTTTGCCTCGAAGTGCGTAACAGAATCAAGTGAAGTAAACAAGAATCAAAATGGACAGAATATGATTTCAACGTAGTTTGGTCATCGTGTTGCGGAGTAAACTTGGGATATATAAGCACTTGAAAGTCTTCCACATCTTCGCACCCTTTACTTTAGAGATTCAACAACTTGAACGATTCAACAAAAATAGCACGCAGCAAGACCATGGCGTTGGATGCAGAGGGCGCCAACACGGCAAGCCCATCCCCAAATCTATTCATGAATGTCCGTAAACGCAAACCATAAAAACAGCTAACTCCCGGAATTTTGTATACCCCGAAGCCCAAGTCCATTCACATTCGCACTCGCATTCACAGTCCATATCAAACCACATCCTACTCCTTATCCTTAATCTCCATCTCCTCAAAGTCGTCAAGGAGCTCGTCCATGCTGATCTTGGGACCATCCTCCTCAGCCTCCGTCATCATGTCCGTATCGGCAATGCTCATGGCATCCGCCTCCCTCTTGGTCTTGAGCGAGTTCTTGTACAGAGCAAGGGCAGCACGGAGTTCCTCGTCCTCCTCGACATCGCGCAAGAACATCTCGTACTCCGCATCCATCTTGGCCTGGTCCGAGGCCTTGGGCAGCAGCTCGCCCTCGTCCTTGGCCATGCGCTTGAGCTTCCAGTTTCTCTTTCTGTTGCGGCGGCGGTTCGGGAAGTGCTTCTTAACGAGGACGACGTCGGGTATCATGGAGCCGTACGCCTTGGAGCTCTCGATCGCCTCGAGATCGTCCGAGTTGAAGTTGGTGCCCTCGAGCATGTAACCCAGCACCGAGTCACCGGCGCGGAGGAGCTGGCCGAGATGTGTGCGGGTGAAGTAGACGTTGTCGTTGACGCCGAGATCGGAAGCACGAGCGACCTGGACCTCGGAGAGGAGCCACTTTCCTTTTCGTACGCCCGTGGGCTCAATATCCATGACGATAAACTCAACAAGATCGGGGGTGCCGGCGAGCGGGTGGAAGGGAGCACGCCAGTAGATATCGGCGCTGACTTCGGCGGTCTGGAGGGTGTTGGGGTCGAGGAGGTTGACGGATGTTCCTATCCTGTGGCAAAGGACAAGGGGAGAAATGTTGCCAATGGACTTGGCGAGCTTGAGAGGAAGGGCGACCAAATCGTCTCTGCAAACAGGCACGATTTCGACGGAGTAGTTGTACTTGTACGACTTGTTGCCGGTATGTGTATCCGCGGAAATAAGATGCCTCGACTCCTTGGTGAGAACTGGTACGACCGACTTGAGGAAGCTGATGAATCCCTCGGCCTGGTTCTTCTGGGCAAAGTAGAAATCGATACCGTCCTTCTCTTCCTTGATGTTGATTGCGTCGCGATGCGCCTGGTGCTTGAGAATGAGCTGTTCGAGGAAAAGGAACGTCCTCTTGTGGGTGACCTTTTGGCGGACCTGTACGGCGGCGCGCCAGACGTTGGCTGTGTATGACTTGGCGCAGTCCTTGCACTGCTGGCTGGCGACAACATAGGTGACTTCGAAGCTCTGCTGCATCAACACACCATCCGCCACCTGATCCTGAACCGTAACCTGAACCTTGATTCTTCGCGAATGGGGTTCTGTCCAGATAAATCTGGCGTCTGTGATGCGGACCTTGCCCAAATTCCTCAACCTCTTCAAGCATAGTGACAACAGCTCTCTCGATTCGGGGGCGGCTGTGACCCAACTGGCGGGCGGTAGGAGCCATCTGTCGCAATCTTTGCAGAAGTGAACGGTGGCCTCGCGCTGGATGCCCTGGGAGATATCGACGGTGGACTTGATGCAGTCGTAGCAGAGAGCGCCGGCAGAGGCTGTGCCATCGATGGGAGCACCGCAGTTGCAGCAGAGAATGCTATTGTCTGTGTCAGCAACGACTACTACAGAATCAGTCGCATTTCGAGTCAAAACTCACGTAGCGCCTGTCCTGGCAGAGCCCATCAACGGGGCCATGCCCATAGGAGCGTCGAGATCCATGATTAACGAGGTTGTGGTTTGCGACAAAGTATGAATCGGGGTATCAATTGTAAAAACAAAACAAAAGTCGCTATGTCGTGAAAAGGAAAACCTGTGAGTTCCGTCGCAATCACAAGAGACGTTGCTGGCGGATGGGAAGAAGTCGACTGGAAAATTGAATGGACCGGGACTGAGGACGAGTCGCTGGGGGAACGCTGGGGCGCTAACAGTCGTCAATAAATTTCTTGATGGGCCCAGCACCAAATTGCCCCGCGCTGTATTGATAAGCAATTCGTTATCGGCTATCGGCTATCAGTACAATGCAGTACGTACTTTTGTGGCGTTCCACTGCCGGCTTCGCCACACCAATTAATCAGCCTCAAAATTCTGGACCTTTAGCTCCGGCCAGTTGCCAGCACCAATCATCAGCTGTTGCCCATGGCATCTCCCCAACTGTAGTGTTGCCCAGACCTTTTGGTTTGCATGTGACTCAAAGTTCGCTGTCCCAACCTGACGAGATTCATACATCTGAGCCTTCATGCAGTCCCCAATATCCTTTCAACAAAAGGCTGGGCAGCCTCAACTCATCCACTGAATCACTTCTTGCCCTCGCCACCACCTCCTGCGAAATTCATGCTGTACCCGCCAGTCTTCTCATCCTTCACCATCTTGAAGTGATCAGTGCTAAGACCAAATGGCTTAAGCAACCCATTCCCAAGGTCCTTCAACTTGCCCCACATCTCAGCAGTCTCCTTCTCCTGAGCAGCCTTGGCCCGGGGCGGCAGTGCTCTGAGTTGCGCCTGGACGAGCTTTCGGTCGGTAGCTGTCAAGTTGGTCATGGCAGACAGCTTCTTGTAATCCTCAATAGCTCCCTCGAGGGTAGACCATCCACCCAGTTCACTCCTTGCCCGAGCCCGGCGCAGCAGAGCTTTGGCCCGTATCCTGGCAATGTCCTCTTGTCGCTTTTGGCGGGCAATCTGAGCCTCAGTTTCAGCGGCAGCAACAGCAGGGCCAGCCTTTGCAGCACCGGCACTGACAATCTCCTCTTCCACATCGTCTTTCTCCTTCTCTTCCTTCTCAGCAGCCAGCTTGTCCTCCCGCTCTAGCTTGTCAAGCAGGTCCAGAGCTGTGGTGGCGTGCTTGACAGCATCCTTCCACTCCTCAAGCATTAGGTGGCAGGCAGCCACGTTGGAGCGCAAGACGGCTAGGGGGTAGTCCAGGTAGGTTGGACAAACAGCAATGGCTTCATCATATTTGTTGATGGCGGCATCGTATTTGCCCGAGGTGAAGAGGGCGTTTGCCTCTGCTTTGTGTGTGTTGGACTCAGCTACCAATTCCTGCCGAGGCGGTCAGTCACAGAGGGTTGGGCATGAAGAGGGTCTTTGTTGTTGCTTCTGATTCATGGGTACTTGCAGCCTCTTCTTCAGGTGAGAACTTGACGTTGGCCTGGGTGGATTCATCGTCTTCTTGCTCTGCTTGAGCATCCTTATGCTTCTTCTCAGGCTTGTGATCAGGGGTTTCGGGACTCATGGTCAAGACAGAATTGCTATTGAAAGGCTATAAGATTGCCGGTATCGGAATGGTAATGACGGGCAGTAGCTCGGAGTGAGGTTCGCGAGGATGAGATGATGGAACATGCGAGATAAGAAACCGCGGAAGCTGTCAAGGACCAGGGCGGGCGGACAGCGGGCATTTCACGCAGGAGCTTGGGCACGGCAGCTTGGCATCGCAGGTCTTGGCAAAAAGTGGACCTCCAAGTCTGTTGATATCGGAATCTGAGATGAAGTGAAGAGGTCAGTATGAGCTTCCACAAACACCAGCAAGATGATAAAATCCTTACAGGATTCCCTTCACTTTATCGAGTAATTTTCTGTTCGTTTTTCAATCTTAGCTTACACCTTGTCTATCCATCGGTAACCCAAAGCCAGAAGGTTGCGACTGCGCAAAGCCTGTTCATCCAGTTGCCTGGTAACCTGATGAAGTCACTGAACAACAGCTGGCCACTGACTGCGCTGGGTGACCCGTCGCAATTCCATCCAGATACGACGTCAGTACCCAAACCATCCACAGCCGGGGCGAAATGCGGTGAAATGGATGAAAAAAGAAAACATTCGTGACCAGAATTCCACGCGCGCGGTAGTACCAACGTTACAATGCGGCTCAAAGCCAAGGCCGTGGTAAAAGCGAATCTCCACATGTTGTTATCTGTTATCTCTGCTTCATCATGACAGGGGAAAAAAAGGTCCGAAAGATCCCGTCTCAGGAGCTCCTTCAAGATTCAGATTTCAGACTACCAGTTGTTAGTCCAGGTCAAAGCAAGTGCGAGCGGCTTGGGTTTGTCACAGCTTCAAGTTGTTGCGTGGCATCATGAAAACTGGAAACCTTTCGATGTCTCCTGGGAAACTGGCAGCTGCAATTCTTCTTGGGCCAGCGCATACTTTTTCAAACAGGAAGTTACGGAGTGCACTCACTGGTGTTCATCATGTTTTGAATTGTTGAATTATCACATTTTTTTCTGTTTACTGCGTCGCCCAGACAGCGCCTATCAAGGTTCCTGAAATCAGGGGCAGAGGGGCACCAGGGTCCCCCGCACGGGCTCCCGTTGTAGGGCGGGGAGGGAGGCGATTGCGGGACCTGGAGCTGTCTCCAACTTTTTTGATGCCGGGGGACGGGACGGGAGTGAAGGCCAACCGATTGCCAAACAATAAAACCGACGATTTATCCCGTCCAACGTCCCTTCACAGCATCTATTTACACTTCACCAACTCTTCACAACAAAGCGGACCGTTGTCCAAGGTTCATGATACCCCTTCACTTGCTCTTTGTACGAGGCTGTTCTTCAATTTGTTGGCCCAGTCGACATTCACCACCCTTTCTCTGTTTACCCGATAACCTTCACCTTCGGCAGTAAAAAAGGCTCCGTCTGAACTGGCATCTCATTCACCCTCGTCGACGTCCAATTCACTGCCCTTGACGACCCTTGGCGCCAGTCCGAAATATTTCCTGTCCTAGATATAAAATCCCCCCCTTCCCACCACTTCCTTTGCGCTTTCCACTTCCTCCAAACACCACCCACATCAAGACTTCCTTTTCCAAAGCAAGTCTTTCGACAGCGAACCCGCCCCCCGCCCGGCACTCTTACCAGCATCACTAATCACCCATCTCTCAACCGCCGCAATGGCCCCTCGCACAGAGTAAGTTGCGCCATCTCACTTCACAATGGATTGATGCTAACATCTGCATACAGTTTCCCCCCCGTTCGGGCTTGTCTGTTTGACATGGACGGCCTCCTCCTTGATACGGAGGACATCTACACCCTCTGCGTCAACGAGCTTTTGAGGGAGCATAAGCCCTCGAAGCACCCTTTGCCTTGGAGCATCAAGGCCCAGCTGCAAGGCCGCCCCGGTCCTGCGGCCCTTGACCTCTTCCACAACTGGGCCGATTTGCCCATCAGCCGTGAGCAGTACAAAGATGAGTACTACGCTCTTCAAGCAGAGAAGTTTAAGCATACCACGGCTCTTCCCGGAGTCGAGGAGCTCCTCCAGAAACTCGGTCGCACTCGTTTCTGGGAGTTGAAGAAGGATGCCGCTGTCGCCAAGGATGAGGCCGCTGCGACCCAGAAGGATGACAGCAAAGACGAGGCCGCCCCCAAAGAGAATGCGCCTACCACCACCAATGGCGCCGCCAAGAAGCCCGCGCAGAAGCCTCATCGCGTGCACATCGCTCTCGCCACCTCGTCGCACGAGGCGAACTTCCGGATGAAGACAAACCACATCCAGGAGCTGTTTTCGGTCTTTGAGACCCATCGTCGCGTTCTCGGCGACGACCCGCGCATCCCTGAGGGCCGCGGGAAGCCTCTTCCTGATATCTACCTCATTGCCCTCAAGACCATCAACGACTCGCTTCCCGAGGGCGAGAAACCCATTACCCCGAAGGAGTGCCTCGTCTTCGAGGACAGTATTCCCGGCGTTGAGGCTGGTCGCCGCGCCGGCATGCGCGTTGTGTGGTGCCCGCACCCCATGCTCAAGCAGGAGGTGGACAAGAATGGCGAAGCGAAGCTGGTTCTTGCGGGTCTCCTGAACCAAGCCGAGATCGAGAAAAAGAAGAAGGCTGATGCTGAGAAGGCCGACAGCGAGAAGCCTGGCGAGATCGACGACGGCTGGGCGGACTATTTGCCTACCTTGATCGACTTCCCGTACGAGAAGTACGGAATTCAGATTCCCGACGAAGCGGTCGACAAGGAGCCCTCCATGAAGGAGAGTGCTAAGATCGACAAGGGAGAGGTTCTCCAGGCCGTCGAGACCAAGGTTGTCAAGAACTAAGCATTTGGGGCGGCCTCTCTGACTATACCGACACATTTACATACTCAGCGCATTCGTTTACATTGCATGCATGGGCTTTTACTTCATGGGTGGCAGGTGGCATATTGAGTCACTAGAATTGGCTTGGGCGAATGGAGTTCGGGGTTGGGATCGGTTATGACCGAAGATAGGAAAATGTTTTGAAGGGAAATTCGAGGGATAGCCTGAGGTATATCGGGGATACTAATGAGGGACATAGAAACATTACTTAAGCGTTAAAAGAAATTGCTTTCACAAATGTTATGCTAGAGCTTCGTAGATACCCCCTAGAATAATACCATGCGCATAACTTTAACCGAGTGGGAACTATCGTCTCTTGAACGTGACCATTTGAATGCTGACAACTTCATCACTACACGAGAATAACTCGACAGACAGGAAGCTCTCACGCTGAACACAACTTTCTGTTTATTGGGAGCAGGGAAGCATGACATATGATCAGGAAAACAGCAAGATTCAAGTGGGAAACATCTAGCAATCTAGCAAAACAAAACCGCACTCTGTCTCTACATGTACCATACCACTCAAACATCGCCATACAAAACCACAACCCCTAGCAAAACAGTAGACAACCAAAGAACATAACACACTTCATTCACACTTCACACCCCAATTACCCCCCAATCCCTTCAAGTCCACCGGAAACCACCACAACACACACCAACAACTCAATAAGTCTCATACCCCTCCTCATCCCTCTCATACCCCTCCTCCTCACCACTATCATTACTCCCCATCCCAAACCCCCAATCAAACCCCTTAACCTCCTCGCTCGCTCTCCTCCACTTTGCCTCATTCACCGGTTCCGACACCGTAGGAGTCCTCTGCAACTCACTAACCAACTTCCTCTTCCCTTCCCCCGCCACCCCCAGCGTCTCGGCAGTCATCATCAGTCGTGCTGAAACAGTGGCGGGAAAACGGAGGAGGTGCGCGTTGGAGAGGTAGTCTTCTGTTTTGGCGTTCATGGGGCGGCCTTTGTGCTGCCACTGGTCTTGGACTTGGAAGTGTTGGGTGGCGGTTGGGGAGGAAGGGCGGGAAGATAGGGGGGAGGATGGGCGGGAGGGTGAGCGGGAGGGTGACTGGGAGGGTGAGCGGCAGCATGGGCGGGAGTTTGAACGGGAGGAAGAGCGGGAGGAAGGGTGGGAGGAAGGGGAGGAAGCGGTGGGAAAGACCGGGGATAGTAGGGTAGAAGGAGGAAGGGGAAAGTGGTTGATATTCAGGGGAGAGGGAGTTCGACGACGGAAGATGGGGCTAGATGGGTTTGGCAACCCTTTAGTAGTGCAAAAGGGGCTCGGTAAGCGGCGGCGGCGGCGGCTTGGGGAGCGATAGGCTGGAGAGGAGGGGGGGATGCTGGAATTGCGACGAGTCGGGGGGCTAGGTGAAGAATCAGACGATGATGAGCCGGACAGGGAAAGACGGCGGCGGTATCGATCTCGACCTCGGACCGCAATAATGATGGGTGAGGAAAAGGGTGTCGGCGTGGACGGTCTGGTTCGGATCATGTTGATGTCCTCTTCTTCGTCGGAGGCGTTGCCTTCCACTTCTTCCTCATGATGGTCGCTGCCATTTACCGACGACGCTGCTGACGAAGAAATGGAATAAGAGGAGAATCTAGATTCCGATTCAGGGGATCTAAGTTTGCGAGAGGTTTCCAATACCCATTGGGAGAACCACTCGGCATACCACTCGTCGAATTCAGGATTCGAAGAATCGTTGCTAGCAGCTTGAACAGCCTCTTCATCCTCTCCGTCGTCTTCCGAGTGGACACTCCCTCCGCTAACGGTTGAGAAACAGTCCTCAGGACGCAGCGAGGAATCAGTCCCCTCGCTACTCACGAACGAAATAGGAGAAGACGGCCTAGAGGTACCCTCCGTAACACTTGCCGCGCTTCTCGCCCTCTCCCAAGTTGAAGCCACCTCTTCTTTCTCCCTCCGCTCGCGATGTTCAGCCAACAAGATCTTGGCCATCACTTTCCACCACATATCTTTGACTTCCTCCCTTGTCTTTGTCTTTGCCATTCGGCTTGGTGGCGTCTGGTCTTCTGTGGTTTCCTTTCTGTTATCGTCGTTGTTGACAACACTCTCAGCAGACGGGGTTGCTGCTGGTGGTGGTGGTGATGATGAACTTGGCCACTCTAATAGCTTCTGCGGGCTTGACTGTTCCTCGTTCGGGGCAAAAGAGTAAAAGGTTGGTGCTCTTAGCCCAAGACGTGACTTGAACTCGTAACCTAGAAGGTTGGCTTGTGTGTCCCAGAACCACCGATAGAGGGAGGAGAAGGGGCTGTAGATGAACTTTTGCCAGTAGAAGCCGAAGATTTTGCGGAGTCTGGAAAGCCAGTCACTGTTTACCGGCAGGGAGTTAACTTTGCTTGGCTGGAAAAGCACCAGATCGGATTTTGCTGCTGGGACTTGAGGAGAGGGGGAAGATGATGTAGGAGTCACTTCCGGTTTGGGGGAGGTGTTTCTTGACCAAGATAGGGGTGTTTGAGTTGCTGAACTGATGACGGTCTCTTTTGATACTGAGGATGATGCGCTACTCGAGAACCACCTGGGTGAAGATGTGGTCATTTCCAGGCTCTCATCCTGAGACGAGCAACGCCCAGCACAGCAACTAGGTTTCAAAAGGCGTATATGTTCCCAGAGGATACACCCATCCTCGACCGTTTCAATACATGCACGGAAGAACTTGTGCATACGATCTTCACTCAAAACACTAGCTCCGCGGTCTTGGCGGATATACGTGGTCATATATCTTGACCAGTACGTATATTGGAATATGGTGTCCCAGTGACGTTTTGAACAATGCTCGCAACCTTCCTCGTCTGCGTCAAGCATACGCCGGATGTATCCGTGAAGTATACTCAGGGAGTAAGCCGGGTGAGTCGTGAAATATGATCCCCATCTGAAAGCATCTGCGACGGGACATGTGGTGAAGTCGTATCGGGTGTTGGCCGTATCGCCAGGGGCACTCCTCCTCGTTGCTGGGATTCGGGATGTGCTCATCGTGGGCAAAGAAGGCCAACGCCGGCCGGCTTCTGGAGCTTGCAGCTTCGATGAGTGGTGACGTGACAAAGCAACGGGAATAGAGATGCTCTCATAGCAAAAGGAAATGAGTTTGGGTATCAAGATGACTGAAGGCAGAGAAATATATACAATTGCCTAGGGAAAAGAAAATCAACACAACCCATCTCCAATGTCTCGCAGTCGCTTTGGCGAGAAAATCCCACAGCTACATGAATGCTCCCTGTCTCAACCCCATTGTTTGGGGGCCAAACGCAAGCTTAAAAGATCTTGCTGAGCACTCTTTGTACCTGCTCGGGCTGTGCCTCATCGAGCTTCCTCTTCTTGGCCAGGGGTATTTGCTTGAATGTTCTCCTCCTCTCGCCGCGCGAGTCGTCATTTGTCGTCGTCGTCGCCGCCTGGGGAGCTGATTCTGTCGCTTCAGCGGCACCCTCACCGCCCTTCTTGCTGCCCTTGGACGCCTTCTTTGCCTGAATGCCCTGCAGCACCTTGGCCCTCTCCACGTTGCGAACGAACTCCTTGTTCTCTTTGGTGGTCTTGGAAATCTCGGCGCGCATTCTGCTGGAGCGCTCGGCGTTCTCAGCAGCGATTTGTTCCGTCAGGTTGTGCCACTTGAAACCCTTGAGGTAAAGTAGGTTCCAGATGTCGTCGCGGTAGTAGGATCCCTTCTTGCCTCCGATTGGACGGCCGTTGAGTAGTTCGCATGTCTTTTTGGCGTCTGTAAACAAACGGATTTTCTTGTTAGCGTCTTTGTACTTGAGTCTCAGGGAACCTCGCGGAATGATGGCCTACCCTTCTTCTTGACAAACTCAACCCAGCCTTCTGTAAACGACTTTTTTTTGTTGCCTCCGTTGCGAATGCGCTTGCGCCGCGCAACTGGGTCCTCGGGGGCCAGGAAAATGCGATTCATGTTTCCATATGGCTTTAGGAGAGAGCGCAACTTGGCAGGGGTCATGAAAGGTGGTACCCTGGAGATGTACACCACTCCCGACTTCTTGATGGCCTCCTCCGTGGCAATGAGATTCTTCTTTGTGAGGGGCTTCTCCATGCCCGGAAGGTCACCCTCTAGTACCAATTTCTTCTCCTTCTTCTTCTTTCCATCCTTCTCTTCCTTTCCATCTGTCGTTTCCTGTGCAGATGCATCCTTGCTTTCAGCATCATCTTGGTCGTGTTCCTCCTCTGCGTCGGTGAAGTCGTCGGCTTCGCTGTCCTCGTCGTCGCTCACTCTTCTGCGCTTCGCATTGCGGCCGCCCTTTTGAAAATCATCCTCCGACTCGGATCCGTGACCGGCATCGTCGTCGCTGTCGCCAGCATCGAGAAACTTGTTTCTGATATCGTCCTCGGGCATTGTTGATAGATGATTAATGACTTTGTAGAGAAGGTTTTTATAGTTCGTGGTAGTTTCGTCGTGCAGGAAGTTTCGTAGGTTGATTAGGTGGTTAGGGGGAGTTTTCGGCAGTGATTTGTTTGCGTTAAAAGAAAAATCACGACGCGATTCGCAAGTCTTCTTTTGGCGTGGAAGCACTGGACGAACATGGATGGAATCGCTGCTGTTTCTCAAAATTTCTGGCTCCACCAGCGCAAATGGGCCCGTGCACTCACAGCTGATAAGAGATAAGATGGAAGATCCCTAGGTTCCGTTGCTGCAGACCCCGCTGTGCCCGCCTCTTATCAAAGCTCCCCCGGCCTGCCGCCGAGGAACGGAGCGGGGAGCTGCCCACTCTGTTTGTTAGTGAGACGGCGACGGAGGGGCGACATTGGTGTCATTGGGTCATGAGGGCGGCGGGAATCGAGTCTGGTTGCTCTTTCCTTCTTGTGGAAGGTCTAACGAAGCCATATAGTCATAAGGACATCCTGTTTTTTTCCCTTTTGACGCTCTTTTCCTCCAACCAACATTGCATCCCACATCACGATCCTTATCACTTACTAGCCGAAAAGCATAACATACGTCAATATGTCAGTCGAAGTGATCACCACCATCTCGCCCACCACGGGTGAACCCATTCTCACTCGCAATGGCATTTCAGAGGAGGAACTTGTCCAACTGCCCGAGACTGCTTTCAAGGCCTTCCAAGGATGGCGCACTACCAAGCTGGAGGACAGACAGATCATCGTCAAGAAGGCCTTGAAGTTGCTGGCTGAGAAGCAGGATGAACTCGGCGAGGAACTTAGCGTCCAGATGGGCCGTCCCATCGCTTATACTGCCAAGGAGGTTGCCACTGCCATCAAGCGCTCAGAGTATCTACTCAAGATCAGCAACGATGCTCTCAAGGACACTGATGGTGAGGAGGAGAAGGGATTCAAGAGGTTTATCCGAAAGGTTCCTGTTGGTCCTGTTCTCATCATCTTTGCTTGGAACGTAAGTAGTGTTCATCATGTTGTTTAACACTCCATCACCTCTAACTTTGAGCAGTACCCCTATCTTATTCTCGTCAACGCCTTGATTCCAGCCCTGTTGTCTGGAAACTCGGTCATTCTCAAGCCTTCGCCTCAGACACCCACCATTGTCGAGCAGGTGGCCAAGGTGTTTGCCGAGGCTGGATTGCCGGACGGAGTCATCCAGTATTTCCACTCGGGTTCGCCGACAATTATTGAAACAATTGTGCGAAACCCCAAGATTGCCAACATTTGCTTCACCGGCTCGGTTGCTGGTGGCTTGGCCGTCCAGAAGGCCGCGTCGGATCGCATCGTCAACGTCGGTCTCGAGCTTGGTGGCAAGGACCCTGCATATGTTCGCGGTGATGTCGACATTGCCTGGGCTGCCGAAGAGATTGTCGACGGCGCACTTTTCAACTCGGGTCAGAGCTGCTGCTCGATTGAGCGAGTGTACGTTGACGAGAAGATTCACGACGAGTTTATTGCGGCCGTCCAGAACGTTCTTAAGGGATACAAACTTGGAGATCCCTTGGACAAAGGGACGCATCTTGGCCCAGTCATCTCGGCGCGCTCCAAGGAGACCATCCAGGCACACATCAAGGACGCGCTCGACAAGGGCGCCAAGAATGCAACGCCGGAGAATGAGACATTCAGCATTCTGCCTGACAATGGTAACTTTGTCGCACCGACATTACTGACCGATGTGAATCACGCCATGACCGTCATGAAGGACGAGACCTTCGGGCCCATCATTCCAGTCATGAAGGTCAAGAGCGATGCCGAGGCAATTGAATTGATGAACGACAGCGAATTTGGCCTCACTGCCAGTATTTGGACCAAGGACACGGCCAAGGGATACGAACTCGCCGAGGATGTGGAGGCAGGCACTGTTTTTGTGAACCGTTGCGATTTCCCCAGCCCTGTAAGTACTCGGTACCCTGCGACAACAATTTACCACGCCGTTTCACTGACACGCATCTCACAGGATCTGGCCTGGACTGGCTGGAAGAACTCTGGCAAGGGCCAAACGTTGAGCAAGTATGGCTTCGACCAGTTCGTCAAGTTGAAGAGCTACCACTTGAAGGATTATCCCAAATAGAGTTTCGGAACGCCCTGCCGCCCAGCCCTGGACGCAAGGAGGCTTGAATCGTCAATAAGGGAGGTACTCAGGCGCGTGCGCGCTGCATATCATCAGCAATAGATAGTCTTTCCCTTTTACCTGTTATTGAGCGAATCCAAGACACCAGCCTTTTCTGCTTCAGGGTATGTCTCAAAGAAATCCCACATCAATTGTTCCGCATTCCAAGGGCCTTCAAAAGCTAAGCGAGGGGCGTCATGGTTTCCGCTGAACCCTTTCCTCATTCCTCCTTACTTCCATCTTCTTCTCGTCCATTCGTCCATTCACGATCTTTCACCTCACCCACGTCCCTTTGAGAGTATCAATGTTCATTTTTGTCGGCCCTGGCCAAGGGAACTCGTTCCTGAAGCCTAACCGTGTTGAGTTCGACGATCCGATGCGGCGGTAGTATATCTTCTTTGACCTCTCTCTTGGGTTCCCGGGAAGTGTGGTCCCCTTCAGGCAATCCTCTCGTTGTGCCCGGATTCATCTTCAGAAGGGGTAAACTGCCGAGCCGCACTGGGTTGTCACCAGAGAAGGCCAGCAGAAGAAGTCAATGGGTCACTTGGACGGGCTCGCCACTCCTGTGTCTTTCTGATCACTCACTCTTTTTTTTGTTCATCCTCTCCTCTTCCGCTCTTTCCACGGTAGAATCTTCGTTCGTTCCGCACTTTGTTGTGCGTCATTAGTTCGCCGTTCACCTCGGCATTACCCTTACTCCCTTGTCTTTAGATCTCCTGTTATCTCCTCGTTTCCACAGTCCTTTGTTGTTCACCATCATCAGGTACACGCCGACCTCGGTAACGCCAGACGCCTATCACTTTTGCATCTCTTTCTGCGAGAAGACACGTTACTTTCACTCACTTAGACGCACGCATGCGCATGTGCAACTCGGAAGCGGCCTTCGATACCGATTCGGTTTCGGTCTTTATCTAATACTCACTCTCGTTTTATACTGTCCAACAAGAACCACTTAATACACTAATACCAGCCGTCACAACCCCGGTCATTCATTCATTCTTTTCCCTCTTCTAGGAAATAGCGGGCGGCAAGTACATCGCAAATATGCAGGTCTGCTCCAACTTCAAGAGGATTCGCTCCTCGCTCCAGGAGCTTTTGGGGATCAAGCGGAGGAAGCAAGTCAGGGGTCAAGATATTGTAAGTGTTACCCCTGAGCATAGCAACAACAAGCAATCCACTAACAATCAAACCCCCAGTCGGCTCCTTACAACTTCAAAAAAGAAACCACTGTCATTCCCGGTATCACAGAAGAAGAGTACGTCTTTCCTCACTCTCTCCCTTCTCTCTGCGCAATTAATAACCCTATTCATCCATCAGACTCGAAGCCTACCGCGACAAAGCCGCCGCCTTCCATCTCGACCCCCTCCGCCAACACTCACCTTCATCCTCCCGTTCTCGCCGTGGTGTCGACCGCAACAACAACAAGAACAAGAACAACAAAACCAACAAAAGCCACAACCAACTCCGTTCCTCCAGCTTAGCCAACCTCACCGTCTTGGAGTCAACCACCACCACCACCACCAACCCCACCTCATCCTCCAACAACAGAAAACAACTACTCATCTCCAAATCCTGCCTCTCCCTCAACAACCTTCCCTCTTCCTCTCACTCGCAAGGAGGACAACCGCATCAACCACCCCGCAAGTTCTCAGTCCCCAGCTCCGCTTCCTCACCCACCGTCTCCCATGGATTAGGAGGAGGACATGGACATGGATCACTCGGTTTCGATCTAGGTATCGGCGGAGGAGAGATGGGAACGGGGTTGAGGCCTCCTAGTCCTTGTTTGTCGCTGCCTACGAGGATTGGGATGGGGATTAATAGCGCGGCTAGTGGGAGTCCGGTTAGTCCGACGGGGACGACGATGACGACGCCTAGTTCGCCTTTGGGGATGGAAATGGGGGTTAGGGCGCAGAGGAGTAGGGCTTCTATCAACGGGAACGGACACGGGGGTAACGGAAGTGGGAGTGGAAGTGGGACTGGAAGTGGTACAACGACGCCCAAATCATCTTCTCCCGTATTGGTCATCGGGACGGAGGCTGTTAGTCTCAGTCCTATTAGCCCGGTCAGCGTCAGCCCTGTTCATCAACAGCACTCATACCCAGCGAAACTACAGCTCAACACATCGCCCTCGACCACGACTACATCAACAGCCACAGAAACATACGTATCCGCCCCTGCTTCAGCCACTGCCCCTGCTTCAGCCACTGCCCCTGCTTCAGCGGCCTCCCCGGTCTCAGCAGCCTCCGAAGCGTCTGCCGTCTCCGTTCTCTCTGCTGTGTCCGCTGTGTCAGCAGCGATGGGAACCGCAGATTTGGACTCCTTCGTCTTGGGAAGCCCGATTAGTCCTATCAGTTCTGTTAGTCCTGTTAGTCCTGTTAGTCCGTTGAGTCTTGATGATGATGGACACCATCACCATCCAACAAAGAGTTCGGAAACAACAACCAGAACAAACACAAAAATGGGAAGTGGGATGATGTCGTTTTAAGACCTGACGAGTATGGATCAATTTGCTCCGTAACTGACTTGCCTTTTTTTTTTTTTTCTTTTTTTTTTTTTGTCTTTCTCTTCTGTCCTCCTTTCCTTGAAAAATTCTTCTCTCTCGTTCTTTCGTTCTTTCGTTCTTTCATGTCTTGGAAACATTTTCACAAAAGCTAACAACGCGTTTTTTTTTTTTTTTTTTTTTTTTTTTTTTTTTTTTTTTTTTTTTTTTTTTTTTTCAAAACTTTCTTTACTCTCCTCCTTTTTTATCATGTTGGTGTTGGTTTGGGTTGGAGAGAGGAAGATCTAGACTGGACTGGACTGGAGAAGATATACCGGAGTTATATACTTGGCCAGAAGGGGGGAGAAACCAAAAACCAAAAGGGATTTTGTTGGAAGGTTGGAAGGTTGGAAGGTTGGATGGAGAGATGGAGAGATGGATTGGTGGATGCAAGCTTCAACGAAAGAACAGATGTTTGGGGCGGATGTGTTAGATTGATAAAGAAAAGAAAGGTTGGTAGGACTTGTACGATATGTGTTGTTGTTGTAACATCGGAAGAGATGTGGTCCGGTTGCCGTGGTGTCGTCGACGGAAAACTTTACCTGGTAGATACCTAGGCAGGTGAAACCCAATATCCAGAAGACCACTGTGAGCTTTAATCCCAGTTTCTCGCATTTCCGTCACTCACACACATCAGAGCATTCGCGAAAAGACGGTGATGTTGAACTATTTACTATGATTATTTGAAGAGTTACTCAAAACGACTATCTACAATCGCTATACGGTAATTCGCCAAAGGTATCTACCCAACGCTGTAGCTCCCGCTCCCGCTCTTAGTCTTCCATAAATACCATCCAAAAGGCGACCTACTAAACCCACCCCTGATACTTGAGCAAATTCTCCTTCCTCGCGCCCTCCATCTCCCCACTAACCTCCATCAACCTAACCTTCCCTCCCTTCCTCTCACTCCACCCCCTCAAAAACTCCTCCAATCTCTTCGTCGTCTCCTCATCATCCCTCACCAGCAACGCCAGTGCATCATACCCTCCCGCACCCGGCACCACACCCCCATACACGCCCTCCACCCCTTCCTCCAGCGCATCCAGCAACTCCTTCTGACTATCCGGCTCGATCGGCACCCCGCTCTCCGTGCCCATCTTCCTCACCAGCTCGCGGATCCCGTGCACCGCCGGCCTGATCTCCTCCGTCTTGCCCTCCTTCAACACGCTCGCCAGCTTCTCGTTCCTTCGCTGTAATTCATCCCACAACTCCTTGGCCGCTTGCGGCTGAGCCGCCCGCCAGGCGAGCACCTGCTTGACCATGCCGACCGTCTGGCTGCCGCAGTCGACGTCGCACATGCGCACCGCCACGCCCTTGGGCAAGCTGACGGCATCTTTCACGACCTCCGTATCCCACTGGGATTCAGTGTCCTTGCCGTTGACGACACTGAACAGCTTGGCGGAAAACCCAGGCTTGCCAGCCTCCGGCAGGGAGGACAAGATGGAAGGCGAAAAGCGACGGTAGTGGCTAGATCCGTAAACGGCGGCGGCCACGTCAAACCCGCTGCCGACTTTACCCTGCGCGGCGCAGTGAGCCGCTTGCGCGAGGTTGTGCAGGATGCGCTTGCCCTCGTTGGTGGCGAGGTCGAAGAGGGAAGGGTCTAGGTAGTGAGATAAGAGGGAGGCGGTCAGGGCGGTGACGAGGGCGGCGGAGGAGCCGAGGCCCGTCTTGTGCGCGTCTTCCAGGGTGGTGGAGTAGCCGGCGAAGCGGCTGCCGCTGCTGGTCTTGCCGGTGCTGGGCGAGCTGTAGTAGTCGTTGTCGGCGAGGATGGTGAGGGTGACGGGTTTCAGGGTTTGCGTGGTCCCGTAGGCGGCGCGGCGGGTGATGTAGGTGAGCGCGTAGTTGAGCGTGGTCTCGACGAAGGGGTTGCCCTTGGCCGAGGCGGCGGCGCCTCCCTGCAGCTGGATCGTCTTGATCCCGCCGTCTTCATCGGCCAGGTGGTAGCCGTAGCGCCATTCGGCTTTCAGGAACTGCGGGCTCTTGACGATGATCTCGTTGATGTGAACCCCCGGGCTGGCCTGGATGTCCTTGGAGATGACGTTGATGCGGGCGCTGAGACCGAAGACGAGACCGGTGTAGTTGCGGTCGAGGACGAGGTATCCGCCTGCAAGGAGGACCTTGCCGGGAGCCGAGACGGCCAAAGCCATGTTGCTTCCTATGATGATGGTTGTGTTGGTTGTCTGGTGGGTGAGAAGGGGGGAAAGGGGGTTCAAAGCTTGGCGTTGACGATGTGATGATGCAAATTGGTGTAACAAAAATTGGAGATGAAATACAAGTATCACCAAAGAAAGCCCGAGCGGATGTGTTGTTGGATGTGCCAAGTGGAAGTTGATGATTGGGATGATAGTCAGGGACAACGGTGAGTTGTTGCAGTGGTGAATCTCGAATGAAGAGCCATTCAGGAGAGGTTAAATTCAAGTGGGGTCGACAATGCGGGGCGCGATGTGGTGAGCCCCTTCCGCTTGTAAACATCAACATCACGAACTATTTGGCGCCCAACTGAGGAGGTGCGAACCGTTATTGCTCCTGACAGAATTCAATACTGTAACATATTTGAGTTATTTTGAAGAGCCAGGTGTGTAGCGAGACTCAAGTTAGGCCGACCACGCTGAAGTGATTGATAAAAGCTAAATACTATGGTGCACTCTCATCAACTCATTCCGCCCAACTTTTAAGCTGCAACTCGAGTTTGAATCAATAGCAGTCATTTCAGAGGGGCCAAACATGCCATGATGGTGTTGACCAAAGTGGTGATGATCAGATGTAGAAGAAGTGTTTGCCTCGGGACTGAAGCTATAAACAGGGTGCCGTCACCGTCATGTGGAAAAAGACAGAAGCGAGGAGACAGTATATATCTTGTCAACAATAGTAATCATGCACTAGGAGACCATGATATTCCCCAGCCTGCGGTCAAGTTGGTCCAAATCTCGGATTGAAGTTGTCATGTGGTCGCCTCGTTGCCCGGGAAATGCCTCTTTGTAAAACAGTCCATTTGTCGGTGGAGCTGTGATCTACGCCAACGTCCCAAAAGAGCCAAGCTCTCGGCCTTGATCCGGCTCCGCTGCTCCGAGCGGCCTCGGTGATAACCGGGACGGACGCCGGAGGTAGGACCTGGTTGGGAATACGGAGGTCCACTTGATGGGGGTGTCAGTGTGACCTCCGAGGAAGGTACCTTTTTTGATGAAGAACCTTATTGGCATGGCGACAAGGGTCTTGATGTTTCTGTCCCTGAGTGCGGCTCGGACGGCGGGGCATTGCAATGTCCGACTCGTAACGGCAAATTCTCGTCGCAGATGCTGTCAGATGCGCGTGTGACTCTTTCACGATCCCAGGGCCAACCAAGCACTTCCCAGGAACGGCCACCACGTCACCGCTTTCCTCTTCAAGATGGTGATGATCGGATCTGATAAGCGAAGGAATTGGTCAAGTGCCATGGCGGGTGCAACCGTAAATTGTCGCATTTACTTTCCGCAAATCTGGGAAAAAGGAAACCAACAAGATGAAGCATCCAAGATGGGCAATTGTTGGAGTTAGGGATTCCTTATGTCCGCCCTTCTCACACTCCCTCAGCTTCATATAAACATGTTGCAATTCAAAACCGGACACAAGCAGTGACATCAACAATACAAAGAAAAAAGAGAAAAAAAGTTTGCAAATGTCGCAGTCCCCATTGAAACAAAAGGCGTTGAAGCGCCCGTCTTCAGGGGTGTTAAAGAATGACGAATGACAGATCCCAGCCGCTGGTGGACCCGAAACCTGGGGAAAGTCGCTTGCTGCAAGGGACTAATGCAGACAGACCTTCTTTTGCAGAAGAAGCACGGCTAAAAGACCCCAGCCCTGTTAGCGTCATAGCAAAAGGGACTGCGCAACTGGTGCCGGTTTCTTCTCTTCACTTTTGCATTCCATTCTCGCGGGGGGCGCATCTGTACCCACTTTGATGAGACATCCACCCGTTGTGACAGTGACCGAGGGTTCCGTCCATCCACAATTCGTCGTTATCCACCAATTCCATAATGTCCACCAGCAGCAGGTGGTCGACCAGGATCGAGAAGCGAGATGGCGAAGCAAGAAGCAGATGGGGGAATCATGAATGTTACGGACTGCATTCGACCGGGGAAGAGCAGAAGAGAGTGGCAGGAAGACACGCACAGCCGCAGACAGAACATGGAAGATGCAAATGGGCCAAAACGGATACGCGTATCACTGGATATGGTGGTCGTAGTGTTTACAAGTGCTACGCCGTAGACACGCATCGCCATGACAATAGAGTCACAGCAAGGAGGTTCGAATGACGAAACCTGAGGACACAGACATGACTTTGGTTTCGTTTTGTTGGTCAAGAACTCTCCAGCCGTCTGAACCTGGAACACGGTCAGGGTCCATCGATGTCGAAGCAGTTAAAGCCAAGCTGTTCTCGAACAGATATGGAATACGTAGTCTTTGGTCTTGTTGCCTCGGAGGGATGCTATCCGACTCTTCTCCATCACATTCTGACGTAGAGGATATCTTTTCACAGCCCGTTGACGCGAAGGAATCAAGTTGTCAAGTTGGTTGAGAAGGCTCTTCAGCTTCCAGCAGTTCGCGTAACACAACTTCAACTTCCACTGTTGAAGATTGCCCGGCCGAGATCAGGTACCGAGTACAGCACCGGTGACTGAAAAGACAGCTCCCATCTCCGTATAGCCTCCCAACTATCGAGGCAGGTACTGCGGGACATATCTCGAGGTCAGAGGTACTTTTTTTTGGAGCAGCGGGAAGGAACGCTAGCATCTGACTAAGTTGGCTCGTTTGGTCCCGAGTCCACCCGCGTAGCGACTCTAGCACAGCAGCGAAGCGGTACCCGCTAAACCACCCCTGACTGCCTCTTCGTTTATCAAATCGGCGCGCAAACGGTGGCAGGAGGCAGTCCGCCAGGGTGTCGATCGATGGTCGGCCTTGCAGAAAAAAAATCGCAAAAAAAGTTACAAGCGACCAGTGATCATCCACATCTGCCTTTAACTGTACCCGGCAGCGGGCCACACACCAGGGCCGACACTTCAAATAATCTACGCATCCTGCCCTTTTCCCCGACCGCACGCAGTCTTTCTTTTTTGCGTTCTTGGTTGTTTTCGAAACAGCTTCCCTCAATAACCTCTTTACGAGACATTCACTCCTAGATCGCGCGTTTGTTTGACGGCTTAACTGTCGTCAAATGAACCTGCAATTGCGCATCCACCAATCTTTCCCTGTAAGTTGACGGCACTTTCCATTCGTCCGTCTGACTCCCCACCAAAAACACCAACACTCCGACATGTTTATATCAACATATCAACATATGACAAAAATGGTTATGCTAACCATCACACCCAAACACAGACCCCCTCCTCCCCAGGTGTCTCCTAAATGCCCTCCGTCTACTCGACCGTCTTTCAGAACGTTATCCGCTCCGGATTTTCAAAGTCCTTCACCCACGGCTACGCCCAGTCCTTCGTAGCTGCCACCCACCACAATGTTCTAAACCCCCCAAACCGGCCATCCTTTGCTCTGCGTAGCAGCACGGGATTGGGTGGCCGCCTCTCCAAGCTCGGTCTCCAGGATGCCTTCCGCACCAGCAGCAACCTGAACGCTGGCGGTTCCGTCGAGGTTCGCCATGACAACAAGACCACGGTCCTTCCCAGCAATGCCGGTCTTCTGGATGCCTACTATGAGCAGCTGCAAAAGTCGCAGGCTGCCCACGAGGCTGGAGAAGAACAAGATCAGGAATGGGTCCAGTTCCAGTTCCCAAAGCTTATCGAGTGGAAGCCTACCGCCGCTTCCGTCCTCGCCCAGGGAGACGCAAATACACTCGCTTTGGCTGCCGATGAGGTTGCCAAACTAGATGATGGCGTCTCCCGAGTTCCGCCAGAGGCTGAGGCCGCCCTCGCTCACATCAACGCTAGAATCGAGGAGGAGATCGAGGTGCGGAAACAGCTAGAGGCCGTCGAGGAGGAGCTCGAGTCTCTTCGGGCCACATCGCCCGCCCTTGCCGAAAAGCTGGAGGAAGAGATTCGATCCCGATCACGCACTCCGGCCTCCCACCTGCGCACCCCTGCCAGCGTCGCCCAGACTGCCACTCCTCCGCTCGGCGCTCAGTCCATCAGCTACGCCGTCCACCTCACCAAGCTCTCCGAGGCTGCCCGCTATGCCGAGATTCCCGCCGTGTTCGAGGGCATGCTGCTCGCTAACATCCAGCCTACTGCGACTGCCTACAATGCCCTCCTCATGGCCGCTATTCACCTCCCCTCGGAGAAATCCGAGATCGTCTCCAAGGCACTGGACGTCTACGCTGATATGCTCAAGCGCAAGGTGTCTCCTGACAGTGATACCTACAACATTCTCGTCGGCCTGCTTGCCTCTCGTTCGCTCGAGGTCTTTGCTTCCAAGAGCCTTCTTCAGGATAAGCGTCTCCGCTTTGGTGGCATGGACGAGCCTGGCAAGTTCATGTTTGCCTCGCACGAGCTCGAGTATGCCATCCTTTGCGAGGACGATCGTCTGGACTTGGCTTTGAAGCTTTTCCAGTCTTCCATGAAGTCTGACAAGGCCGTCTACTCCTCCGAGACTTACCACCAGCTTATCTCTGCTTGTGCTCAGTCTGGACGGGTGTCGGACATGCTTCACCTGTTTGAGCATCTGGAGGCGAACCGGGTGACTCCGTTCGCCGCCACCTTTCCTGCTATGATTACGGCATTTGCCAACGCGGGTGATTTGATCAGTGCCGTCGAGTGCTACAACGAGTACCGCAACCTCGCCATTGCCAACGACAACGGCGAGCCCACTCTGCAGGATCGCCTCGACGCTCAGGTCTACGCTGCAGTGATCAATGCTTACGTCGTCTCCGACAAAATTGAGGGTGCCATGAAGTTCTACAAGAAGATTGTTGAGGAGTACGGTGTCAGCTCTGCGGATATCAAGGATGCTCTCATCAGCGGTGGTTTTGTCAAGGGATTCCTCGAACGCGGTATCTACGAGGAAGCACTCCGCTGGGCTCAGAGCGTGGAGCAGGATGCCAGGGCCCGTGTCATGAGCCAAGTTGCCATTGCGGCCGCTGACCATGGCTACAAGAACATTGCCGTCACTGCCTTCTCTACCATTTCCTCTCACGACGAGGCCGCCAATCCTGCCATTGCTTTGCTCGCCATGAGCGTGCGCCAAGCTGATGTTGCCAGTGCTGCCAGATACTGGGCCGCTCTTAGCCACCCTGAGGTCAAGGCCACTTCGTCTTTCATTGAACCCGCCGCCATGTTTGCTATCGCTCTCATTGGCTCCGGCCAGGTTGTCGAAGGCTTGACTGAAGCTGAGCACATGTTCCATCGCATTCGCGAGAGTGCTGCCACCGAGACCAAGTCGCAAGTGACTGATGAGATCGAGGAGGCT